TGATCGCTTTTTACAGATAAAGGAATCAATAAGCTCACTTTCTTTAGCTGGTACTACAGGCACATGTAAATTTGATCTATGTTTATCCAAAGAACTCTTATTATCAAAAGTTTCAGGGCGATCATTTTATCAGAAAGTTGCTTGAGTTGACACGGTAGATAGATCCACTGGTGTTTCTTGTATCGCTCATCACATTAAACTTAAAAGTAGGGATGTAGCTATGAGTAAAAAAGTGGCTAAATAGCTCTTATTTTATTTGATCTTTAATTAAATTATCTTTCTACCTGCATTTATTTTCTTGTTACTGAGTTAGACCTTTACATAAAATAACCAACCCACCATATGTCAGCTACCATAGCAAGTGCTACATTTCAAGGTTCCTAAAGAGTATATCAGTGTAACATAAACTTTGTTTATGATTTGTTTTCTATGTCTGTCGGGTATTAAATATATTCTTACCATCGGAGTGTTCTGGGAAAAAATTGAAATAAATTTAAAAACCCATATAATTATTCCTCCATTACACCATAGATATATCCTTTTGGAGAAATTGCTCTATACTCTCGGAAAATAAGGGAAAAACATCCCCCGCCCAAAAGAAGTGGTTGTCAGCTTGTCGTGATAGAGAGGGTTATGGGACTTGACCAATTTACTATTCTTATATTTGTCGAGTTTGTTTCGGTTAGGCTATATAGATTTTTATATTTCAGCATATGTATTTTCTATATATCCAATTTGTTATATACTTTTTTGGATACTGGATATCCGGCTTTCTACATTAGTATAATTTATATTACAAAAGTATGATATATCCTTTTTAGGCTACAGCAAAATGAGTTGAAATGACCCTTTTGCAGGTTTTTTTTTGCCAGCCTGTCGGACTACGAAAAAGTTTGACTTATCATTAAAGTCCGCAATATAGTTTTCTTATTTGTGATTGAGACAATGAATTTGTTTCTGGACGAATCAAAATTAACTTGCAGATGTTATGGCTATCTTTTTTGGACGAAATAAAAATGAAATTCAGGTGAATTAGAATTCGAGTTGGGATGAATAAGAAATAATGTCAATCTAAAGCATGTGAGTATTTTATAAACTTACCTGTAAATATCTAAATAAGCATTGTTAGCAAACCGCTTCCTCTACGGCAATTGCTCTCTGAAATATTGCAAGTCTTCCTTTACCTTTCCAAATTTACCGTGAAATGTCGAGTATATTCTAACTGGCATTGGTATACCTGTTCTAAAGTATACGACAGTTTTTGCAATCCAGAATACTTTGGGTACATTTGTCACTTGGGAGCTTCGTTGCTTTTAGGCTCATCTCTTTACAGAAGTTACATACTCTCGAGGTCCTAAATTCATCGATGCCAACAACAGCTGCTTGAAAGGTTCTTGATCTAATCTTGAGTTCTATTTCAAGCATGGCTGTGGTACCAGAGACATGGTCTTTTATCCTAACAATACCACGATTCTTCATTCTATCACTAAAGACAACGAGAGGCACACAGCGAAAAGACTTGAACTTGAACTTTTTGCATCTTACAGGCTTCTTTCCCAAACTGGTGATAGATTTATCATTGTTTTGAATTTGATGCTTCGTTTTGGTTTTTCTTTCTATTTTTTTTTTTGTTTTCAGCCTTTTAGACTTGTTGTAATTTTCTCCTCCATTGAGCAAGATGTTGGTCATCTCCTTATATGACCTTTGTCTGCCCTGATAATTGTGAAAGCGAAAGGATGCGGACCTTTCATTGTATAATCCGAACAAGCTAGAGGCATGGTTTGAAGCGTACACTATATAGTTTTTCCATTTTTCAAAGTCTACAGTCTTTACCGAAAGAAAGTTTGTCTCGATTTTTGTTATTCTGGCTCTAATGTTCGGCTTTTCTAAATGACAACCCCTCCTATCTGAACCGGTATAGCGTCGTCACTTTTTCATGCTACACCTTTGTATTTATGGCTGATTTTCTTCGTGGAGTATTGGTGCTGCAAATACATATTATTTGTCAGGGTCAACAGTACAAGGCTGGAAACGCTTTCGCGCTCCTGCATCAACGAAATATTTCAAGGTTAACTCTACTTTATCTTGTACTTCTTTGGCTTTTCTGGAAAACCCAAAGCAAACACCAAACCCATCGCTTTCAATATTACAAGCAAACTAGTTTTTGCCGGAAAGGACTTGGTCCAGGCTATCGTATCCGAATCTTTGAAAGTCAAAGGTTGAGTAAAAATGTTTGCTGTTTCTTTCGTATGTCCCCCCACTTTTGTCTTTTGTCCATGATGTAAGTCTTTTGAGTTGAAATGGATATATTTCCAACGAAATGATAGTGTCGACGTCAGGGAAAAGGTTCTGAGTTTTTTTTGATGGGCTTCAACTTGAGTGTTCAGCCTTTCAGTTTCAGCAATAATGAAAGAGAGAGTTGGGATACATTTTGAAGGCGCCGTAGAAAGATTAACGACGGTTGGTGGTATTGGAAGTATATTATGCAAGAGCTGGCGGCTCTTTATCAATGATGATTTATATATTAATGAGACAATTAGCAGCTGCCATTATTATAAGCAGTTTTTCTATTAACTGTAAAGAGGTGATAGAGATGATGATGTTGATAATATTTACATAATGAACGTTTGGTTAGACTGATCGAACAAAGACATAATAATGATATATATTTAGTTAGTTAGCTTTTGGGACTCAACATATTCTATTAAGCTGATAGATTATTCCAGGGCACGCCAATGGTAATAACTTCTCTTGAAAAAAACTAACATTTGCTCAATCTCAAGTAGAGACACTGCAGCTTATGTTTGTATTGAAGCAATTTGATGAGAAAATTTCTCACCAAACATTTTTTTCTCTCTATTGACAGACTGTATTGGGTCACTTTATACTTTTCTGAAGACCACACCAAAGAACAAAAATCATTACACAGTATTTATATGATCTCTATTTGAGCTCAAAATCCGTGACCTAAATATAGTATACAAGCTTATTTTCACGGCAAAGAGGAACTAGGTAGGAGGTTTCAAACGAATTGTTCGTATTTTTAATGTAAGGTTAAGGTAAATATGTAAGCACTACTTATACCAGTTGTATGTTTATGCTCTCTACTTTAAATCTGTTCCCAAGGCTAGCAATTATTTATCATCAATTGTACGTAACCCCAAAACGTTTCTCTTACAGTAAAAGAAAGGGTTTTAAGAACAAATTTGGTAGTAAAGTCTTATAAATTTAATGGTTCTTTACTCAAGTCACATATTGTTTTTATGAAATAGATTGTGTATCTGGCTTATTTGTATTTGTATGCAAGAATGCACATCATATAACTATAATGTATCTCTCTTTTGTAAAGACTTCGGCAAATAATCTTATCTTAGGCCCTATATATACCTTGCTAGATATCAAATATAAGGGCTTTAAAGAAAATTAAAATACGTTTTCCACACTTAGTTTCACCTGTTTACATAATTATATTGAAAATTTACCTCCACTGTCTAGCCGAGTGTATACCTAAAAGCCGAACCAAACAGAGCAAAAAACAAGTCAGGTCCATTACAAATCAAATAAAATCAATGCAATGCAATGCAATGCAATGTACATCAAATATGTCTAATCTCATAGCGGTGTTTTATATTGTGGGAGTAAAGCATAACACTAAAGCAATAGATGATATAATGTTTTATAGCTTCCAAACATTCATTACTTCTCACCGAGTTTCGTACAGGTCATCATGTAGTATCGACGAGTCTACTGTGCTAATAAATAATATTATTATTTTATCTTTTTATCTTTTTACTCTTTGTTCTCTCCCCTTCCCTTATTCTAACATTATGTTAGCAAAAAAAGTTAACGGATATGCTGGTTTTACACTTGACGCTATCCAAACAATATACTTCAAGTATATTTTTCCTACCACTGGACATCAAAATAGGAGTTCCATTATAGCCTATTTAACTGCATTGATTTTATTATATATGGCTTACAGCAGAGCTATCAAGCTTGTCAGACCACCTAAAGCTTTGTCTCATATTCCACATGTTCCTTACTTTTCATACATGTCTTCGTTAATAAAGAAAGAAAACACCATATCCAGAAACAAGCGCTTTGCAAATAAGCTGTTTGAAGATCCAGAAAGCAATGGCTTATATTTGGTACTTTTCAATTTTTTTTTAAAAAAGAGAGAGTAAAAACAATAATGCTCATTATTAGCCCGTTCTTTTTTAGCGTCCCAATGTCAAAGGCTGGGAAGTTGTAGTGACAAGACCTGAGGATGCAAAGAAACTTTTATTTAAAAGTGATATATTTCCCAAGGCTGACTTTACTTCTGGCATCGATGGAACAATCCTTTCAAAATTCTCGCGTGGCCCAAATCTTTTATTCACAACTGGAGCTCACTGGAAGGCTCAGCGTATGGTTGCAAATCCAGCTTTTCATCGATCTGCACCTGTTAAGCTTTTTGGTGAATTAACACAAAAGCTGTTCAGAGTTATGGACAATCGAGCTAATAAAACAGTCGACATCACAAGGCTTATGGAGGCCTGGGCTCTAGATGCTATTGGACTTGCAGGTTTTGGTAAATAATTGAAGTCAGAATAAATTGAGGGTGGTGTTTTAAGCTTAATTTATTCCCGTGAATCAATCAATCAATCAATCAATACGTGTATTTATTTTTCTAGATTTTGACTTTAACGCGATAGAGAACCCAAATTCATCTTGGGTTAGAATTTACGAAAGAGTTGATAAAGCCTTAGTACATCCTTTCTACTCGTTCTTCCCAAAGGCTGATAAATATCTACTTTGGGTGCTCCCAAATAGAAAGCAAGCTCACACTGACCTCGACATATTTTTGAAGATGATTGATAATGTCATTATCGCTAAGAAAAAGGCCCTACATGAAAATAAGTCAAACAAACACTTGGAAAACAGCGAGAAAGATCTTTTGACCTTAATGCTCGAAAGTGAAGCCAAAGGTAGTACTTTATCAGCCAAAGAGCTTCGAGTAAGTATAAAATAAAAGGGATATACTTAGGGGCCATTTTATTGATTTGATTATTGTACAGAGCAATATGTGCGTATTTTTTGCTGCTGGCCATGAAACCACGGCAAATTCTCTTGCTTACGCCATATACTTTATGGCTGTTAACCCCGATGTACAGTGTAAGGCAAGAGAAGAGGCTTTTAAGGTTCTTGGAGACGCGCAAGAGGATATTATGCCTACTATTGAGCAGACTAAATCGATGGATTATATAAATGCCGTGATAAAAGAAACTCTTCGTTCGCATAGCCCTGCGCTAGGTACATTCGCTCGCAAAGCTACTAAAGACACTGAGCTTGGTGGTGTACTGATCCCTAAGGACACAATGATCTCCATGGACATATTCAACTTACATCATAACCCTAACGTATGGAATAATCCTGATGAGTTTGATCCTAGCCGTTTTCTTCCTGGTGGCGAAGCCGAAAAGCAAATAAATAATGGGTTCTCATGGATTCCTTTTGGCACTGGTGCTCGCCAGTGTATCGGGATGAATTTTAGCTTGATTGAGCAACGCGTAATGCTTTCTATGATGTGTAAGTCACTCTTTCCTAGGGTCTCTCATATATTTGTAGTTCATTAAAAAGATTTCTATTTAGTGCGAAAGTTTGCTTGGAGTCTACCAGAAGATTCAATCCACAAAGACTATTTGCACACCACAAATTTAGTTATTTCATCCGCCAAAGATCTCAATATTAATTTTGAAAAATTGTATTGAAAATAAATATACCTTTTAATTTTCTTTTTACGTTCACCGTTTAGAAAACAATTAATAAGATAGCCTAGAAAGATTAAGTCAATATTTTGACTTTTATAGCTTAAAAACGACTATAGAGATTTTACATATTTTATTTTTCATTTGCATCTTGATGTATTTGGGCTGTATCTAGCACCTAAGCTACACTTAACTACCGTACCAAGATAAACTAGATAATAATCTTATATTATGATGAATACAGAGGGTATAACCTTGAAAGAATGTATATTTTCTCATATAACTTTTATTAATAAATAAATTAGCTATGCAATTTTTTCTTGGCTTCATTAAACCGTCTTTTATTCCCCTTTTTACCTTTAATATAGCCACTTATTCAATTCTTTACTAGGTAGTTCCACAGAGATTTTCTGCCACATATGTAACCAGCCCTTTTAATCGTGTCTTATATATTCATTGAGACGTTGTGATAAGTAATAGAAGTATAAATATCCTTAAAAGTATGGAGAGTTTATAGAGGAATGTCAGAAAGCAAGCGTTTTATACTGTACGTATTTTTTCTGTTATTATTGCTACTCTCAATTGATGAGGTTAATTCGGATTTGTCGATATAAGTAATATGTTATACAGCTTGACCACAAAACAAGGTACGTAGAAAAAAAATGCAAGCGCTACATACCACATACATAAATTTAATCAGGATTCGATTTCGTGCACGTATAGCATACGTTCTGCATATATTTTTTAATTTGTTTTGCCGTATTGTTAATTTTTCTGCTCTCCTGTCTTTTTCTTTCAATATAAATCAAAAGTCTATCATTATTCTTTTGTAAAATTATGGTAACTTTGGTTTCAGCTAAAAATGCATTAACTATGTTGCTGTCGCTTAATACTTTACCTTACAGACATTGCAATTAATGAAATTATTGAGCACATGTATATTACAGAAAAGAAAAAGAAAGCGCAAAATAACTAAAAAAACGCCCCCCAAAGTTTAGCTCTTAACTCATACAAATTATTCTAGAGTAGCTTTTTGTTTCTAGCACATATAGTTATGTAACAAAAAAAAACTAAAAACAAATAAGGCCAAAAGCTGCTCTCGACTTGCCGGAAATGTGCCTTTTTCTGTGACGCAAGATTCTATTTTTTTAAAATCAAAAAATAAAAATAAAGCACGACCCATTTGGGTACTTTAACATAAAGTTACTACTAATTCGAAATCATCCTTTGTACTCTCATTATCTTATCTTTGTCTGAAGCTGGCAATCTTGAACAATTCACAATATTTCAAAGCCGTTTAATTAATGACAAATACAGAACACGAAGCATCGTTACTCATGAAAAAGGCACCTGAAACAACACAAAAAAATTCTATGGTGAATCAATCTGTATTGAGAGCAAATGAATCGATGAGCATCAAAGACCGTGCAGGCTTTGAATTGTTGTGAGTAATGAGCTAACCTGATAATCCTTTTATTTAAGCGACTGATTATACCAATAATTTAGAAAATTTGTAGAATCGCATGAGGAATGGTCAAATAAAATCAGTCAAATTAGAGAACGTACAATGTCTACTATGACAAATGGAGATCCAGATTACGTACTTCAAGGTAATAAATGAGATGCTAATAAATCGACTTATGAATAATGAATATGTATATATGTATACATGTATTTATGCATATGTTATACAATACCATTTATTTAATAGCCCAGGTGGAGACAGAAACCACTGAAACAATTGAAATTGCTAGTAAAAGGTAATAAATCAAATGCACGTATTGGTGAAACGAATAGAAATAATTAAAGATCTGACAAATAGCTTGAAAGAAAAGGCACACATCACATTCGACCACATCAACAACTGCTTAAGAGAACATGGGATGACACCGGCAGAAGCCACTCGATTTGTGGATAACTTACAACAAAATCTTGAAAACTCTATTTCAGCTTTTTCCGCAAACTCTATGAGCCTGATTCGCAAAAGAGTAGAATCTATCTCAAAAAAGAAGAGCGACAATAGCAAATTTGTTGCTTTGAAGCTAAGCATTTTGGATATGGAAAAATCATTGGATTTTTCAAGGGAGGAATGTATAATATCAATGGAAAAGGCAAACTCAAAAGCTTTATCGTTATTGGAGCCCAATTCAATTCGACTACACAATTTGGAAGAATCTGTTATAAAGCATATTACCGAGGCAACAAAAGAAGCCATTATTAAAGAAATAGATACATTATCGGGGGAACGCGAAGAGACGGATAAACAAATCAAAGAGAATAGTAAGAACAGTGCAGCAATGGATATACTAGATCACCACATGGAACGATCAAGGGTAATCAAAGAGTTACGTTCCAGCATTGAATCGAAAAACATATTCCAAAGTCCAAGTGAAGTAAAGAAGTGGGAGATAGAGATCGGAAAAGTGAGATCAGGGATAGAGGAACAACAAAACAATCAAAGAGAAATGGAGAATACAATTGAAGAGTTTCAATCGAAAAATACAATTCAACATGGCTCACAACCTAGAAATTTAAAAAAGTTGGAGGAGGACCTCCAGGTACTCACAAAAGCTCTTCATTTGGCCGAATTGGAAGTTTTACGAGTAGATGTCAAGGTTGAAAATGATTCTGATGTATCAGACAGCGGCTTCAATATTCCACAGAAACGATCAAGGACAATATCTTCCAAAGATAATCACACTGTCAAAGAAAGATTGGATCATGTTGAAGACAAACAAAAGGATCTGTTGTCTTTTCTCAGTGATCATTCTAAGACTTCTCTGGATACGGCATTTCCACACAATCTGGAGAGTACATTTAAACAGTTCAATGAAAAATTGAGGTAACAAATATCTGTTTACTTGCCAGTCGATTCCAAATCATTTAATATAATCATGTTATTTCAGTAACCATGAAACGATCCTTGGCTATTTGCTAAACCCTGTGGAAGCAAATCACCGCTCACCTAAACAAACATTACAAGAGGCTTCTATAGTTCTTAATTCCAATACAACTGGGGATAAAGCTACTCAACCAGTTTCATCAGCAATGCTAAAAGTCTTGAGAAGAATTGTTGATAAAACGGTAGAAAATGCTAATGATCAAATGTGGTCGAAAGTAAGAAAATTAGAAAAAGAAGTTCTTATGATAGACAGAAAGAACGAGGAACAAGGAAAACGAAGAAAAACGGAAAAAAGTTAGCAGCACAACACAATATCGATATCCAGCATCCAGCATCCAGCATTCAGTCTTAACTTTCTTGTATGATAAGCAAATAACCAAAAGGGTCGATTGGAAGTTACTTTTTTCTTTTGTCAATACCTGGTTTATTTTTTTTATGTAAAATGTAGCTTCAATAAAATAACATAACATAATATAATATAGCATATTGATTTATGTACAAAAAAAAGGAAGATTTTTGATTATTAGTTAATGGTTTTGAGATGACCCTTTTTATAAGAGGGAGAGAGAGAGATATCCAAGGACCCGCTTTGTTGTTCTCCAAGAGGTATTGTATTATATTAAATTATATCTTATCTTGGTGTATATGTATGACATACAAAACCCCTCTTTGTTCACTTGATCTTTCAACATGTTCCTCTACTTGCTTTTTGTTTATTTGGAACTGGACGACATTCCAACCACAGTAATCTAGTTATGGTATCCGTCTGCACACACTTGCAAATTTACCCCACCATTTACAACCACACAGCGTCATATTTATCCAAGCCAGTCTCCTTAAATCTCTTTATCTTAAGCTTGCCAAATAAAGAAATTAAGAAGGGATAAAAGGTAAAAGGCAAGGGTACAATGTATTAAATGTTAAATGTTAGAAGTAAACTTTGTAGATCTCATTTTAATCAAGATGTCTACGAAGCAAATAATTGAAAGCCTACATAAAGAGAGAAAAGAACAATTACTTAAATAGCAACAACTGAGGAGTAACAAAAAAATCAACAATAAATAATTAACCTCAACTGCTGGTCAACCATTAACCATTGCAGTATCTAACCTTAATTGATTCCTCAACCAAAAACAAAATAAAATACAATAAAAGCATTGATATGTACAATTTCATATTTTATGGCATCAACAAAGATCATACTTATTTTGCTTGTTCACCAAATTCAAGAATATCACCTTTTTAAGCTCGGATTGTTCATTCAAAGCCATATTCATGAAACCAAAACGTGGTGGGACAAGAATAAAGGGAGGTATTCTTGCTTGGCAACAACCCCCCCAAAAAAAGGTATCCTCTTTACTGACTCAAACCCAAGAGAGGGTAATTAGAGGAGTGAAAGGCTATAGGTTAAAGTCTTGTTAATCTATTGAAAATGTAAAATTCGACAAGACCAAGAGATCGTACCATGCAAAATTTTTAAAACAAAAATATTTAAGCAATCTCTTACATCAATTTCTTTTTGGTTGTTTCTGGCTCGTTTGAAATGCAGTCCAGGCCTTGTGACCAAAGTGATTTTTTTTGCTATTTTCATAGTCATATGCCAGCAGATATGCTGTCATGCACTTCCCCCTCACCTCCCCTCTCCTTTCACTTTTACCATATCTCTCTCTCTCTCTTTCTTTCTTTATCGCTTTTTCTCCACCTCTTTTCGACCTTATTGTCTTCATCGTTCCTTGCAAATTAAATATTTTATAACTCAATGAAGCTCTATCGGGCTGAAACTGGCCAACAAGTTGACTGGCCTTCACCACCTACACCTATTGTCACGCAAGTTGAAGATTCTCAAACGCAATCAGTGTACTGATGATCTCTACAGTTTAGAGAATCTCAAACAGCAATTAGAGAAATGCACCGGCATACCAATCGAAAGTCAGATCCTCATGACCAGTTTTGGCACTCAAGTTAAAGAGGCTTTGGTCAAGGATGTCTTGGAAGCTACGGACAAGGCAGGTAGCCCTAGTCTTAATCGGAGTATTCTTGTTCTTATACAATTCTATTTTATGTATTCACAGAATGAATACATTATATTCTGTTATGATAGACAATACCTTGGTGCTTCACCAGAAGATATAGAGCAGCTTTTAGAAAGTGAGATGCCGCAGTTTGAACCTATCATACCTATATTTGAAGGTAAAGAAGATGAAATTTATTATAATATATAAAATAAAAATAAAACAAAAACTAAACACACGGAACAAAATAGCCTCAAACGCTCTTCAAACAATGTTACGGTCCGTTCAGAAACCTACTCTAAGTCAAGGATGTGAATCATACTTGGCTCTCTTTGCAAAGTTTGATGCTTACAGTCAGGCAAGTCTCATAGCTTGCTTTGTCCCATCTCATACATGTGAATAGGCCCTCGCTTCTGCAACAGTAAAACATACCAATATGGCAAAAACCATTGTCGAAGACCAGAAATCTCAGAGAATGGCTCTCAATGTGGCTGTCACTAATCTTGAATCACACAACAAGCTTGTCTACCAAGGCGCCCAAGCATTTTGCTCTCATGCTGAAAAAGAACTTAGGCGTCAGTCGGGTCTCTTGGAGACCACCGATGTTGATATCAGCCTGCTGCGGGCTATTCAAATACATCCTTTCTTTATTGAAGGCATTGAAACAGCTACCCCAAAAAGTCGATTGATTGATTTTGTGGATGAGCAGCGAATTCAAGACGCACGTCATAATACCCGTACTGTCTGTGATCATCTTACTCAGGAAATCCGTGAACTGCGTGCTTTAGCAACAGACTTGAAACATTATGAAAATGACCTTCAATACCAAATAGCTAAAGATATTGACCTTCAGACTCTCGACTCCACTCTAAGTGATACTCATGCCATGCAGAACAAATCCCAGTTTATCAGAGACAAGATAAAACGGGACCTTGGGAGAATATACAGTAAGATCGCTGACCTCATGGGAATTCCCATCGAAACGCTTTCTGTCCAACCTCTCCGTTTACCTCCAGGACCCAGTACTGTCCCAACACACGCCAAAAAAACATTTGAAGCGTTTAAACATCTTGCTGAGATACATGTTACTGATTATCTTCCGAAGCTACATGACTATGAGCACACTATCCGCGAAAAAGTGACCGACCTTGTACGTATTAAGCGACAGGCCATCCAAGCCTTTCTGACGAATATCAATATTGTATCACAACTTCAAAGCGAGATTGCTGCTGTCACTCCTAGACTTGAGCTCGCAGAAAATGAGCTGGCAGAATTTAAACAAAACTCTAGAAAAAATGACCTTGAGACGGCTAGAAATGTCTTATTTGCTTATGTGAGTCTCAACAAGCGATGAGTAAAATACAAAAACTCTAGTCTAATCTACATTTATGTTATTGTAGGGTGCTCTGATGATTGAAGCTGTACGACGGAATGAGTACACAACTGTGAGTTTAATACCGAGGATAATTAGTATATGTTTCTGTGTGCGTGTGTGTATGTGTATGTATGGCTAATCACTTTTATAGCTTCTTGCTGAGTATGCCAATTCAATGACATCTGTGCTGGCCAATTACCGGAATCAAGAAGAAGATCGGCGAGAAAAGTTTCGACGAGAGATTAGCACCTCTTTACCTTTCCAAATCAAAAGTAAAGAGTTATTATAAAATTAGAGTAATTTATAAATAACAATATACTAATTTCAATTTAATTAGGTTTATCTGATTCTGCTACTCAATGCGAGATACCAATCATTCATCTACAAAATAGTAAACCCACAGTTACTCAAAAGGATATCATTGGTAAGAAGCCCATGTAAATACAAGGAAGCCCAAATATTCACCAGTTTTGATTTACAGCATTTATCACACAACTTGGTCATGGCTATGCCTCTACTTCAAAAGAAAAAAAACGCAAAACAGGTACTCTGTTGAGCATACTACAACGTACATCAGGATCTGTATTATTTGATAGTACCGGTTCAGGAATACAGTAAGAATTCCTATATATATATATATAATCAATAGCACTATAACTTTGCTTCTATTAGAAGTACTTCTCGTCGTACGATTCAACGAGACGTTCAAGGTGAACGCTTGATCAAGCTACTCAATACAATGAATAAACAACTAGAAGGACTCAAGCCGGAACTGCTTAAATCCATTGAGTCTACTTGTGCGTATTATATGAAACGCTCTATTATACCATCTACTAATTTATTTTATTTAGTTTTTGAGAATAATTCTTGGAATAATCGGGTATCTCCTTTTTTTGGATCAGGCTCAATTGTTGCATCAAACGCAACCGAAGCTATGCTCCAACAAAAAGCAAAGGCGTTAACTACAGCTGAAGACCAAATAAAGGTTTTTTTATTACTACAATTAATGATAACAAAAAGGCTAATATTTTTTTCAGACTTATGAAACAAGGATTCAGTCGCTAGAACGAGCCCTTCAACAGAGTTTTAAAGCCACCACAATATCTCCCGATATAAGTAAACAGATCAATATCGATATTGTTAGTTTACGATCGGGTAGCTCTTCATCATCCACTTACTCAGTCATAGAAGAAGAGCCACAAATACCAACACAAAACTCTTCTGACGAACTTTTACAAAAATTGGCGGAGGCTGAACAGCGAATTGAAACCCTTCAGCAACAAAATGATGTTCTTCAAAAGAAAATTGACACACTTGAAGATAGAGTAGACATTAAAGACAAAGAGCTCTCAAAATTGGAACAAACCATCGAATCAGAAAGAAAAGAGGTAAGTAATAGAAACTATACACAAAAGGTAACTTACAAAAGTCTTATCAGTGGGACCAAGAAAGAAAACACGATGCACATGATCGTGAAGACATGCGGCTCCAAATTCAAGAACTTGAGCAGTTATTGGATGAAGAAAGACAGGCATATGAAGACAACCGAAAAAGTGTAAGCTTGGCATGTAATCAAAATGAACTATCGGAAATTGATTCAAAAGTATATTTAGTTGCTTAATGAGGCCAATATCAAAGACAATCTTGCCGATATTCGTGTTGCTGATGTAGAAGAAGATTGGAAGGCTAAGGTAAGTATCAAAAGGAGCCCAATAATACACACATAATACTTCGGCGCTAACAAAAAACAATTAGATGAAAGAGTTAAATGTCAAGCTCGATCAGTACAAACAAGACGTGGAGTTAGTTACAAAAGATCGCGATGATAAGATTACCGAAATGGCTATTCGAGAAGAAGAGTTAAATACTATATGCTCTCAATGGAACAAAGAGCGTGGTCGGCTAGAGGGGCAAATTGAGCAGCTTAGAGACCGCTCAAATATCATGAACCAGAAGAACAATGAGCTTTCCAATGAGAATATTAGACTTAAGGAGGAATTATTGTCTATAGAGACTACCCTTTCCAGCTTTCAAGAAAAGACTGAAATTGAAAAGCGAGAAGCCGAAGGTCGACTACGGCAGTTAACACTTGAGATGGGAGATAGTGAACAAGCTAGAGATGAAATTAAACAAAGGTTGGCCCAAGCACGGGAGATGGTCGCAAGAGCTGAGAGTGATTGGATGGAAAAAAACGAAGCTTTAGAAAGAGTAAGTTCATTTACTTTACCTTTTACGAACACAGTTAACATGGACAATTTATCTAGATGATAGCCCAGCAGACAGTTATAAAAACCTCAGTTACAGAGCTCCTGACTCGCTATTCTGGAAGTATGGGGCCAGGTGTAGAAGAGAGCGATACTATTGTTTTATTAGACTTATTTAAGCAGCACCTCGAAGTTTATACCAATAAATCTAATCAAGCACGCGAGGTATTTACATGTGGGCATGTTCAGTCCAACACAAATACTCACATCCTGCTTGACGTTTATTATTACACTGCTTTTTAGAATCTTTCCGCCTTGGAACAAGAGTATATGAATATAACACGCACAATTGAAGCAATGAATGAAGAACGCTCGGAATGGCATAACATTATGAGTTTAATGGCAGAAAAGTTAGAAGAGTTCCGCAAAGATGTCTTTTATGAAATGACACATCAACTGCAGCTACCCGTGGACGAAAATGAAGCAGGACTTATGACAAGACGACTCCAGGCGACACAATCAAGTGATCAGATGGCAGCATGGAACGAAATAATGCAAGTTGTGAATGGCATCGATAATCATAAGTTTGTCAATCGTATTCGTAAGAAGGTCAAAGATGCCCACGAGCTAACTCGTCGATGGCAAAAGGAGTACAAGGAACTCAAAGGTAAGCCGAAATAAAGTAAAGTTCTTGTATCGTATTAACAAGTCAAGAAAATTATAGAAAAATATACAAAAGTGGCCAGCAGTGCATATGAAAAGATTGCATTTAGAAAGTAAGTAAAGCAAATAGATCTTGATCGGTTTCTTATAAGAATTGCTTGTATTTTTATTTTCATAGTTTCAAAGTCGGGGATCTAGCTCTGTTCTTGCCTACACGAAACTCTACCGGAAAACCGTGGGCAGCCTTTAATGTGAACGCTCCTCATTATTTCCTCAAGCCGTCTGATAGTGTACAGCAACTAATGGCCACACGAGAATGGATTGTAGCCAGAATAACATCTATTACCGAGTGCTCTGTAGATCCAAAAGACCCTTCTACAAATCCGTTTGGACTTGCCCATGGTCTTAAATTCTATCAGATTGAAGTAGAGCATTGGAGGTCTCATCATAAGAGCAGCAAGGCACCAAAGAACCGGCATCACGACAAGCACACCAAAGATACAGACCTATCTACATCTGAAACACTTTCACGCCGATATGGAACACTTTCCCAATCCTCAAACCCACAGGATATAGGACTTGCTAGTCTCTCACTAGACAATTCCCAAATCAACACAAATCTGTCATCGTCAATGAACCTTACTATCCCTAGCCGTCCGACACGCCCAGTATTTCCTGTCTCGCATTCATCATCCAACATCGTTCATAGCTATGCTCATCAAAACTCACCTCTACTAGCATCAAATGTCCGTCGATGGAGTGGAGGAAATATAATCCCACCCCTTTCCGATCATGACTCTACATAAGTTTAATTTTCTTCATTCCATTTCCTTTACACTCTCATACGTATTCTTTCTTTCATACTAGTTTTATCGAAACACCTCTTCTTGGACTACACTGCATAATAATCGAAGAGTAAAAATTGTCTAAACAAGCTTATCATCTTTTCATCCTTCTCGATATAAGCATATGATGTCTATTTGTATTCTTGTTTGTTTGTTAATAATAAAAGTATCACTGCTATACAACCATCCTTGTTAATAGCATATGCTCTTTGTAGGAATAAAGGTAAATAAAAGGCATTATTGGTCCAAAGTACTGAATATGTCTTATTGTGTTAGGCTTGCTTGGCTAAAAATGAGATATCCAATTTATTTCCTCAGTATGAGTTGTTGTCATTAAAGTGTGACGCAATATTGTTTGACATCTTACTATTTATTCGCCTTCTTACGCGTATCATTTCTTTCTCTTTCTCTCAATTATATTCCCAAAGTTTGGAAGCAGCAACTGGTAAGTAATCCCCATCCCCTCTTTTTTGCAAGGCACAAAAGAAAATATTAATGAATATTTTGTATCTTTAGGAGCCAGATAGAGTTATTCCATGCTGGCAGAAAGATCACGATTTGTGGTCCGGTAGAATCAAAATGTCGTCTCCCTAGAATTAGTGTCCAGACTGCCCAGGCTGTCCTGCCAGGTTGTCCGTAAGGTCTGCCAAGGAAAATCATGTCTGTTGTCCTCTCCTCAATCCCCGATCTGATAGACCAGTCTTTTGGCTCACAAAGATCAATCTTCACTGCAGAGTAATGGTATTATATCAATGCTTATTTTGAAAAAAAGACTTGCAATTAAACGACGTGTACCTGACGATGATATTTGCAATACAATCAGGATTGTACAGAATACATCAAACCTCTCAGCTGATTATGAATGTGCTGTTGAATATATAAAGTTGAAGTGGGAGTACAGCAAGTCAGGCAAACTCAAAGCAACAACTTATAAGATCATAAAGCATATTCTCAAGACAATAGACAGTTACAGTCATCCACTGCATCATAATTAAAAGAAGACTATCCGAAAAAATTAGTCTATGCGCTTAATTTGTCCTTATATACTTGCGTTTCTCTTCCCACCTAAAGGCATAGTTCATATTGTCACTGCCGAATGTGAGAATTCATACTTTACTGAAATCAAGAAGGGAAAATGCCCCCATCCAAAGCCGGTACACGGGTTTAGGATGGATATAAGGCTTGTAGTAGAAGTAGAAGAAGAGATTGATGTTGCTGTTGGCAAATGAGCCAAGAAGAATGGCGACAACAAATCAACCAATGACAATGCAAAGCTGCTTCGAGAGTGCAAATATACTATTGATGGATTAGTTAACAATCTGCAAAGCACAAATGATGAAGCCATGTAGTACATGACTAAAATAACTGGCCAATCTCAAGTGACATACTTAGAATATCTTAACTGTTTGAATCCATACATAAATGCTTCATTTGTTTGACTTTGGGCTAAGAATATATCGAGGCAGTAAAGAAAAAATCTTGCTCCGTAAAGTGATATATAGCCAATTGAGATAAGTAGTTGTATTGTATTTTCGATAAGGACCATAGAAAATGGAAGCGTAGTCTTAGTTATTGACAGATAGAGCTGACCAAATGAGGATTGTGTGATTGGTATCAAAGCCTATACAAAGACGCCGTATAGCAAAAGCTCACCAGGAAAACGCAGCAAACATCAACCAAGTCAGCCTTTCCTTTCTAAAACAAAATATAGGAGCCCACACTCCAGAGTAGACAATCCCCCGCGTTCATGAATACTCTTCACTATCCGCAAATTAAAAGGTCTTTTTCGACAGCATTGCTGGCGCTGGTCGTAGCCCTTGATGTTAAGTATGATTTAAAGTGTAAAAAAAAAGTGTACATATTTTCTTGCGACAATTAGGCGCAATCTTCCCGCCAATTTTAGTTAGCTAGTTCCGACAATATGTTTTTCAACCAAAGTGACAAAAAAAACAATTTAAACTCATGGCATTTATTTTTGTGTTTCCGCCATTTATTTTTTAGAGGACGCCAATTTCCATAGGTTTGACTGTAATTTGTTCCCATTTTGAGTAACACATCTTGCTGCAGTATTTCTTGTTACTGTCACTTCTTTTCTACATATTTTTTTGGCTATCTTCTTCCTTTCTTTACCTATTGACACGCCTATAGAATAGCCATGTCGGTCGAGAAAGCGCCGGTACTCGATCAACAGATCTCCGAATGGTCTGCTGCAATTGAGGCAGTTGATTCAAAACGAGTCCAGGAGCTTTATAATGAGAATCCCGAATTATTATGGCGTCCATTAGCCAAGGATGCCACCCAAGACACAGACTATTCTCATCTAATTACCCAACTTGGAAGAATCGAAAAGCTCGGGACGACACTTCAGAATCTCAATGGTCTTCAGTACCTCCTGCTCGATCACCTCGAAACTTTTCAAGGCGTACCTTCTATTGCTCACACTGAGCGGACCAGGCTTATTGGATTTTTTATCGAGGTAGAGTAAAACAAACAAAAAACTAACCAAAATTTTATAGTTTTTTTCTTTTCTTTTCTGACAAATTCTAAATCCAATTAAAAAAGCGAGCTCAACCAAACGATCTAAATAAATGCTATTGGGGAAGCAGTAATAACACAACACTACATCTAAGTAGTCTTCTCGGCTTGACTCGTATTTCACGCCAATTGATTGACAAAGGAGCGCTGGCAACCATATCAAACGACTTGAATTACTTCCCAAAAGACGTGTCTTCAAATGATGAAACGACTCGGCTACTTGATACATCCCCAGAAGATAAGATCGGAGAACCTGCTGTGGGGAGACTGCGACCTAGGCAACATGTAGAAGAGCGGGTGCCAATACCGAAATTTTCTCCATCCGAAAGATTTAAGCAGCTTAGAGAAAAGGCCGAAGAATCTTCACTCAACGACAAGAAAAATACTCAAGTTGATCGTCAGACATCTACGCGCAAGTACTTTAAGCCTGGCCATGTAGAAGAAAGAAAGAAGCAAGTTTTGAGCGAAGAAGAGGAAGCAGAATTGGAAAAACAGCGATTGAAACGTCAACAAGAAGTGGCTCTGCTTACCAAACGTTCGGCTGTCAAAAACAATCCGTTACTGAAGATTTTCGAGCAGCAGAATACAGAAAGTGTCACCACGACTGCCCCAAAGTCAGTTCCATCTTACAATACTCAGAATAAGCTACTATCACTCGATGATGGACAAGGTGATCCTCAATTCCGTCGAAAATCGAAGATGATCTCCTCCTTGCAAAATAAGTCATTTGTATCCTCTAGTGTTTTTCGCCAAGGTGAGGCATCAGATCCAGTTATACCACGATCACCTCGCCAGAATCGCGCAGGTTTCTCGCCTTCATACCCAATTGTGCAATCGGAAAACGAACCTTCTTCGAGCGGACAACGGAATATTGCAGATGTTGGACAGCGTAATGTTGGAATCCAGATTCAAGTAGATGAAGCAGAATCAGTTGACAGAAGTTTTATTCCTTCCGAGAAACCTCCTTCCACTGTAAGCCAGAACCCTACAAATCTTGAGGACGAGCTTGAAACCTCTGTGAATAAATTGGAGCCATATCCTACAAATAATGTGAATACAAAAATTATCGAGAACAAGGACCCTCAATTAAAAGATAATCAGCAAAACAATCTACATTACAGAGATGTTCAGCCAGATATTACAATTACTGTGAACAAGGACATCGACACTTCGCCAGAGCCCAGTCCTCGATCAGATCATGCTATATCCCCTGAAAAGGCTTCTATACCTAACCACGCAAAGCTACATGATTACGAGTATCGTGCAACAGATAGAGTACGATCAAAGAACAGAAACACTTTGGCAAGACAAAGTTTATTCGAAGGCGGTGTAGCGACCAAAAGCTCAATATTCAAGAATGCCACTGAAAACGATGCAGAATTCGATAAAAGAATCAAGGCTGGCAGAACTTTTGGATTCAGAGAGAAAAAGGACGGTACCGAGGAAAATGAAGAGGATGAAGAGGAAGACTATGAGGATGAGGATGAAGACCTTGAAGCTCATCCTGAGCAAGTAGTTCTGGTCGAGCGAATCGTAACCCACGATAATGATTCAGACATGGCAGAAACAACAAGATCTGAAAGAGCGTTGGATAGCAACAAAGATAAATTACCTTTGAAATATGTGGCACTTCCGGAAAGTAATAAACCCAAAGTTGAGACTGATATTGACAAGAAAAACATCTCGCCACTAAAGCCTTTTACATTTCCCGAGAGCCACACAAGCGATTCTGATTTCAAGAAGATAAACATCTCACCACTAAAACCTGTTACATTGCCTGAGAGCAACACATATGATTCTGATCTCAAGAAGAAAAACATCTCACCACTAAAGTCTTTTACATTGCCCGAGAGCGACACAAATGATTCTGATCTCAAGCAGAGAAATATATCGCCGCTAAAGCCTTTCACACAGTCAGAGAATGACAAGATCAACTCTGATCTCAAGGAAACAAATATATCATCACTAAAGCCTTTCACACATTCAGAGAATGACAGGATCAATTCTGGTCTCAAGGAAACAAATATATCACCACTAAAGCCTTTCACACAGTCAGAGAATGACAAAATCAACTCTGATATCAAGGAAACAAATATCTCGCCACTAAAGCCCTTCACACCATCAGAGAACGACAAAGGCACATCCAATCTCAAGGAGGGAAACATATCAACTCTAAAGGCTTCTGAACTGTCAGATGGCAATAAAGCCGATTTTGATTCCAAGAAAAAAACAATTTCACATTCAAAGCCTTTTACGCTATCAGAGAGCGATAAAGACACCTCTAAGGGCGAATATAAAAACATCCCATCTCTAAAGCCTTTTACGGTTACGGAGAGCAAAGAAAACGACACTGATGTCGAAAAGATAATTTTCTCGACTTTAGAACCTTTTGCACTATCCGAAAATGACAAAAACAATACTAATTCTGAAAAGAGAGGTATATCACCTCTACAGTCTTTCATACTACCAGAGAATGAAATAGCCGGTACAGAACTTGGAGATAAAAACATATTGCCCTTGAAATCACTTTCACATCCGGATATAACTTATACTGAAAAAAGTATGCCCTCTACAAAGTTCGCGAATATTCCAGAAAGTACTCATCACTTCAAGCCCGAAAACAAGGAAGATATATCACCTGTAAATGCTGTAAAACCCTTGGAAAGTGTCACTTCTGAGACATCTGATAACACAAGGAGCATTTCAACTGCGAGTTATGTCATGCCCCTGGAAAGAGCCGCTTCCGAAACATTTGAAATCGAGAAAAAAATGTCAATTGCGAAAACACTCGACAATCAGGAAAGCATTTTTAGTGATATCAGTGTATCGCAAAAAGACCCAATGGTTAATGAATTCACCGTGGCGAAAGAGAAGGACGCATTGCAAAAGAGCGTCGAAAACAGGGAATCTGTCCCATCCAACGAAATTTCTGGTTCTGAAAATAGCAATGCATTTAACAAAAACGTTGTAGACAAAAGCACTGTAACTGAAGCAGACTCTATGCTTGAAAAAGTATATGTAACACAAAAAGATCTTATATCTCGGCAAACTGTTGATTCCAAAGATGATCTAGAGCATGAAACAAAAGGTATGTTTAGGACTATCGAAATGGTTTTTTGAGGCTGTTACTTTTGTTATTGTTATTATCGCTTACTAAGTCATGTTGTATCGCTACCAAAGAGGAACGTGATTTGTCAAAGACTATGCCTTTGAAAAAAAGTACTGCATCTGAAAGAAATATTGTACCTGAATATGATCCTTTCCCTGAGAAAATTCTTCCAAAACAAACCGATAAAAATGTATCTGACATCGATAATAGAACTCTCGTGAAGAATGCAGTACTCGATGCATTTAAACAAAATATGGACTTTATTGACGAAGACTATCTATCAGATGAAGATATTGTACAAGATAGTACTGTAGCCGACACACGTGCCGTCTCGGATAAAGGTCCATTGTCCACAGATAGCGCGTCTAGAATTTCTACTATCTCGAATTCTATGCAGTCCGAGCCATATCCAGAAAGTCTTTCTCGATATAATTCAACTGATCTTGAACCTGAAACCAAAGTCAAAGAAAACGCGCTTCGCCAAAGCGAAAATATTTACTCTTCTGGTATTTCATCTACTGCACCAGCTGCTATTTCGACCACTTTCCATGAATACAACTTTGAGGATGAACCAGCACAACAAGAACCATCTATAAGTCCGTTAGATAAAAGCCTTCCCAGTAAAGATTCTTTGCAAGCAGATGATATTACGCCAAGAACTAATGGAGAAGATACCAAACGTGGCTTAGTGGTAAATTCTCCTTCTAATATTCCCGTGATAATCAGGAAAGATGATCTTTCTGGAGGGGAAAAACCTGATGAGGAGCACTACAGAATATCACCAGCGGATGAAATTGAGAAAGAGAAGCAAAGAGTATCGCAGACACCTAGTGCCGAAGAAATGCGCCGCTTGAGTGGTAGTCAGCGATCCCATTGGTCTGTTGGGATGAATTTGTGGGATACCGTAATAAGACGCGAGTCTCTTAGAGGAGAAACCAACCCTCGCCAGAGCTTAGCAACATGTAGCGAGTCGGATAGCGAACAGTGGTTTGACAGTCAAGAAGAATGGATGTTAGAGCAAGCTGAAAGAAGAAAATCTAAACGAAAGAGTCGCGCTGCTGCAGAAGGTGAAGCTTATATATCGTCTGATGATGATGAAGAAGCTACGTGGAGACCAGAACTGGCTTCAAGAGCTGTGGCTTTCGAAGGAAAGGCTGCGATGATCGATAAAAAGGAGTTTGTTTCCAAGGAAAGACTAGTTGACTATGACCAAGTCGAAGAGGTCGCACCTAAAGTCTCATTTGATGATGTAGCGCAATCGATTGATTCAAATTCAGAGAATAACTCGAACCGCCGCGTTTCTGAAGATACTATCCGAGAGAATTATGTTAATCGTGGACCAGCATTAGAAGAACGTGCTGTAGTTGATGATAAAGGGCAGTTTTCTTCTGATGGCATATCAGTCCCATCGCGTGGTCCTTCGTCATCATTTAGCTCTCACCGTCGCTCTATGGGCGATAGTCTGGATACATCTCCTCCCCACTCACCTCAAAAGGTTAGCGAAGAGATATTTGAAAGAGAACAGCAAGAGCATCAGCAAGAGCATCAGCAGGGGCATCAAAAGCCTCAGAATCAACAAGGGCAGCAATTAGAAAAGGTAGAAGAAATACAGCGTGGATTTGGCAGTGTTTCGGTTACGACGACTGCACACCTTGTCACTCCTCTCCCAAAGAGAAAGGATCCTGAAGAACAAGTTGAAGGCAGCACAAAGCTTGAGTTGGGACCTGATCAAGCCTTTGATGATCCCAGCAACCCACACGCGCACACGTTGTCTGGCCCCATTTTGATTCAAGAAAAGGATGGAACACCAAGAGAGGCTGGTATGTCTATGTTGGTAGCTACATCTACACCCGAGGTTCTTCCATCATCGCAACAAGGTAAATTATACGTGCGAGTAAATGGTGCCCACAATATGCTGCTACCGTTGCCCAAAGAGGTTACATATGTCCGATGTGTGGTAAGCGATGGACGGTATGAGTACATGTCACGGTACGAGATTCTTGGACAGCAAGTATTATTGGATTATGAGTGTATTGTTGATACACACCCAGACATGATTGTTACCGTCGCACTGCATGTTCGACCTGATTATCACGTCAAGCCCCGGACTGGTCTAAGTCGATGGTTTACCTCTATTCGCAAGCAAAAGGAGTCCCTGTCAGGTTACGTTCATCCAGATGATGGAGCAATTGGACAGACTCGGTTTGCACTACCCCATATGATGCATGCGTGCTATCAAAAGTCTTATCAGTCCACGTTTGACTGTTTCAATTCGTGGTACTGTAGAAGTTCTCGGGAGAGGCAAAGACAGCAACAATTTGGTGATGAAGAGGATGTACTCAAAGTGGTTGGCAATCTTTCGATCGAAATGCTTTATTTGCCGGTCTCAGATCCATCACTGGTAAGATAAAGTTCTTTTTTAAGATCCACATTTTCTGTATCTCTTTTTCTTTTTCTACTTTAAAAGCATATATCACAGCAATACTTTGCCTATACATTTAAGCACGTTTCAATTCTTTATAACTTTCATTCGACACACAAAAGATAGACTAATAAAATAAACCATTCAAAATTTATATATACACCTTTATATTCAAATTCATATTAATGGGCATACATATCTATATACACATGTACATACACATACACATACACATACACATACACATACACACACACACACATACATATATACATATGTACATATACATATACATATACATATGTGGGTCATCTACAATTTAGCCAGTTCCCAGAAACCTGCGCGAATGTGACTTGGCCTTGAAAATCCGACAATGGCATGGTACTTGTTGGAGAAGTGGATACCTCTCTACTAGACCACAGGGATCGAAGGCAAGTAAATTTTCGGGTGTAATTTTCTTCTTTAATTTTTTATTATTAGTGTTATTATTAGGGTTTTTAATATTCTAATCATAATTTGCCTTGTGGATATTCTAGATTTGGGAAAGACGATTTTATCGGTTGATCGGCAGTCAATTCATTGGCTATGCGTACGAAGAAGAAGAACCTTGGGTTCCAAGAGAACGTTACGATATTGCTGACGCTGTACGGCTCAGTGCTGCTGTAGACCAGGTTATTGTTACACTTGAAGATATACCAGAAGATGGACGTCTCTTCCAAACCGAGACAATTTGGGAGGACAATAGACGTGGATTCTTCCGCTTGGCATTCCCTGACTTCCATTTGGATTGTGTGAGTGATCAAGTGGAAGAAAGTGAGGAGTGGGTAAGAGCTCTACGATCAATGATTGGCCGTATCCCTTTGAGAATACCTTTTACAGTATAAGCAGAATATTTTTTTGTCACTCAGGCTATTTTCATGACATATTTTGTTTTGAACTATTCAACAACTTCATCCTCTTACCGTATTTAAATCCATCCTTACTCTTTATATTTCATCCCTCTCTTTTCGTTATTCCTATATTCCTTAATTACTTACCCATACTTTATATTCTTAATCTGATTCCATAATACCGTGATATACATATAATATGATCTCTTCTGGTCAAAAACGCTGTTTTTTAATGAGCATTTCCTTATTTCTTCTGGCTACAACACTTTTTGTATTTATGCCTGCCCTGAAATCTGAACCTTTCTTTGATAAACTCTATTCAAATGATATTAGTACATATACTTCACGGTTTAACAAATCTGTCAAAAAGTCAGCTTTTGCAACAGTTTTATGTGATACAACAATGGTAAATTGTAATTAAATTGAATAGAATATCAAGAATGCAAATGCAAATTGAAAGCAATAATACTCAAGGAGCCTATCAATATTGCAATTTCTTTAATTAACTCAATATATATATATATATATACTCGCACTGTTATTAATATAAATAACATTAGACAGAAGCTATCCTTGTATCGATATACTCCTTAAAGTCTGCCATGAATACTACTACCTCCTCAACATCACAAAGCGATATTCTGGTAGTTGTACCAGATACGCTAGAACTCTCAGAATCTGTGTTAACTCATATCAAATTATTGAATGTTATCATCGTCAGAGTAAGTATTAAAGCACACAATTACCCGCATCGCCGCTTAGACTTTTTTTTTTAAAATAAATAAATCAATCAATCAATCAATAGGGAAAAATACTCCACGAAAGTGTAGCAAAAGATTCATGTGGCACCGCACTTACTCTGTGGTCATTGGTAGATTATCACAAAATCGTATACTTCTCACCAAATGTATTCTTCAAACAAGTAAGTTTAATTAGTGAGCATGATGTTGTGTTAAATTAGATATACTAACATTAATTGTCAAGAACCCCCATACACTACTTGAATTTCCCAGAAATGCAGTCATGGTTCTTTCAGATAATTATGAACCTATCTATGGATCTCTTATTGTAATTGAACCCAGTCGAGATATTCTTGAATACGATGCTGAGTTGTATGATGTAGAGATAGAGCGTATTCCTATCTCAGACTATTTGCAAGAAACTATACTTTCTTGGGACCGAATAATAATGATGCCATTATCTCTGTTGGATGAGGTAAGACAAATATATGAATATACTGTACAATTCATTGATGTTAATTATATTAAAAAAATATATATGGCTTGCAGAATATTCTTATCTTTAAAGATGCTACGAAACCTTGGAACTTTCACAAGTATGGCAAGCAAGACTGGAGATCATCGTATGAGCCCTCTGAGTACTATACCTGGAGACAAGCTCACACTTTGCTGAAGAATTTTTTATCACTAGGTAACTTACTTATTTATAATTTTGTGAAGTAGATCCTAACAATACAATCCACTATTTCCTTGTCAAGGTTCTCCTGGATGGGCTAACCAAAATCGTCAGAGGGACATCTGTGATAAGGTTGCGCCTAATTCTACGAGCCATACTTTTCCACTCCAAAACAAGTTTTCAGTACTCTTGAGTACCTATAATCCAGAACGTATAGAACATATATCCCTTCTCATCCGCCACCTGCTTCGATCGTCCAAAGTGCACGCTGTTTATGTTACTTGGCACAACCCCGCATTGGAAGTACCCCCATCGCTCCTAGAAGCCCTTACTTCAATTGAACGCGAGCGGGTCCATATATTGAGACAAGAATACGATTCTCTTAACAATCGGTTTAATCCAATTGCAAGTCTCTTGACAGATTCAGTGTACATTATGGATGATGATATTTTTATGGATCTGGGTGATCTTGAGTTTACATATCAAGTAAGCTTAACAATAAAGTATCCCCTTTATCTCAACCATCTCCTTCAAGTCTCCGTTTATTAATTTATGACAATAATAACCGTTTTTACTTACCTTTCTTTATAGACGTGGCAGGCACAAAAGGATAATGCAGTGGGTCATTTTCCTCGTTACCACACATTTGATCCAGAACTCCAGACTGGGACATACAAAGTTCCTTATGGTCAGAAAATGCAGTATAGTATGGTTCTAACAAAAAGCATGTTTGTCAGATCTGACTATCTTTTTGCTTATACATGGTAAGTCAATAGTTGTTTTTTTTTGTAATACTTTTAAAAATGAATATAGCTACTAATTAATCTGAGCAAACTTTTATAAATCACAGTCTATTGGATCAAGATATGCATCGTATTATTGATGATCGTCTTAACTGTGAGGATATTGCATTTTCCATGCTGGCAACTGGATGGACTGGTGCTGGGCCGACTTCAGTGACACCACAGAAGCCAGTCAGTGACTTTGGACTTGACTTGGGAATCAGTCTATCCGTTGGACATATGGATGCTCGTGCAGAGTGTATAGTAGATTTCATAGGGCAATTTTGGGATGGACAAGATCCACTCATAATGGCTTACAATACTATTGTTCCTTACCGTCGTACCTCTCTTCGGAGGGGTAAATGGGAGAGCATTAAATCCCAGGTCAGCAAGTACGGCATTTAGTTCACCGAAAAACTCCCCTTCTGTTGTACAACTTTCACTTCATCCAGGAAACCCCCCCTCCAATTCATTCTTGGACTCATTCTTGGTTATCGTTTACTCTTTGTTTTTTATCATGCCCTTTCATTTCTTCACATAAATAGAGCATCAACTTAATATAAAATATTCATTATTACTACTTTTCATACAAAGACCATTATTCATCCCAGAACAGCCTAAAACTATATAAGTGACGTAGAAAAGAAAGGTCGGATGACGTCGTGTCGGACCATCAAAGACGCCACTTTACACCGGTCCTTTTTTACCTAAACATAGCGTTGACTGTGTTTTCTATCCTTTTTGTTAACTCGACCTAATGGCCAACAGCAGCAGTACAACCGTCGCCCCTCCAGCAACTGCCCAGGACAAGCTCAAACGCTTTTTGGAAGACAAGGACTGGAAGTTCTACTGTGCCCTGGCTGCTGGCGTGACTGTGGCTGGTGCAGGACTTTACTACCTCTCCAAGCCTAAGAAGCCTTTGGCAGGTAGCACTCCTCCTAAACCCAGAGCACCCGCTCAAGGTACACATTATTGTATAATTGAATACAACAAATCCGGATATGGATTTATAAAAACAAATAAAAAAAATCTGGGAAAGAGAAAGAGAAGATAGAAAGGGACAGCAAAGAGAAAAAGAGCGAAAAAATGCTGAGACTATTGTAGGTAAGCCTTCCACTCCAGCTGCCCCAGCTTCTCCTGCTGCTACAACTTCTACAACTGGCGCCGAGTACGAGACCATGACTGATGAGGAAATTGCTGCCTTGACTGAAAAGGTAATTAATAGAATAAGAGAATAAACTGCATAAGAAGCATGATTGGAGATACTGATATTATTATTTTTTGGGTAATTGCAATTAAAAGGAGCGTGAAGATGCTGCCCAGAGCTTAAAGACCAAGGGAAATAGCCATTTTAGCAAGAAGAAGTACGAAGAGGCTGTGCACCTTTACAGCCAGGCAATTCGTTTTAAGAAGGATCCCGTATTTTTCTCCAACCGCGCCGCTTGTTTTGGCAATCTCGGTCAGAACGATCGAGTAATCCAAGATTGTGATGAAGCACTCAAGCTAGACCCTGTGTACATCAAGGCCCTGAACCGTCGTGCCCAGGCTTTTGAGAAGAATGATGATCCTGAAGCAGCTCTTTATGGTACAGTGACATGCACAGGATGCCGAATAATAAGATGCGAGGTGCACTAAATGAGTCTTTTCTCTTTTTTTTTAAAGACTTCACTTGCGTCTGTATCCTTGATAATTTCAAAAACGAGGCTGCCAGCAAGGCAATGGAGCGTATTCTTAAACAGGTTTCTGAGGCCAAGGCTAAGGAGATGATGAAGGTATAAAGTCACAAAAAAAGGGAAAAAGAAAATGGATAGAATGTACTTATCAAGGATTGGTTCATTTTATTATAGACTAAGAAGCCTCACCTTCCTTCTCCCACTTTTGTCAATGCTTATCTTGAATCATTCCATCCTGGTAAGATTTAAACATATATACGATTAATAGGGGGAGAAGTGAAAAATATTTGGAGAAAATCATGCTAAAACAATTTTTATTTTATTTTCTCTTTTAAAAAATATACAGTTATTCATGAGCTGCCTTCAGCTGTGGATGAGGAAACTGGTGATGCATACTACGCCAAGGCATACCGTGCTATTTCTGAGCGCAACTACGAGACTGCCGTCGAATCTTTAGAAAAGGCTGTTGAGTTAGGCTGCTCCCGTGCTTATCAAGCCTATGCTCTTAACTTGCTCGGTACCTTTGTATTCTTAAAGGGTAACGCCAATGATGCCCTGAGTTACTTTGACAAGGCTATTGAGGCCGATCCTCAGTTTGTTCAGAGTTACATTAAGCGTTCTTCGATCTACATGGAAAAGGGTAAGTTAAATATTGATATGGCTGAGTATGCTTTCTTTATATTTGATTGTTAATATTGGATGGTATACTGTAGGTGATTTGGCATCTACATTTAAGCAGTTTGAGTTGGCAGTTGGAATCAACTCTAGTGACCCTGATATCTACTACCACAGGTACGCTTCTTTAAAAAAAATGTCAAAATGTGTGTATAAAGTTTATAATCTAATTTGAGTTGTTTCTTTTTTGTGTGTAATTTCTTTTTTGGTTTTGGTTTTCCGTTTAAAGAGGCCAAGGTATGTACCTAAGCTCTGACTGGAATTATGGACAATGCGCTGATACTTGATATTCTTTATTTTTTGGGTTATTAGTGAACTACATTAGTGGAAACTATGATGCTGCTGCAAAGGATTACGCTGAAAGTATCAAACTCAATGACTCCTTTGTTTACGCTCACATTCAGTTGGGTGTTGTTCAGTACAAGCTCGGTTCGATCTCTTCATCAATGAGCACTTTCAACAACACTCTTAAGAAATTCCCCAACTCTGCTGAAGTTCACAACTACTACGGTGAATTGTTGGCTGATCAACAAAAGTTACCCGAGGCTATCGAGACATTCACCAAGGCTATTGCACTGGACTCAAAGAACCCCTTGCCATACATCAACAAAGCTATGTTGATGTACCAGGTTATGGGTGACATGAACGAGGCCATGAATCTTTGCAAGAGCGCATTGGAAGGTAATAAATGGTTATAAGCACTAGGGAAAGGAACCAGTATTTAACGGAAAATATAGTTGATCCCGCATGCGATGCTGCTGTGGCTTCTTTGGCTCAGATGCTGCTTGAACAGGGCGAGTCCGAGCAAGCATTGACCTACTACGAGAAGGCAATTGAATTGGCTCGTACTGAGGCTGAATTGGAGCATGCCATTATGTATGTTGAGGCAACCAAGACCCAAACACGTTTTGCAAAGGAGTATCCTGAAGCAGCAGCTCAACTTAAGGCCCTGCGCGGATAGAAGAAAAGAGAAGAAAAAGAAAGAAAAAACAAGAAACCTAAACAAAGCAAAAGAAGCAGAAGAGATGGCAAGAAAAATCAATCGTTTTTCCCATCTTAATTGAACATCAAATCCATGTAAAAATATATAAAGATCAAGAGATAATCCCACTTATACACCCATATATGTACGCCACAGGCAAAAATATATCAAAAAAAGCCTCCCTCTCAGTAGTATACACCATTTCAACAAAAAAAAATGCGGTTTAAAAGTATAATGCAAACGAGAAAAATGATTTTTGAAAGAGAACTCTTCATTTCAACCAGCCAGACCAAGTAGATATATTTTATTTTCTTAGACCTTGAAGCCACGGGAAGCACGCTTACCACGAGCGCGCTCGAACTTGCGACCCTCGGAGCGAACATAAGGCTTCTTGTTCTTGTGGGGACCCATGCCGAAATGCTTAACGGCCTCACGGGAGTTCTTGGAACCACGAATAAGGACAGTGTTGGCACCGGTAGGGGCACGGAGAGCGAGCTGATCGAGGGTGAGGATCTCACCACCGGCCTTAAGGATGCGAGCCTTGGCAGTCTTGGTGAAGTGAAGGGCAGCAATAGAAAGCTTGGGGAGGTCCAAGATGCGGACATCGTCGGTGATGGTACCAACGACAACAAAGGTCTTGTTGGCGGCGCTCTTGGTGGCAGCGTACTTAGCAAGGCGGGAGACCGAGACGGGGGGACGGTTGACACGGGACATAAAGAGACGCTTCAAGACAACCTTGTTGAAGTTGGCATCAGTGCGGCGAGCAAGGAAGCGATACAACTTCACCAACAAAGCCAAGTAGACATTGTCCGACTTGGGAGCAGTACGGTTGGAGTTCTTAACGTGGTGGTTCTTAAGATCGATACCCTATAATTTCATCACAGTTAATTGCTGTTCTAACTCTTTTTCTCTTTTCATCTTGCTTGGTAGTGGCGTACGACTCTGGAATTTAGTTGTATATGCGTAAACGTTGTTTTGTTGGGAAAAGTGTATATTGAACGGTTTTACTGATTTATTAATTAAATTCGGTTGAATTTGCCGTACTGATTCACTATTTATTAATCCTGATTGGCCGTTCGGTTGTCTTTTTTTAGGATGATCGTTTGGCTAATGGGTTGGTCGTTTGGGTGGAGTGTGCTGATTGGTTAAATATCCAGGTGCAACTTGTAGATTTGGCTGATCGGTTGATTGGGTCGGTTTGATTTATTTGTATGTGGGGTCGATGGCATAGTGGTTATGGAGCGTTGTAATATGTTGGTTTTTAAAAATAGTGGCTGTTGATCCATTATTTATCGTCGTGCATCCATCTATCCAATTATCGTATCTATCCAAAAGAGCTATTTACCATTCTTGTTTATCAACCAAGTCGTCGACTGCTGGCAGGAAGAAAGATTCTAAGGTGGATCCATTTGTTCTTCAAAAGTACACCTGTGCAGCATTTCCGGGAAGTAATATCGCCACCCAATGAAATTCAATATCGCTACCCAATGAAAATTAATGTTGTATTTTCAGGAATGGTTTTCGCGTGATTAGAAATTATATTATATATTAAATACTTTAAAAGTAATGCTGTAAAGCCTTTTTTGTGCCTTAAAACACACACACACACACACAGGCATATAAATTGTTAGAATCTTCTTTTTTTTCTTTTATCACTTATTTCTCACTACTGCACTAATTACTTGGCAAGATACTCGAATTTTCTTAGGAATTTCTCAAGCGCAAGCCAAAGCTTTAAATGTTTTCCAAATGTTTTCCAAATACGGTTTAGCGGTTTTCTTAAATTTGTGGATTTTAAAGGCGAGCCGCCAAATGTTTGACCAAGACTAGAGTTGAATCCAAAGTGTTTGGCGAGTCATCTCTAAAAACGTCTGGTTTAAGGAGACCACTGAACCGCATTTGGAAAATCTTCGCCAACATTTAGGACCTTGGCATGTGCTTGAGAACCCTCTTAATTACAATCAATCCGAATCAATATTATATGAATGTCCAAGACTGGCTTATTAAATAAACATTTCCTTTACACACTAATTACTACCAAACCATGTTAAAATGTGCTTTCACATTCTCAACACTCAGAGATAAGTCATACGTAATGATTGGTGTACGAACAGCAATATTGAGGATATTAAGATTTCTCGTAACAGTGCTTACAATATCATAACAGCCAGATGTATTCTTTCAGTCTAAAAGAAATAAACATAAGCCAATACACTCTGTGTAAAGTAACAGCCTGGAGAATATTCGGTAATTTTACTATCGAGTCTGCCAACGGAAATAAACTGATGGAAAGCTGCTAAAAGTCCATACCCTCTCTAATTTGACCGTCCTTTTTCTCATTGTCTTTGCTCGTCTAAATCAGTTTCTGGTGCCTTAACTTTGAAAGTATAAGGTTTTACTTTTTATAGTTACCAAAGGAGCTTTATTATGCAAAATAACACGCTGTATTTGTATGATAAATATTACCTTTCTTCTAATGTTTCAATACCTTTTAATTAAATTGATTTTTTTTACAAGTAGTCTTGTACTTTTTCTCTATTAAATAATGGATCCCGTCACCGACTAAGTGTTCAAAATTTTCACAAGAAGGACCACCAAACACTTCAATAATGAAAAATCCAAGGTGGTTATGAGAGAGAATCGTGAAAATCTCATCAATACTGGGACAAAGACTTTTTTTTTAGCATCAAGTAAAGCTCTGTGTTTTGTTTGACATAATGTAATTTTTGATTTTCTCTTATAAGAAAAAAGATAGATTGTGTCAAGATGTAACTCATACATCAAGATCTTATTACAACCCACCATCTTTGATAAATTGGGATATACATATATATCATAAAAAGCTTTAGTAATCAAAAGGTATATTAAAGACATTGTAAAATAATATTTGCTCATACAAGGGTCGATGAAGCACTTAAAGCCGTCTACAAGCTGCCTCTCACTACATATGTTATATTTCTGTGGAAAGGCTGGGACGTTAAGTACTTTGAAACTCTTTTTTATTGTTTGTAAAAGGTGTGAAATCAAAGGGAGTTATCTTGACAAAAGTTATTTTTTCTGTGGTATTTATAGATATTGAGGTATATCCAGCCATCACAGTTACGAGTTATGGTAACGGCTCCGTGATAATATTTTAAGTACTTCTGTCTGAACTCGTAAATTATATAATATATTTAAGTATCCCAAATACAGCAACATACAAGATGTATTTAGTTTACTAAGTTAAGACCATCGAAATTACACTTACATTAAACAAAGTATACTGCTGAAGATCACCTTACAACCTTTGTTGTTCTCAGTATATTCAGCTTATGTTAAATGAAATATAATGACGAATCAGTTTTAACTTGCTTCGTTTTTTTACAATTTCTTTGCTAATTGTGGGTATCTTCTTGGTTTCAGCAATAATCAATCCATCAATTTCATTTTGTAAAGTAACTGTGAAAGACGACTAACCCTATGAAAAAGTCAATATGTCAGATATACGGCTTTCAAATGGATTTACAGCAAACAAAGAGTTGGCAGTTTCATTATCTACTTGGAGTTATGAATTGAAAATTTAACTTCTTTCTTATTTTAAACATTTAGACGGTGACACGACACGGCACGACACTCTCTTTTGCCGCCTGGAAAATGAGATGGCCTGAGAAGACACGCCCGTGAACGTTGAAGTAACGACACAAAGAGGAACTTCAGTTTATAATTCTTGAAGCTGTAACTGCAAAAGGGTTACTGATATCTCTGTGCGCAAATTCAGTGAACCAAAGAAGAGAAAAACAGCTGGCTCGTCGACAGCAAAGTTGCCCTCTGGTGGCACTAAAGTCGGGCATTTTCAAACATACGTAAAAGGATACTATATCATTATGAACAACGCGGAAAAATATAAAAAAGAGTCATTGAAGGCAAACACATATCCAGAATAGACTCATATTCCATTTTCTTAAATCAAACTGAAGAATGTTGGCCAAAAATCAAGGTCTTTGATAGTTATAAGCTTTAGAAAAAAAAAAGACAGAGGAGTGATTGAGGTGTCATGTATTTTTTGACAGTTAGTGTCTTGAGTAAGTAAATAAGGCGTCTTGAGAAAGTCTCATTAACAGAATTATGATAGCTTAAAGCGAGAATCTTTGTAATAAACTATCGACAACAACAAAAAACTCTACCGTTTGGCGTTACTTTTACTGTACATTGGGAAACGTCATTTTGTATTTTATTTTATTTGATAATACGGTACTCCGCTCATATAGTTTGTGGTATTGAAAGAAGAGAATAAGCATGCTAGAAATACTTCTTTGATTCATTTCCATATATAAATTTGTTAAAAGAGATATTTCTGTGTATTTTTTTTATAAAAAAGTAATAATAAATTAATAGATTAATAAAAAAAAATATCATTTTCTTGCACTTTTAAAAGAGTTTGAAGAAGTATTGGAAGCAATAGTGTGACTGTCTCTAGAAAGAAGGACGCGAAATTGAGTTTGGTAAACTTGCCCCTTGCCTTGTTTATATCCAATGTCTATCCCTCGCCTTGCCCTTCGTCAGACCTTTGCTGTCCGTCGAATTATCCCTCGTGCTCATGCTACTCTTCCCTTGAGACGCTTTGTAGCTACAACTGGAATCCCAACGTAAGAAACCATAATTTTGCTTATGTTCATACACACATGTGGAACTACTTTGCGTTGTCGAGAAAACTAAGAAACAATTATTGAAAACCTAATAATGCATTTACACATGTATATAATCGTGCTAACTAAACTACAGGGATCAGCCTAAACAGGAGATTCCTCGAAAAGATTCTACCCAGGAGATGCTTCAGGCAACTCTTCCTTATATTCAACAACATGGCTGGACTATGGATGCCATGACGCAGGGTGCCAAATCACTTGGATACCCCTCTGTTGCTCACGGTGTCTTTCCCGGTGGAGAAGCAGGCCTAGTTGATGCTTTCTTGACCGACTGTCGCCGTCGTTTTATTGCCATGGCTGAGGAGAGACAAAACACTGGTCAATTTGAAGGGTATGAGGCACAATTAGACCGTATTACTCTGCTGAGTCTGTAGTCCAGCGTAGACTGAACCAAAAAAAATGTGTGTGTGTGTTGACTTTGACGTTTTAGTTACACTGTAAACGAGAAAGTCAAGATGCTGACTATTATGCGAATTGGTATGATGAAGCCCTACATCAAAACCTGGCCTGAGGTAAATTAGAATTATTATTATTTTTAGGGGAGAACGACATTATTTAGCCAAGGGTAACTGACGTAGTAGTATCACCTCTATTATAATAATAAAAATAGGCTTTAGCTATTATGGCCCATCCTACCAATGTCCCTATGTCTCTGAAACACTTGAGCGAGGTTGTCGATGACATTTGGTTCTATGCAGGTGACAGAAGTCCTGACGTGAGTGATGTCTGATTGATTAATGGATTGATAAATATAAAATAATACTGACATATTAATTGATGTGAATAGATGGACTGGTATACAAAGCGTGCTAGTCTTGCAGCCATCTATTCTTCCACTGAAGTTTTCATGACTCAGGATGTGTCTCCCAACCATGCAGAGACCTTCCGTTTTTTGAACAGAAGACTTGATGAAGTTGCTTGGATCGACGCCAGTGCACGTCAGGTATAGAATAATAATTAAGGTCCGCTAAATCCACACTAAATTGATTCCTATTTTACCTCGTGATACCTTTATGCTTGATCTAGCTTGGTACTATGCTTGCTTTTGGGGCAAAGAGCATGATGGGCATGCTTGCCACTGTAAGTATAATTATATATAGAAAAAAAACGTCATTCCAATATTGAGATCGTATTATATATAACTTTTTATTTATTTTTTCTTTGTATATTTTAGCGCGGTGGCCGATTCAACTAAAAAGCAAATGAGAAAGACATGGGGGGTAATAGAAAGGAATAGAGTTTTCTTTTTTTTTTTACAAGGGGATGTCTGTATAGTAATAAACTAAAGCAACCAAAGGCTTTCAGACTGAAATATATACATAAATATTCACACACATACACATATACACAAATGAGGCTATTATCAATAAAGGTTTCTTATACAGAAGTAGTGCATGTGTTGCCATGAGCTCTGGAAATTAACCACTCTGCGCCTTGATCGAGTTGTTCTTCAAAAGAACAGCGTGCGGATTCATGTAAGAGGCCTGTCCAGTTGAGTGCATTCCAGACAGTGTCTATTTCAGGTCTTGCCTTGAAAGTGGCAAGTGCACCAAAAAGCATACGCTCCGACAGAGCAAGAGTCCAGCAGTTCGCATTCTTGGGGTCGGTGAAACAAGCGGGCAGAATGGTTTGGACAATGAATACAAGCGCGCACGCTAATGAATGAGTAACAGCAGCCACGCCAGCCTCGAGACTTTTCCAAAAGGATTCACTAAGCCGATGTAGGATAGAGTAGTTTGTGTGGGGAAGGGTTGTTTTGTCGATTCGACCTTTTGCTAGATTTTCAGTTGGTCGAATGATGCATAGGAGGTCATTGGCGATATGAACCACTGTGAAGTCGAACCAATCGTAGTCTGCATTGTAAAAGTCACACCGGACCTGGAACGAAACCATTGCATATTCGGCTGTACTCAGTCCACTACAAAGTCGCCGGACATCGTCAGGATGAACAAAGCGCATCAAAGGCAAGCCAATACCATGGGTCCAGTGCGATTTCTGGTCGTAAAATGCCTCGATCGTTCCGTACGTTGTTAGCCGGGCAATGGAATGATCTATAGGATTATGGCAAGCCAGATTTTCCAGGACAGTTACGTCTGAACAGACTATTATTGAGGTGCTGTTGTCATCGTTGGTTTTTATATTATCGGCATTGTGGGTACAGATACAGAGAGTCAGATTTTGTTTGGTTATGTGGTGTTGTAGTGTGACATAGGACATTGTATTGGTCGGTGTCCACAGCTGATCGAGAGGTGTTTGAGAAGGATCATATCCAACCATATCTATCCACTCTTGTGTGGCAGAAATGATGATATCTCCCTCTAGTCTTAACCAAGCCATGGATCGTAAAGGGCATGAACTAGCAGAATGTTGTGACATGTATATATGTATATTTTTATTATACTTTTATATCTATTAGGTAAATTTATATATCTATATATCTATATATCTAAATATCTAAATATCTAAATATCTAAATATCTAAATTTCTATATATCTATAGGCTCAATTATAAGCAAAGAGATAAAGAGAAAGAAAGAAAGAATGGCAAAGAAAAGGAAGGGGCTAAAGGAGAAATTAATTTTTATTATAGTGACCGCAAAGACAACTGACTGACTTTTGAATTTATGTGAATCGGGAAATAATATTCCAAAGACTGGCCACAGCGTTTCTACTTGAGATTGAGGCAAATTAGAAAATATTTTAGACAAAGTAAATATTTATTCAGACCTTTTCTATTTGTCTAAACGGCTCAAAGAGACAAACTAACTTAGGTACAATAATTGGATTTTTGTGGTAATTGCTGCCTGTTTGCTTGCTTTTATTAGATCTTTGTAAAGCGGTTGGTCTATGGGTTCCTCCCCAAGTTGGCAAAGCAATTGCTATCTTATTTTTTTTCAGCATTAACATCTCGCTGCCACAGTGTATTACAGGTTTTAAAGATCAATAAAGAAAGGGCGTTTAGATAGTCAAAATGTTTAAATGTTCTTTTATTAAATAAGCACAACTTGAGCATCTCTTTTTGACCTGTATTCAATTCTCGGTGTGGATAATATACACTATATATAATGTTTTCCAAAATCTAACCGCTGAGGATGCTCTTAATGAACCCGAGTACTTTTCCAGGAATAAAAAAAAAATACAAAATTCAAAAGTCTAACCGCTTTCCAAAGATCTGATAAAAGCGAGCAAACCAGCAGCAATTACCACAACAATCCAATCATTGTACCCAAGTTAGCTTGTCTCTTTGAGCCGTTTAGACAACTACATTTTGACTCGTCTAAACCATTTCTTAATTTATCTAAATCTCAAGTAGAAACACTGTATGAAAAATGAATTGTAAACCAAAAAAAAAAAAAAAAAAAAAAAAAACTTAGCAAAGAACAATAAAAAGTATTCCTTTTACTTAAAAATGCTTTCTTTTTCTCATTTTCTATACTTTAAAGAGCTGATTCTTATTTCTGTATTTAGCCAATTAAATATTATTATCTGATTCATTCTAGTTATTGGAGTGGACATCTACTTCTTGTCTCTTGTTACCACGCCTCCATTAAGGACATAAGATTTGTTCTAGCTAGTGGCATAGACTTACTAATCAAATAGAGCGTCCTTACTCACAATAGTACCGTAACTGAGCCAGGGTATCAAAAGATGCGAATCAACAAAGGTTCGGTGGTGGTTCGAAGATGTACCTGATCCAGAAAGATTGGACTACTTGTTCCACTGAATGGAAATATGCTTGTCACAAATGCTATATAGTTATGCTATAAATTATTATTTTTATTTCAAAATTTATACTTTTGCACTTTTGGTGTACTCCACAAAGAAGTAATATAATTGACTAAAACTGATAAGTTTGGATTTCTACCTAGAACCCGTTTGAGTACCCTTTTTGTAGCTGTTTTTGAATGTGAATTAGATTTTTCTGACAAATATCTATTTTAGTGTTGATCTAAAAGGTGGCTAAAGAACCTTAGGAATTCAATAGAAGGAAAGGTATGTATAGTGTATATGTATAAGAATATGCGTGGGTGTTGGACCCATCATGAACATGATAATCTGTGCTGTGTACACCCCAAATAAATGGGCAGCAAAGTTTCAATTATAGCAAACTTTGATGACATTATTATAGTATATATACTCATTTTTTTTAGTGGGTGATAAAACTTTGAAACAGATGTGGTTCTTTATCCAATGCTTAAAAATGATTGGTACTCAATGTCTGGGGATGGGTTGTGTACTTTCAGGTGATTATAGTTTTTATATATATATAAATGAAGTTTGTGCAAGTTGATACAGAAGCTCATAGGCCACGCATCTATCAAAAATAAAAAGAAACCGGAGACTTGATCAGTTCTTTACAATATAACCGTTAACGGTCATTTGTTTTGCCGAGTTAATAGTTCTTGTTGCACTGGTCGTAGTTGTTTGAATATTTCAATACATAATGTAGGAAGAAAATAAAACTTGTGCTGAACTTGTCAGTAGAGACAATACAATAGATGTGTCTGTTGACTTGTCTGTTGACCACGACGGCTCAATAATGCTGTGTAGAATAACCAGTGTGTAGCTAGACAGACAGCTGTATATCTTTATGGCCTTATGGCCACGACTCTTAATAAACCTATAAGCTTTTAGATCATTTGTGGACACTAAAGTACTGTTTTTGACAGTATGCTCTACCCAGCTCACAGCCCTTCTAATCAATTGAAGTATATAGATTTTGTATTCTTACCCCGAGAATCATAGCAGCTTTGGTATTTTTGTTTTTGTATGATTGTTTTGGCTTATTCTTCTTGTAAGCTGCTTTTTGTGTGTGGAATGTCAATTAGGTATTTCTATTTGCCACAAAAGAATATTCTGGCTTTTCTCTCTCTTTCTCTTTGTCTTATATATACAAGGTGGGACGTATGTGTACCAAAACCAAAACCAAAACCAAAATCAAAATCAGAGACAATGGGTTGGCTTGAAATCCATTTGATCAAGATTATCATCTAGAACCCCAAAATAATAAGTTATCAGAATCAGATTTATATAAGCAATTTTAAATATAATATAGATATATAGATTAAATCCTTAAGAATTTGATATAAAATAGGCATTCTGATGCACAAATTTCCAAAAAGAGAGATATATAGTTGTGATACAAAGTATTAGGCTTATAGAATAAGATATAATAAAATAATTCCGAGGCTTTGGCGGTAAATATTCTATATTTTTCTTATGAATTTTGAGTTCATTTTGCTCATACAATAAAGTATATAAGCTTTTGTTATTTTCTTTATTCTTTTGGGTCATTGTTGTGTTTTCCTGTAAATAAGCCAAGTATAGAAAGGGTGTATATAGCTGCTCTATGCTATAAAGACAGAATAGTCTAACAAGCTTTTTATATATCTAAATAAATCTAATAGAGAGCTTGTATTTGATTTGTGACTCTGAGAAACACAGAAAATTGCCATAGTGAGCAAACGGATTATCAATATTGCCTTGTACACAAATCATTTGGATATTCGACAAGTTCATCAAAGGTCATACCTTGTGTGTTTTAAAGGCGCATTTTGGTTTGCCTCAAGCATCTTTCTTATCTCTCAACACACAACTTGTATAACCGTGTCATCTTGTGAGCATGATCTGAACCTCTTTGGAAAATTTATCAGCTGTTTCCGGGGATTACCTTGTGCTCTTCATCATACACTAACACTCTTGTGCTGTTATTCATTACAGAATAAACCATACTCTATTTTACTCTTTTATATCCTTCTTTTTTTTATTATTATAAAGTTCCTAAAATGAATCAATTCCTTACACTTTTTATATATATTATTATTATTATTGGGCGTAAGTTTAGAAAGATCTTGATGAACATCAAGGGGATACGTAGAATGGCTTATGATAATAAGAATTAAAGAGGATCTGCTTGCATCACTGCAAAGAAAATCCAGGAGACCTTGACCCCCCCAGCTCCTTTCTGATTGAGTGGGGATGGCTAAAAATACATCCTTTTTTTTACTAATATTATCAAACACAGATATATATATATATATATATATATATAAAAGAGTAGGTACAGAAGATGAACCCCACAAATCCGGTGTTTCAACAAAGTTATTTGATCGGTGATTAGGGCATTGATTATGATTTATGATTTATGATTTATGATTTATGATGGATATTTCTACAGAAGTGTATATGTATGTGTATGTGTATGTGTATGTGTATGTGTTTGTGTTTGTACAGCAGTAAAAGGAAGAAAATTATCTAGATGTATATGGAATATAAATAAAAAGGGAGAATCATGTGTGTGTATATACAATTAAATGGTATCATAGAGACTATAAAGACTTAGACCGGAATACATGCGTTTCCATAAGCCCTGGTGATCAACCATTCTGCACCTTGATCCAATCGTCGCTCGAATGAACAACGTGCGGATTCATGGAAGAAGCCTGTCCAGTTGAGCGCATTCCAGACAGTGTCTATTTCAGGACGTGCCTTAAACATGGCAAGCGCACCAAAAAGCATGCGCTCCGACAGAGCAAGAGTCCAGTTTCCATTCTTAGGATCGGAAAAACAAGCCGAAAGAATGGTTTGGACAACGAATACAAGCGTGGATGCCAATGAATTGGTAACAGCAGCCACACCAGCCTCGAGGCTTTTCCAAAAACATTCATGAACACGGTGGAGAGTTGTGTAATTGCTGATGGTCGGAATCGTTTTCTCAATCTGACTGCTCTTAGTTGCAAAATTCTCACTTGGCCGAATGATGCACAGGATATCATTGCCAATATTAACTACCGTAAAGTCGAACCAGTCGTAGTTTGTGTTGTAAAAATCACACCGGACCTGGAACGAAACCATCGCAAGCTCGGCAGCACTCAATCCCCCGCAAAGTCTCCGAACATCATCAGGGTGGACAAACCGCATCAAGGGTAATCCGATGCCGTGTGTCCAGTTCGTCTTTTGGTCATAAAATGCCTCGATTGTTCCATAAGTTGATAGTCGTGCAATGCAATGGTCGACCGGGTTATGGCGAGCAAGGCTATCTAGAACAGTTACGTCTGAACAAACAATGTCGATCTCTCTATCGTCTTTCTCGGAAGCGTGGCTGCAGATACAAAGTGTAATCTCTTCACGAGTAAAAGGGTTCGCAAGTGAGACATAGGGAGATGATTCTGCTGTCGTCCACAGCTTGTTGATGTGTGCCTGAACTGGGTCAAAGCCAGTGATGTCGATCCATTCTGGAGTGACATGGGTTACAATGCCATCCTTCACAGTCAAACAAGCCATGGAGCGCAAAGGGCAAGAAGTAGCGGTGTGAGCTGACATGGTTTGAGAAATGAAATATGAAATATGAAATATGAAGGGGAAGAAACAAGGAGAAATAGAAGAAGAAGAAGAAGAAGAATTAATATATATATATATATATGAAAAGGTTATTGAAATATCACTATTAATTTTATATATTTATATATTTTGTACACAAGCTGAAAGGAAAATGATAATAATGTTATCCCTCATTGATTCTCCGGTCTGCTTTCCCCACAATTTTTTTTTGCAGTCTTTGAAGCACATGATCGCTATGTAGTGCCAATACAAGATATAACTTGAAATGCGTTGTGCAAGATTCTCATTGGCCAAATTGACTATGCTAGGGATACTTTGGCCTGGTCCTCTTTGGGAACACAGACGGGGTGACTGTTGGAATAAGGGTAGATATAATAGCCATAAAAGGGCGTGTCATAGTATACTAGAGAGGAGTTCTCACGTGTGATAGGATAGTAGGGGTGGTAAGGACCGTGTCCGTAATCGCAAGGTACATAAAGCCCTGTCTTGCTTAGGTCTGTGCTGGCTAGTAATATCCCCCAGTTTTCATAAGTAAATGAATGATGTCACACACTTTATATATATATACTTATATTTACCTTGTTTTGTGCAAGAGATCTGGGTGTCATTAGCCTAAAAGATTAAAAACAGACACAAGCATATATACAGGTGGGCACACACACTCTTGGTTGGTTCCTTAAATCTTACGACAGTTACTTACCGTCACATTAACCCCATCGTGATATACAGCTGGAAAGGGCACAGCTGGGTAACTCACACATGTCATGGGGGATTCTACTGTGACAGTAGGACATGATGTGACTGTGGGTGGAACAGGCAAGTAGAAATAAGGTTCGACTGCTAAAGGAGTACCATGCGAGGCAGAAGAGCATTGGCCAATCGGATATCCTGTGCCACTTGGGACAACTGGCATATACTGGAATACCGAAGCAGGATATCCCATCCCCGGGGGATAGGTCTGTTCTGAAATATGTCCGGCCCGGCTGTGGTGAGAATTGTAGTGATCTCGGTACGCCACCCGCAATTCTTTCTCTTTCCATTGGAAGGTATTTTCATGTTCAATCGCATCTGTGGCCTCTTTTCCGGACTTATATTTTATAAAGGCATACACGCGTTTATGACCTTGATAGACTGGCTTACGGATAATACGGGAGTAAATGATTGTTCCGTACACCCCAAACTTTTCGGTCAATTCTCCAGTGGTGGTGTCTTCGTGTAAGTTCCCAATAAAGATGCTTGTTCTGTCAGTATATGAACACCGTGACTCTGGGTCCTTTGAATCCAAATTAGAAGCCCATTCAACTGTCCATCTTTCAGTGAATGGAGGTGCCCTAAGAATCTTTTATATATGTATATATATATATATATATCAGTGCTTATTATCAAGACACATTAAAATCAGTAGAATAATATAGAGAATCTTACTAGGAAAGCTTTAATGGCATCGTCGCGGTAATGATATTTTACAAATGCACAATATTTTCGACCCCGAGGATGCAGAATTGTGATGTCTTCAATTTCCCCATGCACAGACACTTCTGCACGGACTTCCTGAATGTTTCACAAGCAGATAAACATAAACATGTGTGTAGGTTATAATGTTTTTAAATGTATATATATATTAATTTTGTATAAAGCAAAAATAAAATAAAATAAAACAGTTGATCTTGGACAACAAAACAGCAATTTGTTTTTTGTGTATAAAAAGTTCTACTTACTTCTTTGACCAACGGTCCTTTTAGGGACCCAAGGCACAAAGTACGATTAACGCGCGCCGGCTCACACCTAATATTGCGTCCATCAAGAATCGTACCTGGGCCAAGTCGCAAGGCATTTTGAGCATCAACGATAGTTTCATATTGGACAAACGCATATGGACGCCCCATCCAATCCTTGAGTACTTTGACATTTAACAATTTTCCCCATCGGACAAAGTGATTTGACACTGATAAGTTCAGTTCTTCGTCATTCTTTTCTTTGGTAAGGCTGTCAAAGTAGAATACCGGTTGTTTATCCATCACAAGACAAGAGGAGGAAGGGGCGGGAGATATTTTTCTTTCCTATTTAAAATTCTATTGTGATGCCTTACCTTGCGACAAATATGCAGGCTGCCGGATCACCTCTTTTATTGGAAGTGCTTGAATGAGATACCTCGCTATCTGATATAGATTCTGTATTTTGATTGGAATCAGCATGGTTATCTGTAGGCTTTATGGGCTTTATGGGCTTTGTAGGCTTTGTATTTTTCTTGGAAGCTGGCCATGGCTCAGAAGCTTTGATAGTGGCTGCATTGACAACTGGGTGTCTATCTTGTGGATTTACTTTACTTTCAGCGTTAACCATGGTTAAGGAGCGAATCTTTTTTGCCAATGGACACTCTTTCATAAGTCAAGTGTTGGCTACTAAAGAAAATATACAAGTATAACAGATTAAGCAGAATAACAGTAACAATAATAATAAAAGAAAAGCAAAGTAAATCAAATCAAATCAAAGCAAAGGAAAGGAAAGCAAAGGAAAGAAGCAAAGTACTTTGAAAGATAATACGAAAAGAAAGAGAGTATTACGCAGCCATCAGATAACTTCAACATTCTACTATCAGACATACATTTGTCAACAGAAGCTACCTTTGATAAAAAAGGACACCCACGTGCTGATTCATGAAATAAATATACTTGTGTGTGTGTGTGTGGAAAGATATACCAAAAGATAGACAGAAGGAATCAAGGTCTGTCGTGGCTTAGCTCTGAACAGTGGTGTGCCAAGCGTGTAAGGCCATGGAGCGAATTACATAATGCCATCTTCTCCTGCTGACCATGCTAACAAACGCGCTTTACCTGCGCGCCATCATATACTTACCGAAACTGTGCGGGCTGCTTTAGAAAGACAAGCCAACAAACGCACAGAGCCAACATTAGATGGCAAAGTTATATTGATGATTCCTCAGGATAATACGATCCCTCCAGATTATATCTATCATAGTCCTCCTACTCAACCTACAGAATCCACAGAACCAAAAATCCCCGAGATTATGCCAACATTCCGCATTCTTGAACCTCCTAAACGCGCACGTCGAAAACCTGACACAAATGAGGTATAATAACCTTCATTTTTCTTTTTAATTCTTTATTTCCCAACATTTTTTTTATTCTTAATATTTATAATTTGGCCATTCTTATGTGCAGCCACCTATACTCCCAATATCTGATGATTACTATCTACGTCGACACCTCAAACACGAAAGAGAAGAGAAAAAACAGAAGAACCGCGAAAAGGAACGGTTACAACACGAACTTCTTCAGCAGGAACAAATGGTGACACGTATCCGGAGTCTTGATAGAAGCACACTGCTGTCGATAGTATCTTCATTGAGGTATCGTGTGGACACGCTTGATCTAGAAGCACTTCATGAGGCCATGTTAGAGGATGCAGAAGAAACACTTCGCCGGTACGACATGCTTGGATTACGCCATCCCAGGATTCAGAAACCAAAGAAAAAGGATCCTATTTCCCAAAATGTTATTGCCTCCACTACTTTGATTCCTGCAAATATACACTCGACTTCAACTGCTAAAAATCCTTCTGTTGTTCCTCCTACCTCTGATGCTGCCGTTACTATTGATACAGACAATGCAATTAATGGTAGTGGTGGTCCAACTTTTGGATCTACTACTGATGTCGGTACTGGTACTGGTACTGGTACTGGTACCGGCGCTTGTGTTGGTGCTAGCGCTGGTGCTGACACTGATATTGTCACTAACCCTGGCAATGGAGCTGGCACTAGAAGTTGTACTAGTGGTGATAATGGCACTGGCACTGTCAACGAAACTGGAAATGTCATTGAAACTATCACTATCAGCAGCATTGGCACTGATACTAGCGCTAATACTGATACTGATGCTTATACTGGAACTGGAACCGGAACTGGAGCTGGAACTGATACTGGTGCTAACATCGAAAAAGTCAATGAAACCAAAAATGACATTGTCACTATCTCTATCTCTGTCCCTAGCCCTGGAACTAGAACTAGAACTAGAACTGGAACTGATTCTGTCAATGATAATATTATTGACACTGATACTGGCACTGGCACTGGCACAACAGCGACTACATCTGCAACAAAAAATGGCAGCTTAACTAGCACGGAGACAGCTCAAAAAGGCAAAGTTACATCAGTTTCCAAGCCTAAATTGATACCAATGCCACTGTCATTTTATGGCTCATCCAAAAATGGCAATTTTCACTTGAGCAGGAGCCATACAAGCAACAAAAATCCATCAATTCGACGTAGTCAACGCCATGTCAGTGCATTTGGGCAAAAATTACCCGAAATGCCACAAAGTGAGTTTGGTCTACCGCGAAATGAATACGGTGAAATGATGAAAGAGAGGACCACTCGTGGACGAAAACAGATTAAACTAGGCTAAAGAAGAGAAAGGTGTAATGTAATATAAAATAAATAATAAGCAATAAATAATGAATAATGAATATAATAAGATGAACCAATGCAATATTATACATGCACACAAATATATATATAAATATATGTATATACATTATATTTATTTATTTAATAGTAGGATGATTGTTCCTCTACAAGGTCTACTTTTAGTAGTTCGCCATGCTTCACCAGAAATGATCTTAGATCTTTGTCATCTACAAACAATCTGAAATGGACCAGAGCAAGAAATGTACGTTCCATTTGATTGATATCCGAGACCGTATAAAGACCATCTGTCATTTCTGATAATTGTTGATTGGTTAAAGCATTTTCTGGGTCATTCATAAACTTGGAAGCCGTGAGGATGGAAGCCAAAAACAATCGATGAGGTGTATCGATATTCCCACGGGCATGATCTGGCAGTTGACATTTGAGTCTAGAGAGATAAATCAGATCTACCAGGCATACTGCTAGTGGAAGCTGCATTTTTTTAAATAGGGTATCGACGAAAGATTTCAAGTTTGGAAGCTTTCGTTGAGCCCAGTGGGATTTCGCATGTTGGTTTGTTTGTGAACATAAAAGAATCGACGCTGCTACATTGGTAGTAAAGGCTACACATGCTGTATAAATGTGTGTAACTTAATGCTTAGTACAGGTTTCTCCCGCTTACACAGCAATGCTTCAGGGTTGTGAGTGCGCACCGAAGCGGTGGTCAACATAGACATACTGAACTCTGAAGTAGACTAATGTGCTAAAGAGTACTTATGGCTGATTCAAGTCTTAATGCAGTTTTTTTTATATACCTTAAATTTGGGCGATGGTAATTTTTTTTGAACGAATCAAAATTGATTTTCAGATGCTTAGCTTACCTTTTTTGGATGAGGCAAAAATAAAAGTCAAAATGAAATGCTCAAAAAAAATCAAAATTAATTCAAATGCATTATATTAGAGAACCCGTTGGGATGTGATATTTTCAAAGACTGCAAAAAAAGAATTATTAGTGAAACCCAGTCAAAAAAAAGAAAAACTCAACCACAGTTGATGAAAACATAAGTACTGTGACAAACATAAGAGAGATACATCTTAATAAACTTGGTTTTCCAAGACTTATTCTCTTAAGTAGATATATAGAGACGACTCTTGACTATATTATGCTTAAGTTTGAATGTGGAGAAACAAGCTCAATTCTTAATAAAGACTTGGTGATGAAATGGCCTCCCTCAGTAAAATTTTACATCTTTTCATTGGAATTTCGATCGCCGCGTAAAGCAAAAGTGAGTGAAAATTTAGAATTTTCACGACAACGGGTTTTCTATTACTGTAAGCCAGACCTCCCATGCTTAATAAAATGCTTCTTACAAACAAAAAATATCACTGTAGGAAATGTCATTTAGACTACCAAACTGGCAACGATCGTCGATAAGTTGCTCGCCTAGCAACATTAATCAATCCTGCCCAAGTCACTATTTATCAACGGTGATTTATTATGGTATGTAGAAGTATATATAATGAGTATACTAAGATTAATGTAACAAGCATCAACTCCCATTATTGTACACAGTTTTTTTTTTTACTTTAAAGAGTCGAGTGATTTGCGAAAGGAGATTCTAGTTGTCTTGGAAACCAAAAAGTAAAAAAAAAAGATACAGCTGGGATTTTGTTAAACTTATCGAACAGAGAAATAATATTAAATGCACATGCTTGCTTGTTAACTATTGGGAATTATCGTAGTATATCGCATTAAGCTGATAGATCGTTCCAGGGCATGACAGTGATAATGGCCTGTAAGAAAACTAATGTTGTCGTCTGAATTTCATTTTGTTTCATCCAAAAAAGGTAAGCTGAACATCTGAATACTAATTTTTATTCGTTAAAAAAAACAAGTAGTCTGAATTTTAAATAGTAACGCTGTGCAGCAAAGTTAAACAACGCGCCTATCATTGGAGCGGTAAAATATACTCGATCTCTTTTTTAAATAAATGATCATTTTTTTTTTCAACAAAAAAAGCAAAAAACAGGGTCTCTTGAAAAAGCTAATTTGTTTTTTGTTTAATAAATGAACATGTTTTAAAGGAGCAAGTCATCAAAACATGACTATTGATTGCTAGCTCATTATACCACAAAAGTTATTGAATTAATTCAGGTGATGTTGTACAAATGTAAACTAAATTTACTATTCTTTATTGATGATAATATTCCCCTATTAAGAAATTTGCTATTGTTCAATATAAAGAAGCTATAAATCAAGCCAACAGGGGAGAAGTTTCACTTGGTTCTCCGCGTTGGCGCTTGAGAACCGAGGAGAACACTCCATTGAACACAAACACTCCCAATCCAAGCATCACAAAGCCAACCAGTTCAAGCCAGCTAAAGTTGTCCCAGCCAAAGTGGATGGCCACTATCCAGATTAATGCAATTCTACAAAACGATTAAGATTTGTCATTATTATTATTATTGTTTAAAATAAACGGAGGTGGGGTCCAAACCACAGCTATGTTCTCTTACCTAGTCATATCCACAGAACTTCCTCCGGATATACCCATCGAAGGGCCAAAGGCAAGACCAAAGAAGTTAAAGGTGGCGACAATAAGAGATAAGGCAATGGCGGACTGCCACAGGGCGGGGTGCTGAATTAAATCAGCATAACCAGCTTTGATGTCCAAAATCTGTCCAACTGTTGATTCAGGATCGTGCACAAGTAGACTAGCAAGTAACACGCCAAGAGCTACCAAAAGACCACCAAAGACAGCCTCGGTACCCATAGCGCGTATAGGATCAAGTTGATACTTCTTCATCAGATATTCTTCAAGGACATATTGAATAGTAACAAAAATCTGGCTGCCCAATAACAGTAGTGGACCTAACCAGCCCTCTTCACTGGACAGAGCCGATGACCATAGAATCATGCCGGTACCAATAAACATCACAAGAATTGCTGGTAGTTCATGGCGCAAGATTCGACGCGACAAGAACAAACAGCCCGAGATGGCAGACAAACCGGTGATGCTGCTTCTCATCATTTGAAAGACAGAAGGCGTGGAATAAATGAGACCAATATTAGCCAACTATTGATTATTATGATTTAAATATCAATAGAAATAATAATAATCATAACCATAGCCATAATGATTGTTACAGTGGCAGTGGTAAAAAAGATCGTGGGATGATGTGAGTTTTCTTTTCATGTAGCTCCTTCTGGTTATATATCTACATTTAAATAATTTCGAGTGCGTTTACTTACTAGGATTGCGGATATATCGCAAATACTGGGAAATATAAAATAAAATGAAGACCAGGCGCATACAGAGGTGCGTTGAATAGGAGGAGAGGACCATTCTTGTTGAGAGTCAGTTGCAGAGTCGAGAGATTGGTGTGGTTGAAGTGATCCAAGTACGGAAGGGTCAAGGAAAGAAGGTGATTTGGTCAACACACGGATCATCAAGATGCAAAGAATCTCGCCCACAAATATCATGATAGTTTGTAGGAGTGGTTGATGGAAGTAGTGGGGTTGATCGCTGCCATCCAGAAGTTGATGATTTTGGAATGTAAGGATCAAGGGTATGCAGACACCTTTTTTGGGTTCAGATTATGAGCACAGAGACATTCGAGAAATAGAGACACTATACTTGCCAGAGACCAGAAGGCCAAGGGTCAGAAGAATGGTAGAATACCCCATGAAAAAGTTAAAAGTTACAAGACCAAGAAAAAGAAGAAAAGAAAGAAATAAGAGGATTGCCAAAATAGACTGTAAATTAAACAACTATAATCTTTCTGCTGCCTGTATCTACTATATTGTATTTGGGTATTAAGCTCAAAGAACAACAGGCTGTAATCAAACGATGTGACCATTCCAAATATTTTATCCTTCCTGGTGTCACCCTATTGAAACATATACTTGTGGTTGCAGTAGACTTTATTGTAGGACCAAGAATTATATATATAAAATGATAATACGCATACACAAACGTAAAGAAAGATTTGAAAAAAAGACAATCCCTTGTAAATGTACACATTTCACTCTTTTATGTTATTTAGACGTTGGAGGGATAAAGCATCTATAAAGATTTATTAGTATTCAATTCCCAAGATTCTTCAACCAACATCAACAATTTTTTTAATAATAGTAAAATAAAACTTACGATGCGGACGCTAGCGCCAAAAACCTTGGGAGGCAAGTTCTTGCGGAAACGGGCCTTGACGACACCGTTGGAACCGTGAGTGCGGGCAATACGACCCCAGATCACACGGACCTTGGAACCGTTGACTTCACGCTGGGCACGGTAAACGTAGGCAATACGCTTGCCGAGGTAGAACTGAGCGTCCTTGGTGGTCTGGACACCTTCGACCTGGATCAAAGAGGTGTTGGGGTTCTGGGCGCGCTTTGCACGCTCGTAACCGAGGACACGGCCCTTGCTGTAAAGACTATAGTATTATGAGTTTCGTGTCCAATGTCGAAATGTAAAGTCCATATTTTCGTCTGTGTCTCTTAAATAATCGTAGTTGGCTGGTTGTCGTCTTGTTCATATGTACTTGTGATTCATTGCATATGTATATTCATCCATCTTCATCCATCTCCACCAAATCGCATCCACCCATCCATCAATCCATCCATCTGTTCAAGTTGTGTACGTACCGTTGAGACATGATGCAACTACACACGAAAGAGGAGGATCGCCTTAGTTTGCTTGCGAGTGGTCTCTAGAGTCACTTTCCCAAAGTTGGGTCAATTTTAAAAATCCGACTTCCTGAACTCTCGATGAGTTTATCTACTGCAAATTACAGGCTGTCACATTTTTCCCGAACCTGAAAGAATTTGGCAGGTCCAGCACAAACTGTATTTCTATTCTATTGTTATTATTATTATTCTTTATTAGTTTCAGCCGCGTTATTACTTTTACCTAAACAAACCAAATCTATACTCATAATGAGCTTCAACAACACCAACTTCACTATCAACGAAATTTGACGATGAGCATATGATTCGCATTGCTCCAGAATACGAGCATGAGAATCCCAAGGTTTCGGAAACCTTTGAAAATGAAGCTGCTTTTGCTCAATGGTTCGAAACCGCTGCAATGAGACATGCTAACTGGAATTTTATCAACACGCATGTGTCTAAGGCTTCCTACAGCACTAGCAACCCGGAAGACGTTTTGCAGACTTTGTACTTGGCATGTGACCATCATGGCCTGCCAAGAAAACATAAGAAAAAGGCTGAAGACAAGCTCAAAACTAAGAGAGTCTGGACGAAATCTATAAAGGATGGCTGTAAGGCCAAGATTATTAAGAAGACCTTCCGTGATGGACAGGTTTCCATCGAGTGCTTGTGGCAACATGACACTCACCAGCCTGAAAAGGTCCAGGATATGGTCCGTTCCAGACTCCCAGCTGAGGTGAAGCAGTGGATTGTTTCCCACGTGGATAACAACATGGATTGGAAGGCAATCAAAACCCTGCTTCGTATCGATCCTCGGCGCTTGGAAGAGGTAGTAAATATAATTTCTTTTTATTTAATTTACTAACTGCTTTGCTCTGTAGCTTGAAGCTGGTCTTGCCATTTCCAGCTTCCCGATGTCTCTGCGCATCAACTACCATGATGTACAGAACGTCATCAATACTCGGCTGAACAAGCTGTCCAGACGAAACGCTGTTGACCGTACCAGTGTAGAGGAATGGATGTCATTCTTGAAGAATGAAAAGGGCTGTCTTGTCCACATGAAGTTCTACGAGGGCAACGGCCCGTACCTGCTCTCCTGGATCTCTCCCTGGCAAAAGAAGGTAATATTTGATTTAATAAACACTTGCAATATAATAATAATAATTTCCAAACAGATTCTTGAGGCAGCTGATGAGTGGTGCATTGACTCCACTCATAAAACGTGCAAGTCTTTGGTGGGGTCAGACAAGCACTCGTATCTCTATATGATTGTTGTAAGAAGCAACATTACAAACAAGGGTGTCCCAGTTTGCTTCTTCATCACTAACGCTGAGCTCACTTCGACCTTGGGACAATAGCTCACTTGGGTTCAGTCAAACTGTGATCTGCGCGTCAAGCGCATAATGATTGGCTGCAGCCCTGTTGAGATGAGTGCTCTCAAGGATGTCTTTGGGCAGAGTTTTCAGGTCCTTTGTACCAGTGGCACATCAAGCGGACATGGGAGATGCACATCAAAAAAAGATGGAATATATGTTAAAATAACTGCTTTAAAATAAAACTAATAATTATTAATATTTATTTGCCATGACAGGTAAAGATTACTGGTGCCACCCATGAGTCGAAGAAGGAACGAGATGCTGTCCGTGTCGGCCTGAACCTTCTGATGCATGCAAAGAGTGAGCTTGTCTTTGAGCAGAAATACCAGGAATTTCTTTCCCGGTTTTCTGAACACGGAAAATTCATTGAGTACATTGGTACACAATGGCACAGCAAGCGTGAGCTGTGGTCAATGACGCGGAGAGAAGTAAGTTAATATAGATGTATTTTCTACTGTTTATTAACTGTCTATTTCTGATATTAGGAGGCCAGGTTCCATACCAACAACCTGGTTGAATCATATCATCATATCTTGAAAGCCTACTACTTGGGTAGTTCAAGAAACTTCTGGGTTGACCGGTTAGTTTATATGTTCTCCTAAGTAGTAGAGCATGACTATAGACAAGAGGGTCTCAAGATCATTTATGGGTTCAAGAAGCTTGTTTTAACACATACCGAAAAGGCAAAGAAGAAGGCACAAGCCATTGCCTACAAAGATACTCTTGGCATGGTCGAGACTATTGAAGACAATTCGGTAAAAAATATTACTTTTAATATAATGAATTCCCTAGTATTAATATCATACTTTTATTTATCTATTTAAGATCTACAAGTGTCGCTCCTTTGCTGACAATTCTGTTTGGTATGAGCTCTTGATCAAAGAGGAAGTGCTGTCAACCTGCTCTTGTCCAAACCCAAATCATTTGTGCAAGCGTATTTTTTTTGGTCTGCAGGATGATGGGACTTCAGTACTATCCGATTAAAGAGCTTCCTATTGTTCAGAATCAAGACGTACAAGCGTAGGAAAGAAAAGAAGTAAATGCTGCAGCACAGGATAAGTTGCGCTGTCTCGAGTTTACTGAGATTCAGAAAAGCTTGCTCAAAAAAATTGAGCAAGCTGTGGAAAAACGAAATGTCATGTCTATTGACATTCCCTCTGGAATGGACGTTTCTGTTCGTATCCTGAGGGATTGTTTGTCTTCCTTGGAAGAAGCAGAAGTTGCTCCCCAGCAGAGGTACATTAAGGAACATTTAAAGCATACTTTATTAATATTTATTCTTTTATAAATTTATTAATAAAATCAAAGAACTTTGCAATTTTACCATCCTTTTGTTGACGAAAATTATAAAGTTCAAATGAACAGTAACTGTTTATACTTTGTAGCAATTAAAGGTTTCCCAAAAAATACAGCAACATTACTTCTGATAGGGTTGATATAAAACTTTATTATAAAAACAAAAACAACACCTAAAATGCTGCGAGCAAGAGTTTTCTAAAGAGATGATATATCTTACAATAGACTTAATTGGTGGTTACAAAATAAAACAAAATAAAACAAAAGAAAAGGTAAATAAATCAACGAAGTTTAAAGTGGTTATTGAGCAACTTAGCGCTAGACAGATGCATTTTTTTTTGAATAAGTATAGGTGCTCTCAGAATTGTTTTTTGGTAAAGAATTGTTTATCGAAAATCAATAACGTTCCTTTTTTAGAAGAGTGAGATGTGCCAAATAAATGTGTTATCGTCAGTACTGTACTCTAAAGATATAAACTTATTTTAAAGTATGTTAAAGGAATATTTTTTTCTTGTGCCTTTATTACTAAGAGAAAACTTGTAATATTCAGCTTTGAGCAAATCTCTTGGTATAAGATAGTATACTGTACACTGACCTTGAATAAGTTTACGTATATTACCAAAAAGGAAATTTTGAGAAAAAGCACCCATTGTTGTTTTTATTTATTTTTTCATTCTTTTTCTCAATCAAATCTTCTCATGTCTCCTAAAATCATTAAACAATCTCGTAAAAAGAGTCCCGAACTTTCAGATTACATGAAAGGCAAGATTGTGGGTGCTTATGACTTTGGAATTCCCATGGCTAAGATTGCGCGCAAGTATGAGCTACCCTACACGACAGTGACAACAACCATTGAGGGAGTGAAGAAAACGGGTACTGCCCTTACCAAAAAAAACGTGAAGGGAGACCTGTTCTCTTGAATGATTGTGATTTGAGAGCTCTGGGAAATATTGCGCGCAATGACCCAACTGCAACATTAGACATGATTACAGCTGAAATTCAGGAATCTTCAGGTGTACCCATCAAGAGGGATGCTGTTCGTAATTCCTTAAAAAAGATTGGTTTACGCTCTTGTGTTGCTGCAAAGAAGCCTTTGCTAAAGGAAAGGCACATAAAAAACAGGTTAAAGTTTGCAAGAGATGCTCGTCGGCGCAATCAACAGTGGAATCGGGTAATCTGGAGTGATGAGTCCAGATTCATGGTTTATCCAAGGGCAGGAAATGTGCGTGTTTGGCGCACTCCAGCACAGAAATATAGAAGAGGCTATGTACGTCCAAGAGTACAAGGCGGAGGAGGCTCAGTGATGGTCTGGGGGTGCATTTGGGCTGGTGGAATGGGAAAACTTGTAATTGTCGATGGCACGCTAAATCAGACGAAGTACATAAGACTCTTACGACTTCATTTTATGCCCTGGTTTCGACGCCTTAAGCAAAGGAAAGATGGCGAGTTCATTTTCCAAGAAGATAATGCACCCTGCCATAAAGGTATTTTGGCAAAAGAATACAAAGAAGAGGTGAATCTGCCAGTGATGGCATGGCCAGCAAACAGCCCTGATCTGAGCCCAATAGAAAACATTTGGGCATACTTGGAACGCCAGCTGAGAGCTAGAAGGGTAAAGCCAACGAATTCACACTCGTTGGCCAGAGCTCTTCAAGAAGAATGGAAAAAAATACCGAAGAAAGTAGTGAAAGCACATTGCATGTCAATGCCAAATCGAATCAAAGAACTTAGAAAAAATAATGGATTCCATACCCACTATTAAACTTTCTAATAAATTACATATACCTATTCACATAGCTAATATATATTACTCATAATTATTTCAGAGCTCTAGCTATACGTTAAGATGATAAAAAGATGTAAAGAAGTTGTATATTTTCATTGAAAAAAATCGGGATTTTAAAAAATACTTAAATTAAATATGGGTCAGTGTATATTGTTTGAGTAGAAAACTACCGGTTGATATAGTAAGTGAGATCCTGAAAATAAGATATAATAGTAAGATAAAAACGATTCTCAAAGGCTATGCTGATAATGATGAAAATACACTTATATTTGGACATCAGAAATATTTTATACCTGCTCTCTAGCACGGGTAAAATGTACGGGCGTTAAACATATAGTTCCTTTTTTCGTAAAAATATACTTCTAAAAAAGGAACATCATTGTCTTTCGATGAAGAATTCTAATCGAAAAAGAATTCCGAGAGCACCTTTATCTCCCACTTTCAGTCTATTTTTTACTGTGTGACTCTGAAGAAGGCAGATAAAACAATAATATTTTTATAAAGACTTGTACACCTGGATTAGCCTTCTTTTTCGTATATTATTAACTTTCTTTAAAAAAAAACTATTTCAATATTTTTTGCTTCAATATAATATTTATATAATGTATCGTGCACCATCTCGAAATCAAGAGATATTTAAATCAAATATTTTAGCTATATCTGAATCTGGTCGAAACCCCATGCCACACGAGATTGGCAGGGCCATTGTCAATGAATTAAAAGTAAACCAAAATTACAAGGGAGCTGAAGAGCTATTCCAGGATCTCATTAAGAGAATGAACATTGTCATCAGTGATTCAAGTGGAAATAATACAAAATCTATTGGAGAAAATTGTCGATTTATAGATGGAGATTTATTTCGAAAGGCAATCGCTGCTCTCGTACGCTATGCTCCTAATCCTCAACTAGCGCTTAACTATACCACGTTTTACATGCGCGACATTGAAGAGCCTCTCCGAACCCAAACTTCAGAGAATTTTGTGCTTGTTAATTTGATATATGTTTACTCAAAGTCTAAATCAAGTACCTACCTGGAAGATGCGTTGGATTTTGTCAAGCATGGTATTACACGTGGTCTAGCTATACAAGTGCCTCAAGGAGCCTCACGCAGCTACAATGTTTGCCCAAAAGTATTTGACACCGTCTGTCAACCAGTCCTACGCTTTCATAAAGTCCAAATATCAAAGGACAGAAGATGTATTGAACCTATAAGTAAGCTATATTAATATATGCTCGTAAATATCTTACAAAATCAACTGTACACTTTTTGACATCTTGGGTTGACCAAAGTCGATCCTATGGTTGGTTTACTGACAATATACATATATAATAATCCATTTGCACAAAAATAGGTGATTCGGGAAGAGAGAGAGAGAGGGATTTGTGTATACAAAAACTTGAGGATAGGTAGTTTGTGGATACTAGGACAGTCTTGATAAGCTTGAATTGCTTCTTGCTTAGCTACACACCATAAATAAAGAATAGTTTTTTTTTAAAAAGAAAAGTTAGTTTCTACTCAAGAGAGCTCAGAATAGAGGCTGTGGGCGTTATTAATATTCTGGCTATAATTATCTGTAAATCTAAGTTAGTGCTCCATATTTTGTCTGGTATACTAGTCAGATAAAAATAGTTTTTGTGGGGTCTCAAGACATTTTATGCTTAACAATATAGGCAACTCAATGAGAGCCGGAGAATAACAGGGGCAGAATAAAAGGAACCATTTATTTGGACGCAAAGTCCTTTACCGTTATAGAAGAATCCTACGTCCAAGGACGCTACAAATCCACACTCTTTTTATTAAAGTAGTCTTGTTATAATAGTAATTGTTGATCGTCAGGGACCAGATATAATTATTGGATTTTTTGTCACAAGTCATATTAAGGTGGTCTGGTAAAATAAAAATGTTGACCGCCTAGGATTAACGTTACAGAAAAGACAAATTCAAAGTGTAGGAAAGGTTTCTTTGGTTGGTGGGATACTAGAATTAACATTATCAGCTTCAATAAAGTTGAGGATTAACCTATGTGTTACATAAAGATAGCTACAGTGTGATCCAAATAGGTTTTGCTATTAAAATGTGTGAAAGATCAATCAGCAGTGGCAAACCTACTAGACAATTTATCTACCGAACTTGATAAAGAGCATTTTTATTTTTATTATTATATTTTGCTAAACTTCCTCTAATATAACCTCATCTGCCTCTTCTTCTAATTTCGCATCCCAAGGAGAGGCAGCCGCCAACCACTACTCCCACAGTCTCAACAAGAGACAGGTATGCACTAAACCTCGCTCATTTTAAAGAAAGCTTAATTGACGAATTTCTCTTTTGGTTGAAGTTTTCAAGTACTTAATGGATTACATCATCTGGATCTTGTTCTTATCTGTAAGCATTGTGAGTAGCTTTAATTCCCTTGTTACAAAGCTCTATAATAAAATGCATTTTGTTGTTGTTATTCATGCTTGTAAATAGATAGAAAGATAAAGGTATATACTCTGGTGGCATTTTAGTATAATGCAGATATTCTGTGCAACTGACTTCAGGGACTGTCTTTTTCAATTTCAGCAGCTACTATAAACAGTAACAAAAAATTTGGATGGTCGACCAGTTTTTACCGGTCGACAACAACTAGGTGAACATCTACTGTAGCCAATCCTTTCCTTTGTGTTTGTTTGGACTCAATCGTTCGCGCCACATCCTGTTCTTATTGGCCAACTTATGACCGATCCCTCTGTACAGCCACACCATCTCAATGAGGCAAACCTATATTCAACATCTCTTGAGGATCCAGTTATAATAGACCATACTACTGATATAGGCCCTCGTTCACAAGCAGTACCCCAATCAATGCAACCTCAGTATGATACGATTAAAAACATTGATTATCAGCAACTACCTCATCACCAACACCAACACCAGCAGCAACAGTCTCATCCTCAACAACACATAGGATATCCTATGGTATGATTTCACTCTTACTATTTATTCATCCATTAGCACAATAGCTTTTTGTATCACCACTAGCTACCTTTGCATTTATTTTGTCCAAGTAGCCTATGCTGGGGTTTCCTTCGCGGTATATGACTTACCATTCAATCGAGCAGCATACTATTATAGTTCCTGAACCAGCTGACGAACCACTTTATGTAAATGCAAAACAGTACCACCGTATCATCAAGAGAAGACTTGCTCGAGCAAGACTTGAAGAACTCACCACGATTGCAAGAGGACGAAAACCGTATTTACATGAGAGTAGACACAAACATGCTATGAGAAGACCACGTGGCCCTGGTGGTCGCTTCTTAAGTGAGTTTACTGATTGATAATTTCGAGCGCTTTGCTAATGCATTTGAATTATTCGTAGCTGCCCAAGAGATTGCCGAGTTTGAAAGGTCTTCCAAACTTCCTGGTAAGGCCCAAGAGAATAATCCAAACGCAGCTGACTTACGGGATGACTAGAGAAAACGAAATAATGCACGGAAGGAAGATAAAGAAAACAAAAGGGAAGGCTAGAATCTCTTTTGACATGTACATATAAAACTAATATATTCTTTTTTTTAAAAAAAAAGAGAAAACCAAACACTTCATTCTCATCATCCCTTTTGTTAATAAAATAATACTTATTATAAGAAAGAGTTTGAATGTAGTCTGATGCTAATCATATTTGTTACTGTGAAAGTGATACAAAACCTCTGCAACTGGAATCATTAGAACGTTAACAGCGAGATACGTATTGCGTCATCTGAATTGTGGCCTCTGTCGTTTCGATGTGAACACACTTGTGCTGATCCTCATTGGATAAATACAGTGAAACACATTTGTAGGGTACATATTATATAATGAAAAATAATGGCAAATTGTTTAATATGTTACTTAATAATTTAATACTTTTCTGTACTGTTTATTGGAAAAGAAGATCCATTCATGATAGTTAGTAACTCTTAAAAGTGCGGCTTGCATGTTTAAACTGTGTGCCTTGTATAGCGTTCGCTGTATACAGATGTATCTGTAAATAAATAAAGTCCCAATATCATTTTTTTAAAAGATAATAATAATTATCAAAGAATAATATTAGGCAGGTCATTTTCAAGATGTTTTATTGTTTTGTTTTGTTTTTCTTAACCCCCCCTCTAATCTACATACTTGACAAAGCCAAGATTCAAAGTACATGGTACTGAAATCTTTGGATTTATTTGATCAAAAGTACTTTACGAGATAGGATTAAGTAATTTTCTCGCTTTGGGATTAGCATGTGTTATAGTTATGAGCCAAGAAAAAGGAAAAATATAATACTCTTATGCATTAAAGCAGCCAGCTTTAAAGAACACTGCCAAGTATTGCTTAAGACTAATCAGAATTTATTTCTGCAGCCATTGAAACCATTTCGCCACTATATCATTGGTTTCGATATTATCACTAGTGTTTTATATATACATATATACAAACATATAGAATGAAGTAAATAAGCTAATTATTATACCTATTTATCGATAAAGTACAAGTTTTTAAGCTATAAACATATTCTATTGCAGCCCATTGAATGGATATTACAAAAATTGTGTTACTTGGCCTCTAAAATTCATGTGTAAATCCAGGTCAACTTTAATTGCCAAAAGTGGCACTCAACTTCCCTATCTCGTACTGAATATCACACCAAAGTTCCACAAAAGCCGTTGTATTTTGGACAAAAAAGCTGTTACATAACATATTGAAGAAATCATACATAATGAATTGCTCAGATAAATGAGTTGAGAGGGTAATATTTTATATTAAATTACTTTTGCTATACATACAATTAAACACATAAAAGTATGTATATATATCTTTTTTGGGTTTACACAGTAGTCTGTTGAAAGATATGTTGTATTCATGTCGCCAAGTATTTTACCTGGTTCCGATTCCATCCTGAAAGACACCCGATAGTATTATGTATGATCAATGAAAGACATATTATAAATAAAACATCAATACTTTTTTTTTTATATTTTATATTTTTATTTATTTTTTTGGGGATTATCAATTAAAATCAATCAAAAAATATACATTGTGCCTGTTCTCTTTTTCTTTTATACTTCTTTAAATACTTTCTCAAGTATATTTCAGCGCATACACAAAACTTCGGCGTGACTTGCTAGACTCATTATTACATTAACAGCTTCCTCATTTCTTTTGCTCACTCTATATTTTGTTTGCCTGTGTACGCTATCACCCAAACCAATTTCCATTTGATACTACTCTATTGATTTCTTCCTTATGTCAAGTCCAGACTCGGTATTTCAAAAACCTGGTCCCCAGCCAACTACGCGACGATCAAGTGTCATTCCAGATGATGATGTTCCCAATCTCGCTGTGCGATGGTAAAAGTTCGTTTTGAGATTTACTGAATCTTATATATTCTCTTTGAAGGTTTCATGCGATAGACAGTCCTATAGTAGACCCTATCTCACTACGAAGAGCAAAAACCCTCCCTCGCAGTGCAACAACTCCTATCCCAAAACTCAGAACACCTTCTAAGAATTGGATGCCCTTTTCGAAGCGCGACTCGATAGCCCTCGAGAACGCTTACCAGCTAAAGGTTGTGCTATTTTAGTCAATTAAAACCTATTACTTTCAACTAATATTCATTGTAACTTACCTAGAGCCCAAATTCTAACTCTAGCGTCACAGTCAATGAAGATCATCTATTTGAAGTAGATGTGGCACGACGTATCATCAGTCCAGTTTACTGGGAGGGGCCTACATTTGAAGTCCGAAGAGCCACTTGGTTTATTCAAGGCGATGGATTTAAATGGATTCCATGTGAAGAAGTCCTGGCTGAACAGATTGAACTTGGATACTAGTGAGTCAACCTTTCTAAGAAGTTTTATAGTCACCAGAAATCTATTTTGAACTAAACAATTCAAAAAATAATTAGTAAGCACAAGCCTTATTTGGTCCCAGTTGAGGAAGTAGATCCATTAACAGATCCTTCAGAGTCCAATGGCGATGAAAATGCAAATCAAGCTGCCCTGGAACAAAAAAGACTTGAAAAGACTCTCTCTGAGAATTCGGTTGAAAAGCAATGGAACCTTTTGGGTAGCTATATTGGACAATATATTGTATATACTGGTCCAAGTACTGCCTGGCTATTATAGTATGTTGATGAGCAAGACTTTGTTTATTTGACACTAATGAATCCGAGTAGTGACACAACTGGCGGAAAGATTGCAAAGACAATTATCACTCGGTTAACAAACAACCAAAACTTGGGTGGCACACGGTTATTACGCGGGTATCCAGAGGTTGAGAAACAAAGCCAGTCTACACCCCTCACCCATTCAGCACCTATACCTCACAAGGATGTCAATGCTGTAGATATTAGTGAACTTGCCGAAACACAGTCAAGAGCTATTAAAGATAGAGTTGAAAAAGATAGAAGTTTCCGAGAGAGAGACACCAATCCCGGGGATGGAAAGTGTAAAGAAAAGAATAAAGCCAATGAAGACATGCATCGAGAAGCCAACGATTATTTGAACGAAGATAGTGAAGAAGAGTTAAGACCCATAGATCACCTTATATTTGTAGTGCACGGGTAAGTAGATTAAAATACATTTTAAAAATTGCTTTTAAGTATTAATTACAAAAAATAGCATCGGACAAAGAATGGCAGAGAGAACAGGACAGAATTTTGTACACGGTAAGATAGTCAAATGTAGCGAATGATGTATCTTAATAAGTTAAAATATTATTGCAGATGTCAACATGTTGAGACAGACACTCAAGACTGCCTTCCCTACCGCGGTCAGTACATTACCAGGAGATACTCCTGTAAACGGTATCCAGGTATTACCGATCTTGTGGCGCCACGAGATCCAGTTTGGAATGGCCAGCGAAGAAGAAGAAGGCAAGGAGTCTGATCTCGGTATGCCCGATGGTGATGATGGGTCCCCAACCCTCGATGAAATTACACTTGATGGTGTGCCCAATATTAGAATGATTGTTTCGGATGTTCTTCTCGACAGTAAGTCTCTCCCAAAAAATGGGGAGGTCTTTTAGCTAACTGGCTTTTGCTTTAAAATCTCAGTCCCTCTTTATATGACCCATAACTACCGGGACCAGATGGCCCAGGCCATTACAAACGAAATCAACCGTATCTACGCCACATTTTTAAAGCATAATCCTGGGTTTGAAGAAAAAGGCAAGGTCACTATCCTAGGACATTCTCTGGGTGTAAGTATTTGCCTTAAATTGTAATTTAAGAAATATGTACCTTTTTTTTTAAGACAAAACTCTGTAGTCTCTTTTGGCATTTGATATTCTTACTTCACAGCCAATCCCAGGCTCAACGTCTTTGTTTTCAAAGATTACGGACAATCTTATGGGTTCAGGGGAGAAGAAAATACCTTTGAGTTTTCCGGTACAAAACTTTTTTGCACTTGGATCACCACTTGGAATAATGTTACTTCTTAGAGGCCTCAAGATTGCCTCCCGTAAATCGCTTGAACCTGGACAACTTCCATCTGATCAATCACCTGTAACATTTTGTTATCCTGCTGTCGAAAATCTTTATAATATTTTCCATAAGGTATTCCTTATTTTATACGCAATTACCTTTTATTGATTTTATTGTAAATTTTTATATACACATACATTAGTCAGATCCAGTGGCATATCGACTTGAGCCCCTTATTGCACGCCATTACAGTGTAAAGCTGAAACCAGAACAGATTCCCTATATTAAGGGAGGTCTCAAAAGTGTGATTGATGCCGGATTTCATGTAGGAACGGATATTGCCACACGTGCAGGAGCAATGTACGAGTCTATAAAATCCGGGTTCACCAGCAATGTTTTTATGCGTGGTCTTGGCCTTGCGCGTCCTTATGCAAGCGAATCAGATATTAATTCCCACAGCTCGCCCCATTTGACGGCATCATCGAGTGAGCCTACAGATATGTCCCGATCGTTACAACACCAACAGCATGTTCGACCAAATAAACCCACGGATCGCTCGGTACAAAATCCGCGATCAATTGACTCAAGTGGTGCAAAGAAAATGTTACAGCTTAATCCATCTGGACGAGTCGATTTCTGTCTTCAAGAGGGGATACTCGAGAATCCTTATTTAAGTGCCCTCAGTGTCCATCTCTGCTATTGGCAGGTAAGACTTCCTAATTTATATTTCATAGCACATTAACAAAATCTTTGATGCTTCACTATAGGATCTTGATGTTGCTGCATTCTTGATTCGAGAGGTCTATAGAAAGCATTCACAGCATGTCAAATAAATTCATTGCACTTTTTATAAGCATTATAACCTCATATAATTTTACTACAGATAGGGTTTGGGCATAGAAAGTCCTCTTTGCTTAGGATTATTAGACATAATATTGTGTACATTCTAGTAAAAGTTTAAATTGATTGAAATTAATCAGCACATATTGACGAAGGATTTGATATTGTTAAACTGATATGATTTATCCCAGAAACTTCTCCATTTGTTTTCTTTAGAAAATATTATTCATAGAATAAGGATATTAGGTGTACAGTATGATCCTGCCCGCCAGTATGCTAATTATGAAGATAATAAAGAGGATATTTCATATGTGTATATGTATGTGTGTGTGTTCATGGTGTATTTTAAGTAAGTTTCTCTTCTCTTCTGTTTTCTTTCTTTTTCTCAAGACATCTGCTTTTGTATTTTAGTTTCCAAATGCCTTTGCAACCCTGTCAGCTACGGCTGCCTCGGGGTTGGAGCCAGGAAGAGGAGAGTTGGGATCATATGGCTTGGGAAGTTCCAATCCAACACGATGAGCTGACATTTCAATACGCTTCTTCTGTTCCAAGACAATGGCAGCATATTGATCGCGGAGAATCTACAGAAAAAATATAAGCCAATATGTACTTTTCACTCGATTAACACAGTCATGGTTATATATATATCTATATATTTGCCTTGTGTTGTCTTGAACTCTTCAAAAAGATAAGAACATTGTCTGCATTCTGAACAAGGGCCGAGACCTTTTTGGGATCTGTGACATCCTTGTTCTGGCGGAAGATCGACTTGAGTTCTTTAGCAAATGTGTCATTGTTGGCACCTTTGGTATACTGTTTCACATTAGGTTAATACAGAATATATTAGAGAATAGAAGGATCAAGATTCTTACTTGAATGTTGACTTCTCTGAGAAGATGACGATAGGAATTCAAGACTTGAGACATGATGTATAATATGAAAAAATACGGAAATGTGAAAATCAAACTTGGATGGAAATACAAATATAAAGGAACGGCTGCAAGTCACAACTTCCCTGGCCATATTCATTTTAACGTTTTAATGTATTGGCTTGGAAACAACCTGTCGTGAAAGAGGATGAGTGCCAATATGAAACAATCAATTGAATAAAAGAAAAACTTGCTATAAAAGTAAATCTAAAACATCTATAATTTTTTTTTTAAAAAAAGGGGGGGTGCTGGTTGGGGCGTGGAGTCGTTATTCTTGACGATCTATTTTCACAATACACAATTTTCTCTTGGCCATTGATGCGCCGCTCTCTAGACCCCCGCGTTAAAGTGTAATGCTTCTCTGGAAACCAAACGCATTTTCTGTTACTGGGTTATGACGCAAGGTCTTAAAAATGATAGTACATAATTATATGCAATTTAAATAATATATATAAAGGTAGAGAATTTTTGATCTGGAGTATCCTTTACTTCCCAATAACTTTGATATGCCTGAAAAAGTACCTGATTGGGCCAACAAACCCATCTTGGGATTTTCAACTTGGTCAACCCAGATCCTTGATGACGTTCCCGGCTACGGTGGTAAACATACTGCACCATGGTAATTTTTTAATCACGATTGTTATAATCGACAATAAGTAACAATGCTATAGGTTCAATGATAAGATCATTCGAGAGATCTCCGATGTAATGAAAGCCAAGATGCCTCAGTATCAATACATCAATCTGGACTCTGGATGGTAAAGCTAATGGTCTTATTCGACAGTGTTTTGAATATTAATCAATCTTAGGAGTGAAGGTTGTGATGAGTTTGGACGGTGGGACTACCGCCGAGATTTATTTCCTCACGGGATTCGTGCATTGTCGGATTATTTGGCTAGAAATGGACACAAATTAGGATTGTACATATTGCCCGGTATTCGGAAAGAGGCTATAAAACGCAATGCACAAGTAAAGAACACCGGCGTCTATCTCAAAGATCTTGTCCTAGAAAAACGCCAAGGAAATGGATTCAAGGGCTCTACCTACATGCCTGACAAACACACGGATATAATCCAAAAGTACTACAATTCAATTGCTGAACAGTTTTCCGACTGGGGGGTCTCATTTGTCAAAGTTGACGGATGTGGTCCAGGAGGAGGAGATCCGTTTTATCCAAATCAGTCTCCAGACAACAGAGCTTGTTTAAGGATGTTATCGAACGCATTTAAACAACACTCCATATGGCTTGAGATTTCTTGGTACATGGACAGTGATTATGCAACAGACTGGGCAGAGATCGCAAATGGGGCCCGGATCTATATAGATATCGAATCTTATTCCACAAAGACCATGACTTCATCTCACCGCGTTTTTCAACGAATAACCCAGACAGCAAACTGGGCAGATCTTCAAGTAATCGGTCCTCGACATGGATTTTTTTTGGATTTGGATGTCGTTGTCGTAGGGATGACAGTGGATGGAGTATGCGTAGATGGTCTGGATAATGACGATGTTCGACTTTCTTATATCTCCTTTTGGGCGCTCGTTAGTTCTGTGTTCTGTATTGGGGCTGATCCTCGTTGTATTCCAGAAAAGTATCTCCGTATGCTCAACCATCCTGTTATAATTTGCATTCACCAATCAGGGATCATGGCTCAGCCCATCCGGTCTGGGAATGCTTGGCAGAATCGTAAACAGGTCTGGTGGAAGCGTATGCCAGACAATAGCATTTGTGTTGGCCTATTTAATACACATGTCTACAAGATTATGCTAGGGCTTAGCCATGAAGTCAAATTTAAACTTTCAGATATTGGATTGGAGTCTGCAAGTATTAAAGACATCTGGACAGGAGAAATGCTTGGCGTCTTCAACGATACTTATAGTGTCTCATTGAGACCAGGTCAATGCCAGATGCTATTATTAACCAGCCATGGAGTACATCACTTGTTATAATATTTTCTGTATATATTAGTGTAATAGATACACAGGATGTATAGATAAAGTAGTTATTAAATTAAGCCTAATTTATTTAGGCTTTACTATTAGAATCATAATCAATAACATAATAATTAGGATCAACAAAAGGATCAGCTTTCGTTTCCGTGTTTTGTTTTGATAACGCGATCCCTTTGAGCACAAAATAAACAAGTAAATCATCTATGCTTTCGAATTTGCCAAGCTTTGCTGTGCTGCTTACCTGGTCCAGCTGTACCACGGCTTCTTTGACCTGAACTGTCGTTTGTTCTATGTTGTAGTCGATACGATCTAGCATCGAACCTTGATCGATCACAAGTGTCTGTAAATCTCTAAATATTTCGGCCAATTGATGGATTGACTTTGCAATCTGGTTCACTTCTCGTTCTCGTTGGTCAATCACAGCCTCATTTGATTCCAATACCGCCAGCTGCGATTCAGTGAATCCCTTTGAAAATAGCCTTAGTCAATAATAATAATAATAATAAACTCAAAATGAATACTTAAAAGATACTTACAACCTGTGCATCTTCGTCTAACAAAAGCTCTGCTGCTTCATTACTCAGACTAGATTCTAGCCCAAGTATATCTGCCTTTCGGTTCTCTTGTCCCTGGATTTCTTAGCTCAGTTTTTAGTGCTATTTCATTTGTTTTCTTCTTTTTCATAGTCCCTCCTCAGAAAACACATACTTTGTAAATAAGTAGACTGCTGCTTCCTAAAAGAGGAAGATACTTCTTGAACTTTTGTCGCCAAGCTTGTCTGAATATTTTTGGCTAATAAATAGTCCTGTTGGCCATCGCTCACATCATATCCCTCACTGTGGATACGTTGAATGTCACGTTTGATACGATAAAATTCCTGTTATAATACCTTTTTATTAGTTCCACCTTTAGAATATACTCCATAAATTCTTACATCTGTAATATCAGACGTCAATCTTTCAATAGCCTCTTCATCTGATGACCGATCGTCAAACCCAGGAAGTAAATGCTTACGGTGCATTCCCTCGAGTCTAGTGACTGAAACATATACATGAGATGAGATGTGCATATAATACAAAAATAAATATGTCTTATAACCAAAGTTTACTTTTCTCTTTAATGTGATCGAGAGCATCATCGACCTGATCTACAATGTCAACCCTAAGAGCATCAATTGTCAATTATCTTTGGAAAAGTGTGATTTATAAGTGAGATTATAAGCTTTGCTTTCTCATTTTACCATTGAGGTGGCAGGACGGACATCTCAATTATGCTGTCCGAGCTTTCAATCAAGCCTTCTCGTTCTGTTGAGCCACCGGATAGATGAGTTGAGCCTTGGCTGCGTGCATACGAATTGCGATATTGAAGAAAAAGGAGTGTGCGGCTTCGTGTGGTCATGTTTATGGAACTAGGCGTCTTTGAAGAAGCAAGGAACAGGATTTCCCTTTTTTGGTTGTTCTATGAGGTCACATGTAGTATGCCTTGGAATTTAAGGATTCTGGAAGACTTGAAGACACTCTAGTCTGTATATACAGTCACATACTAGACACGTTTCTATCCCAAAGGTTTTGGAAGTGATGAATAACAGTCTCAGTATTTGTACAAGAGACCAATTTTCCTTGGCGAATCAAAGTAGTATATCTACAGATTTATAGTTACTCTTGGCTATTTTCATTTATCTTTTGACATTTTGTGGTACGATTAAAGTTTCTTTCTTTCTTTTTTATATTATCAATTTTTGTATTGAGGGTTCATACTTGTTCTTTTTTTGTACAGCCTACAGTATAGTATCTAATTAAATTGTATAAAAGGCACACAAAATACAATAAGATCTGGATATATCTTTACTCTTCATTTGAGCAAATATAGTATATCTTCCTATATATCCTTCATCGCTCCTGAGCTATAACAAGTTTTGTAAAGAAAAAACTATAGATTTTAGATATATTACTTGGAATATTTGCTTTACTTTATCTTCTTGATCCAGTTATAGCTGCTGAATAGACCCGAATGTTACCACAATATTTCCTATTTTATCCTCTTCATATTTGTCTTTTGAGCTCGTTGGAAACTTTTTTTTTGATATTTATTTCTAACAAAGTTGAACCCATAAATCAATTCAGCATTTTTCATGTTAATTGAATAAAATTTCATTTGGACGAAATAATTAAAAATCCAAAAATGAAATACGCTTCTTTTGATCGATTGATTTTCTTGTTTACATGTCATAATCTAAAGGTTTGGATTGTATCAAGCAGAACTTTTCTAATTGTCTCAGTCTAGGTGTAAATCCTGTAAATTATGCTGTAAGAATTTTTGGGTAGACAAGTGAACAGATCACTAGATCTTAGCATGTGAAACTGTAGTAAACTTTTGTCTTTTGTCTTTTGGTTTCTTTGCTTGTTCAATTTAAGACCTAATATTATATGTAAAGTTACATAAGAACCAACAGCCACCAGAATCTCTTGTGTGTTTTGTAATTATATTTTGGTTTTTCTTTATTGCTATATCCAATAAATCTAATCAGAATTTTTACGCTTGTAGCTCAAGATTATTAAGAAAATGCTTGGAAATTATATATTTTAAAAACATCAACATGGAATTTCTCTACTTTTATTGTGTGTAAATAATTAGTAGCACAGTGTATTTATTTCAGCAGTATAAGTTTTCTCGAAGTATTAATATTCATCAAAAATATAAGAGTTGGTAAAGTAGTATATTCGCCAATTCTAAATTTTGTAGAACGAACTTTTTGTTTTCTACAGTGCTATATGCTCATCTAGGTATTAACCTATAATTGTACTCAATGATATTTTGCTTGTTTATTTTTTCTTTGCTTTAATAAAAAGCTTGGCACGCCAACATATATACAAACAAGACAAAACAAAAGACATGTATATTATACTTGCTGATTAAGATTGATATTTGGCTATATTGTATAAAGTTTATATTTAAAGATAATATATAATATGGAGGTTATATGATTCGTTGTTCAATTGCTCAATCGATCTATAGAAATAGAGAGCGAGAAAGATATGACGACGGCCATCACTTCTTTTGGAAGGAATAAACAATACTATACTGAAAAAAAAACAGACAAGCATTTTTGCAGGCACTGAATACATTATATATATATAAACTATTCAAAGGCGTTAGTTTCAACGTAACTACACACTTACTATTACATGCCTTTAAATTCATGTTTTTGTTTGAAAAATTACTTTTAGTGTAACAAGGTAATATCATTTTTTAATAAAAGGCAAAATATTGTCTGTAATTTACCAAAGACACATCTAATATTATAATGAATTCCATAATTCCACAATCCCTGTTTGAATGTTTTATTTATATTTATAATTTTACCTATATAATTTACATCAATTTTTAGTGATATCTTAGCACTTGGGGAACTGGGGAAATGATATACTTTATAAGGTAAAAAAGAAAGAAGCAAGAAAGAATAAAGGTATTATGACTATTGAAAATCACACCACTTTAATTGGGAATTGACACCGAAAACCCAAAGGGAAAATATTGCATGTAAATGTAAGAAATACCAAAATACCAAAATATCAATAGTTGGTATTATATTAACTCCTATAACCCCCAATATTGGCTTCCAATACCCAACAAGATAAGCTTATTCTTTTTTTTTAATATGTCAAAACCAACAACCAAAAATAAATTTAAAAAAAAGGCATATATAAAAGATAAGTATATATAGTTATATCATTTAACTCACTTTACATTCAAACTATCTCATCACAACCCAGTACAATTCAATCTAATCCAATTATGACAGTCTTGGACGATGGTCTCACTCAGACAGAACGTCGGCAGCTTCCTGTGCCTGTAACTGATATGCCACCCTTATTCGATGAACCAACTACTTTAAAGAATTGGTACAAACACATCAACTGGGTGCACGTTATTTTGTTATCCAGCACTCCTGCACTTGGTATCTACGGTATTTTTACGACAAAACTCCAAACAGCAACTTTTGCCTGGTCGTGGATCTACTATTCCTTGTGCTGTCTTGGTATAACTGCAGGCAAGTTGTAGCTAACCTTTGAAATCAATGGTTCTTTTCTCTATTGTTCCTTTTATTGATTTCTTTCTTTGATTTACAAATCCTCTAGGTTACCATCGTCTTTGGTCTCATAAATCATACACCGCAAAACTTCCGATAAAAATATTACTCTGCTTGATGGGTAGTGGTGCTGTCGAAGGATCTATTCATTGGTGGTCAAGAGGTCATCGTGCTCACCACAGGTATGTATATATTAAGGAGTTGTAAACTAGCATCTGCTCATATCTCTCTTTCCTCTTTTCCAAAACAGATGGACTGATTCTGATAAGGATCCTTATGCTGCTACAAGAGGATTTTTCTTTTCTCATCTGGGATGGATGTTGGTCAATCGCCCTAATAGCCGAATTGGCTTCGCAGATACCGCAGATCTGAAGCAAGACTCCATCGTCCAGTTCCAGCACAAACACTATCCTTACATTGCTCTTCTTATGGGCTTCATATTCCCTACTCTGGTTGCTGGCCTCGGATGGGGCGATTTTCGTGGTGGATTCTTCTTTGCTGCCGTCACTCGTCTTGTGCTTGTTCATCACGCTACGTTTTGTGTAAATAGTTTGGCCCACTACATTGGCGATGTTCCTTATGACGACTTCCATACACCAAAGAATTCGTGGATCACTGCACTTGTGACGATGGGCGAAGGGTACCACAACTTCCATCACCAGTTTCCTCAAGACTATCGTAATGCCATACTGTTCTACCAATATGATCCTACAAAATGGGCTATTGTGGCTCTCTGGTTCTTTGGCTTGGTGACCGATCTTAAGTCATTCCCTGCTAATGAAATTGAAAAAGGAAGGCTTCAGATGATCGAAAAGAAGACTGCCGAAGCAAAGGCTAAACTATCTTTTGGAACACCTTTAGAAGACTTACATGTGTACACCATGTCAGAATGTAAGTTTGTTCGTTCTTCTCTCACTCTCTGTGTATATAATCATTCTGAACTGATTTATTATTATTACATTATCATAAATAGACAAAGATTATGTCAACAAGGAAAACAAAGATTGGATACTTCTGGATGGTATTGTGTACGATATTGAGAACTTTGATCATCCAGGAGGACGCAAATATCTTCAAGCTAGTGTTGGAAAAGACATGACGGTATCCTTCAACGGTGGAATTTACAACCATTCAAATGGTGCCCGAAATCTCTTGTCACGGATGCGAGTCGGTGTTATCAAAGAACAAATGCACCTCTTGTTGGCCAATACAAGCCCATCTCAGGCGTATGACGCTTCTCTTGAACCCAATAAGAGAGAGTAATAGACAAGGACAAACGCATACTTTCACACACACGCATACATATATTCTTTGCAATCATTCATATCTTTTCATATTTTCTTTATATAATAAATCAAGTATATATATCAAGAATTTTTATTTCTTGAGTAAAAATAAGAAGGACACTTATAACGTATGCAATCATAAAATAGTAATACACGTATTTATAAACAAATGGATGGAAACAGACAAAGATCTAATGTATATATATATATAGGAAAGGGATAGTGAGAGAAAGAAGGCTTACGTGACTGTGCTGGTCTACTGATGTAGTACGTCTCTCCGACCTAAAGCCATTTTATTTCTTGCATAGGGAAAATAACCACTACTTTCCTCTTATTATTTTCTCTTCTTCTTCCTTGTACTTCCTCATCGTCCTTTAAGTTACTCAATATTTTTTGACGGAAAGAAAGAAAGAAAGTTACCATTTTTTTAAAAAGAAAAATCACTTCTTTTTTCCCCTCATCTTTTAATAATAAAAGAGTACCTCAAATACCATGCAAATCACCAAACATACTGCAAGTAATAGTCAATCTTCTCAACCCGAATCACGTTTAGGGAATGTGAATAAGGATGAGTTGGTGAGACTTGTTCTACAAACATTGCAAGACCTAGACTATCAGTAAGATTAAACTGATTTTTTTTTGCCAACAATGATGCTCAAAGATTTGATATTTATAACGTATATATATATACAATTGCACATTTCTTTTGCACAATGCCACGCACACACACACACACACACACACACACACACACATATATATATATATATACGCGCACATACACACAGTGGACCTGCAATGATGCTTGAGAAGGAGTCTGGTGTTACTTTGGAATCTGACAATGTTACTTCGTTTCGTCAAGCTATCCTGACGGGAGATTGGACAGCTGCAGAAGCGTTACTGCCAACCATGGCACTATCTAAAACTGAAGACCTTTCACAAGCTATATTTCTTATCCGAGAGCAAAGATTTCTAGAGCTCTTGGAAGATAGAAAGACACTAAATGCACTCTACAGCCTCCGGACTGAGCTGACACCTCTAGGCTTAAATGTCGATCGTATTCATGAACTTTCAAGTCTGATTCTTTGTTCAACAGCAGAAGATGTAAAGGCACAGGCACGATGGGATGGGGCAGGAGGAAAATCAAGAGAACTATTATTGGTTGAGTTACAACGTAAGTGTGTGCGTGCGTGCGTGTTTTTTTTTTTAAAAAAAAAAAGCCGAAAAGATATCTTTACTATAGGATAAATATTAAATGTACATATATCTCTGTACGTGTGTGTATGTGTGTATGTGCATGTGCTTGTATATGTATGCTTTTGTAGGCTACATTCTTCCTTCTTCGATGATCCCAAAAGAGCGTATGTTGACACTTATTGATCAGGCCTTTCAATGGCAGCGGAGAGGATGTCTTTATCACAATGTTGCGGAATCTGATTATTCCCTCTTCGAAGATCATGCGTGTGACAAGTAAGTAAAACATAAAGGACTATTGGGAAATAAAATAAAATAGAATAGAATAAATGTATACGTATAAATATACATATGCTTGCGAGTATTGGTGTATCTATATTCAGATTCATGGGTTTATATAACATAATATAACAAAGCAAAAGTATCTAAGAATGTGGTGAATATACGTACATGTATATGTAAATATAAATACAGAGATCGTTTCCCTAAATCCACCATTCGCGTTCTCGAAGGACATGCAGATCAAGTATGGCATATTGCGTTTTCTCATAATGGAAAATATTTGGCATCAGTTTCTAAGGACAAAACCTGTACTATTTGGGATATAAGCGTAAGAAATCAAGATACTTATACGCACATAATGTTTAAAAAGAATCCAAAACCGTGTTTTAATAATGTAGACATTTGAAGTAATTCAAGTACTAAGCGGGCAACCTGACAGCAGCTCTTATTGTGAATGGTCTCCGGATGATAAAAGACTTTTGATTTGTGGATGTGATCATGCAATGAGGCTGTGGGATCCAATGGTAAATAATACAAACAAAATTACTCTATTACTACTACTTCCATTATTAATATTAATATTATTAATTTATTGGTAAAAAAAAATATGGACCGTGTAGACTGGTGACCTCATCCAGAACTTCCTTGAACACGAAGAACAGGTTACAAGCTGTGCATGGTTACCTGATGGAAAACATGTACTTTCTGCTGGTTGTGACAAAAAGATATGTTTGTGGGTAAGCTTACGGTCATTAATATTTAATAAGTATATATATCAGAATACGAGGGAGTTAACAGAAATGTATTATAGAACCTTGATGGTACACTTGTGAATACATGGATAGTAGAACGTGTATTGGATATGAAATTATCCGCAGATGGGCGTCGGCTTGTAATTGCTAGTTATGAAAATAACATTTCGGTTTATAATTTTGACTACCCCAATCTTTCTCCGTTCAGGTAGATCTCTATGATTATGGCTATGATTAGTAGTATTTTGTTTGAGTTCTACACTTTTGAGAATATATATATATATATGGATATACATGTGTGTGTTTGTGTGTGCTCATCTATTCTATCTTATGTATTTAAATTTATCTAGTAAAATAAAGGAAAGCGGTGGAATCACATCCTTGACACTGACCAAGGATTCCCGATTTGCATTAGTTAATATCAAGGAGCTCCAAGAGATTCACTTGTGGAATCTGGAAGACCAAACCTTGAAACACAAATACGCCGGCCACAAGCAAGGAGAATATGTTATTCGGTCTACATTTGGTGGCCCTGACGATTCATTTGTACTGAGTGGAAGCGAAGGTAAATCCGGATATTTGAAGTCTAAATGATACATAGTTTCTTCCCTTTTTTTATGTTTTATTAACTAACAAAATGAATAAATAAATGGAAACGAAACCTTTAGATAATTGCGTTTATGTCTGGAGCAGAGAGCACCAGGAATTATTAGAGGTCCTTTGTGGACACACAGATACTGTGAACTGTGTATCTTGGTATTCACACACACATACAATGTTCGCGACCGGAAGCGACGATGGAACTATTCGAATGCAAGTATACATATCTTTTTTTTTGAATATATATATATATATATATATATATACAATAGTAACTACATTATTTATCTCTCTCGCTGCTATTAATCCAAATCAAATATACTAATATTCTTCCTTTGTATATACAACCTAATATGTCTATGTCTATAATTATGGTTCTGGTTGTGGTTATCAGTTGGGGAATCAAACCTCAATTATCCAATTGCCCAGATGACAAGGGCAAGGTTCGAGCATAATACAAAATGAAATGAACAATGTATACATATATACAAATCAATGAAGACCCACATATACAGACAAGACATTTTAGTCAAAGAGAAAGATATTAAGGATATTAAGTAATTACAAATCATAATAAAAGAGTTATTATTTCCTTCTTTTTGCTTTGTGTGCTGTCCCTACGTCTGTCACTTTTGCTACTATTACTGTAGCTACTATTAACATCGTGCGCATATAGACAGGCGCATAATATGATCTTACTTCTTTTCATTATTTTTCTAAATAACTAAAAAAAAAAGTATACTAAAATTGACAATCACAATGCTATCTTATTAATACCTAATCTTAGTCATTTACAGAATTCAACATCATGACATTATAATAATGATGGTCATCCCATAATTAAATCTTGCATTCAAAAAAAAATTTAACTTGTAAAAACAAGCAAAGATTCCTCATTAGACATTAAATAAACTCTCACATTATCTTTTAAATATGTTTATATGTATATATCAAAAAAAAATTATTGTCTAATCACGCCACCGTATTTCTTGTTGCTTTTTATAATGAATATATATATATATATAAATCAAACAGATATTGTGAATGTATAACATATATATATATATATGGTATAACTTGTATAAAAGGCGGAAGATCAAAAAGTTTCATGTAAAGCGTTTTGGAACTCTTTCCCCCTTACTCCAAAAAAAGGCAAAATAAAATAAAATAAAATAAAATAAAATAAAAAAATAAAGTAAAAGTAAAATAAAATAAAATATATAATATAATATAATATAATAATTCTATTTTATATTTATATATCAAAAGTAGCAAGCCTCTTTATTATTTCATTCATTTTCATCTCTCAGGAAACTCGAACGCCTAATTGATCATGGCCGAGACAAACCAACCGAGCCAACAAACTAAAACCGAACCTTCATTGGTTGACCACGAAGACGAACACGAAGGAACAAACCATGACAGTAATAGTACTAGTGACCATCTAGAAAGTCATGATGAAACAGATAATTACCCAGGCAACAATGACGAGGAACAAGAAGGAGAAGACACTGAAACAGAAACAGAAGCAGATACTGAAATAAATACAGAGACCGAAGAATACGGCGAAGACGAAGACGAAGACGACGAAGACGAGGACGATGAAGACGAAGACGAAGACGACGAAGATGAAATAGGAGAAGAACCGAAGCTACGCTACCGTCGCGTTGGTGCTGGTGTACGAGACCTCCTTGGAAAGGATGCCGCTTCTACATTACGAGTGTCAGACAAATTTGTGGTGAGATGGACTTTAAGGAAAACCCTTTCTTTTTTTAAAAAAAAAACAACGAAAGAAAGAAAGAAATATATTTATTATACGTGCTCAGCAAGAATGAATTAAAGATGTCGAGCAACTAAACAAAACAAATAATAATTTATTATTATTGTTGCTGTTACTATTAACTCAAGGCTCTTGGTACTCACTGGGGCTGTGTCCACATCCTTGACTTTGAGGGTAACGTAATCAAGAGCTTCCGAAATCACTCTGCTACTGTCAATGATATCTCGATTGACAGTTCGGACGAATATGTTGCAAGTGCCTCTGATGATGGTAAATTGAAAGAAGAACACGTACATACATACATACATACATACATATATGTATTTTGCTATCTATCTATCTTTCGCTATATCAATATCAATATCAATATATGTGTATGTGTATATTTGGGTACTTGAATATTTCTTTTAGGAAAGGTGTACATATATGCCCTCTATACTCCCGAAATACAACACTTCAACTATAGACGTCCTGTAAAAGCAGTAGCATTGGATCCTGGCTATGCTCACAAATCAACTCGTCAATTTGTGTCAGGTGGTATGGCTGAACAACTAATCATGAATGAAAAGGGGTGGTTGGGTCACAAAGACAGTGTATTGCACGCCAATGAAGGTCCTGTCTACTCTATTCAATGGAGAGGGAGCTTTATTGCTTGGGCTAATGATACCGGTGTCAAGATGTACGACACAAACACACATCTTCGAATCACCTATATTGACAGACCAGCAGGGAGTCCGAGAGCCGATCTTTACAAGTGTCGAATGTGTTGGAAAGATGACTCTACTCTATTGATTGCATGGGCTGACACTGTCAAGATTGCTGCTATAAGGGTAATATATATATATATATATATATTTCTTTTCTGTATCTATAAAGTATTTGTACCAATTATTATAATTACTTGCTCTATGTAAAATGATAATCATAATAATAGTAATAATAAGCATGTGTGCTTTTTCTCTTTTCTTTTTTTCTTTCTGGTTTCTGTAGGAAAAACCAAAGCAATCTCAAGTACAAGGCCAACCAACACACTATGTCGAAATTATATCCATGTTTCAAACAGACTACATTATCTGTGGTATCGCACCTTTTGACGACACTCTCTTGTTGCTAGCCTACATTATCGACGATGACATTGCTTCTATTAACGCAGATACCCAAGATCCAGAGTCTCAAAGAAAAAGGCTAGCTGCCCGCCCAGAATTGCACATAATCAACGAAGACAACGAAGAAATATCGGCAGATGTCCTGGCTTTGCAAGGATACGAGCATTACCAGGCAAATGACTATGTTCTCGAATTCTTGAGAGGAGAGGATATGTTTTATGTGACTGGACCCAAGGATCTAATTGCTGCCCGGCCTAGAGATCAAGATGATCATATTGAGTGGCTCTTGGACCATGAGCGCTACGGAGAGGCACTTGAGGCAGCGAGAGAAGCTATGGCCTTGGGTGGAAGCAAGCGCTTCAATGTGGATGATATTGGACATACTTACTTGAATCAGCTTGTGATTGAGAATCGATTTGACCAGGCTGCAAAAGAATGCAAGGGTATTCTTCGAAGCGATCGTGGCTTATGGGAAGACTGGGTGTTTAGGTTTATTGAGCTGGGAGAATTAAAGGTAAGAATATATATACATATAAAAAAATATCGAGATTGTTATCTTTGTCTTTCATTACTTTTATTTCTACTGCTACTGCTACTGCTACTGCTACTGTTATTACGATTACTATTACTATTATTATTTTATTATTTATTTATTATTATTACCATTATCACTATTATAAAAAAAAACTTGGATTATGTATCTATTTGCATGTGGATATATGTGTGTGTGTCTGTATATGTATATGAATATGTATATGTATATATAAATTCCTACTATTGTTATTGTTAATATTGTAGGCAATTGCACCTTTTATACCCATGAAAGATCCTCAGCTTAGTAGTACACTCTATGAAATCGTACTTGCTTATTTCTTAAAGAGTGATCCAGAGGCAAGTATAAAACAATATTATAGAATATTACATATGATAATTAATCTCAAAGAAACCAAATGATAATGATAATGATAATGATAAGTATAGGCTCTTTTAAAAACTCTTCACAAATGGCCTCGATCTCTTTACAATATCTCCAATGTTATTGTTGCTGTAGAAGACTATATGCCAAAAGACAAGAATAATGAGATTCTTTTGGAGTGTCTTGCCGATTTGTAAGTTAATATCAACCATAGAAAAATTCTAATAGTATTAACATTAGTATGCTATGTTCTATATATATATATATATATAATTCTGTAGATATACTTATAACAATCAGCCAGACAAAGCCATTGAATACAACCTTCGACTGCGACGACCAAATGCATTCGAATTAATACAGGAGTATAATATGTTTGATGCTGTCAAAGACAAGGCTGTACTGTTGATGGAATTCGACCAACATTTGATAAAGAAGGAAGAAGCTCAGACAAAACTCGATCCAAATACCACAATGGGACTACCAAAGAAAACTAGCCAGATGCCTGCTGTACAATTATTGGTGAAAAACACAGAAGCAATTCAGGTAAACTAACCTTTATATATAAGCATAGATTCTTTCCATTGTACTTAATATTCTGTATGTGTGTGTGTGTAGCCAAGAAATGTTGTGAAGCAACTGTGGAATTCTAGAAAGTTTCTTCATGTTTATTTGGATGCTCTCTTTGATCGAGACCGTCACCTAGGTTATGAATTCCATGACTTGCAGGCAAGAAAAGTGTCTTTGTATATTTCGGAATTTAATACTGGTAATGTAAAGAAGGATAACACTTGGATGTCTATTTTTCTCTGTGTGTTCTTAGGTTGAGTTGTATGCAGAGTATGACTACCCTAAATTACTAGACTTTCTTCGAGCAAGTCATTACATCTCTCTTGAAAAGGTAAAAGCAAATACCTATATATGATATATAAAAGGAACGATCCAAACAGCTCACTTTTTAACCCTCTTCCCAAATTTTCGACTTTTGTAGGCTTACAAAGTTTGTGAAGAAAAAGACTTGGTTCCTGAAATGGTCTTTATACTCGGACGTATGGGTAACAACAAAAAGGCTTTGATGTTGATTATTGAACGATTGAGTGATGTTCAAAGGGTTAGTATTATCAACAAGCACATAAAGAGAAGCTTAATATAACTATCATCTATCTATCTCGTTCTTTTAGGCCATTGATTTTGCAAAAGAACAAAAGGATGATGATCTTTGGGAAGATCTCTTGACATATTCTATGGACAAACCATGTAAGCTGTGCAAATACTTTTACCTTGTTTATTGTATATGCCAGATTGTCAAATTTGCTTCTAATTTTGCGTTCTCTTTTAGTATTTATTCGAGGATTGTTGGAGAATGTTGGTACAGACATTGAACCACTGCGTCTCATCAAACGGATCCCAGATGAGCTCGAGATTCCAGGATTAAAGGAATCACTGCTAAAGATTCTTCAAGATTACAACCTACAGGTATGTATATATATATATAATCATCTAACTCTATATGTGTTAATTTGTCTTTTCTATATTAGATGTCTTTGCACCAAGGATGTGAAAAGATTTTGGTCAGTGATAGCGTGTTTTTGGCTGACAGAATGTACAAGACTCAAAAACGCGGAATAAAATGTGATCGTAAAGTATCGATTTTCTTTCTGGAGCTTAAGTCAAGTGCTCTACTGCTATTTACTAAAAGAGAAACATCATTTTCTTTTTGTAGCCGAAGATATGCTTTGTAACCTGTGCGAAGAGACTGTGTTTGATGACGGTAGTATGGATGAGTTCCCCAATACAATTGTATTTTTCTGCCGGCATGCATACCATGAAAAGTGCTTGTTGGATAAAAATGATCCTGAAATCAAGGCTTCGATTCAGTCTGGGTCGTTGACTAGTAAGATCAACCATGCTGCTCTACTCAAGACTACTCGAAATATTGGGTGCCCGATTTGCCGAGAACAAGCAGCAGGTGGAAATGCTTTTGTGAACCGAATGAAGTCTCATCGCCAAGGGGCTGCTCAACGAAAAGGATCTACTTCATCACGTCCTGAAAGTGTAAGAAGTCTGGGCGTAGTTCACTAGACATCCCTCTCTCACTTTAAAGTCTTTCTTTTTCTTTATTTTTTTTCTCTCTTTTTACACTATGAATATATACATTTGTGCGTGTGTGTGTTTTTGTTGGTGGTGGCCAAATGAGGCAATACGATAACATTTTTGAATTGAATGTTTACTTTGGATTCCAATCTTGGAATAACGTAATGTATATATATATATATATGAGATAGACTATTATTTAATATATATGTGCTTGCATGCATATACGCATATATAGACATCTTCTTCTTTGTTAACTACCATAATTTTAGCCGCAACTACAACTACAACCATAATCATAACCGTAATAAATGCTATCCCGAACAAAGGTGGAAAACATCCTCAGTCTTGGACTTAATGGGATGAATATCTGCCTGTACCTCTTGGTTATCGCTTCAACCATCGTAAAGTGTTTAAATGCGAACTTTTCACAGATTGTAATGGGTATCTATGGAATGTAAGCCGACCGTTTGCTCTTTATTGCTGTAACACTACTTTCTGTCCATAATTCACGCTTATATATACATATATTCATATATCAATGGCTATAGAATAATCGCAGCTCTCTTGGTTGTGAATGAATTTCATCAGTCCAATATCTCCATCGACTATTTTCCATTTATCTGTTTGTACCGTGGTCGTGGAATGGTCCTGATATTGTAAGTCGCAGTAAAATACTACAGATCTCTTAAAACAAATAAACAAATGTTTATTTGTGTAGTTTTGGGTGCCTTGTTTTGGATGTAGCTGTAGTGAATATTATTGCTGGTACTCTTAATCTGGCATTTGGATTCTTGTACATCATCATGTCATACATTCCGTCATATCCTCCACTTCGACCTATTGGAATCAACTGGCAGAACTGGAAAGACTTTTCAGCTGAAGGCCTTGATCTGATGGGTCCTAAACATATGGAAATAGAGGTTAGTCGTATTTTTATTATTGCCTATAATAAATCCCGTTCCATTAAAGTGTCTTATTGCTATTGTAGAGCAATGTAGCTATGAGGCTAAAGTCTCCTCCGCCGTTTTCGCAGCACATCTATCCATATGAAACGGACATCGGTGATATTAGAACAAGTCACCTCCACAAAGAGCACCGAGCCACAGTTCATCCAGCAGGGCATTCCAAATAATAATAAGAATATCATTATTATTATTACTAGCAGCAGTAATAGTAGTAGTAATACCAAGTCATATTTCGAGCCTTTCTGAACTTTGCTTCTGCGTCTGTATCTGGGAAAAAAAACTTAATTTTAGCTGATGTATATCAATGGATCCCAACTCCCCGTCTCCCCGTCTCCCCACGTGTAATATAGTGTACACAATTAATTTTCCTAAAAAGGTATTTTACCATGTATATTCTTGCTTGTATTCTCTTTTTATTTCCCTCTTATTCCTCCTCTTCTCGTTATTCTCCTTATGAAGACATTCCTGTCTCTATCTCTTTATATTCGTACACAAAATGGTCATAATAGCTGTTAATAAATAAACTATTGTACTACTGTATTGTCTCTATATCCTTATTATATTAATATATGAGTGAGTGTATACAGGCGGTTTGTTTTCTGACAAAGGCGGTCCCATTAAGGACGGCGATCTCAGAGATAGGAGAGGTTCTGGTTGTGATGGCGAGGATGTTAATTTAGGAGAGGCATTAGATAAAAAGGCGGTGTGTGACTATCGTCATGGATAGCCCTGAGAACCTCAGAAATATTATGTATTTTTTGCATTGTTCAAAACTAATGACATTTCTACCATTAATAACAATAAGTGCATTGAGTTGGATTAGATTATCTAGAAGCTCTTGGAATATCAAATTCATATGAGTGCTTCTGTACATAAGTTATATACGCCACATAAATAATACAATAAAAGTACTGTTAGAATATGACATTTGGCTTCTCATTTTATTATAAATCTTAATTTTTGAAGATAACCTCTTTATAAGATTTACTTTAATTGACCCATTGAGGAGCCTTTTTTTTTATAATATACATGAAATACTATTTTAAAGGCTACTTGTATTGATAATATACGAGGGGAGAGAAGGATCATAATTACAAGGTGTTCTTATGAAATACATCTTTCAATGATAATGGAGACTTGTGACGTTCAAACAATTTTTAACTTTTCCCTTGGCTATAACATCCGTTCTACGAAAATTCTTCTGGTTCTTCCCGTAACTTAATTACGCCATAACTGTCTGCGTCTATTACTTGTTCAATGGGTGTGATTATCCCATCTTCATCCTCTTTACTCATTTTGGCTTTCTTATTGGTATAATCGAAACCGTATTCAGCATATCGCTTGATTTTTTTTATGAATTGTGTCATTGTCTCTGTTCTTTTCAAGTTCTTTTGCCCATTTCGTTTTTTTTTAAATTAATTGTGTTTTTTTTATTACATCTATTATATGGTTGTAATTTTGATCGTACTTTGTTGTATATGACTCAATTTTTTTATAGAGATTTGGTATATACGCCTTAACTCAGGATCTTCACCTTTTTTTCAAGACCAAATAAACTTTTATTCTGTTTGCAAAAGAAGTATGTCAATGCAACTACTGGCATGCCATTTCCTGGTGGGAGACGACATTTTTATTCAACCAGGCAACAAATCGTGACCTTTTTGCCGTCATGGAATAATAATATCTGGTCCCTAAGAATATACTTTTATTAAAATCATTAATACAAAACTGGGATACAGAATACTCGTATCAAGATCTTCTTTTTATACATAAAAAAAAAGCAAAAAATTGTTTATGAGGATTACTTACCAGTTGGTACTGCCAGACTCTGGGAATATTTAGGTGGGGAAAAGAGAAAGACATGATACGCGTAAGGATAATAAATAGTAGAATATCCAACAAGATTGCGAGACACTCTAATGACAACAACTCATACTGTTCTGCATAAGCAGCTATTGATATGGTGCGCTTGTAACTAATTATTACTTTTTTATTGTCAAGTCTAAATCCAGGGCTACTAATTGAATATACAGGATTTGTTTTTTTGTATGAGACAAACTTTTATTATTAAGTTGCCCAAATACAAACTGTGGCACTTAAAATAATGACAGTTTGGTGCCTTGGGAGAGATAGATTAACACAAAGTAGTAAAGCTAATGTGTACAATAAATATAATGCGTTTTTTCAGGACACATCATTTTGCCCTGAAGGATTAGAGAAAGGTACCGGCCCAGACAGATAGACACAATTAATCAGTCTGGTTAGATAGAAACGTGGTACCCCATCAGGAAACGTCGTTCCCGTAAGATTGTTCCATGAGGATAGGACCTTTGACAGATTCTGTTATGGAGTATTTTTCTTATACCCACGAGAAACAATTGGACTCCGGCTTTTTTCTATTTTCAAGAGTCAAACCCCCCTCCTTTGGCGGAAATGACAGCACCAATAAGCTGCTCTGTTTACTTTGTAGAGAAACTGTTCTTTAGCAAAGTAAATGGACAAGATGATCAGTTTTATTATTTCTGACAACGTATTTTTGTCTTTGAAAAAAAAAAACGTGGTGTTTCAATTAATAGCAAAGGAAGAAAAATATAGTATGAATTTCTTTTTCGTTGTTTTTCTAACACATTTTAAAGCCCAATTTTTTATAGGAATCGTAATTGTAATCGGAAGACATTAAAGATTTGTGCAATCAGAAATTATTTAATTATTTATTATTAACAGTTTCATAGTAGTGGTAGTAGTAGTATTATTATTTTTAAAAATAGATGTGGGGTATGAAATAGAAAGGATGAATTTGTGTGTGAAGTGCAATGTGTGGTATGAAGAAATAATGTGTCTTGAGATTATTGATGTAAGAAAAGAAAAGAAAAGAAAAACAAGTATCAATATGCGATGTGGTGTAGTGTAGTGTAGTGTAGTGTAGTGTAGTGTATATTGGATAGGGACAGTTTTGTAGATACAACTATCCAATATATCACGTTTTTCTTCTTCTTCTTCTTCTTCCTTTTCACTTTTGTCCTGTCTTGTCTATCTATATATCTATCTATCTATGCTGAGAGTTTATGCCACAGTTTGTAGCCAGAAAGTGAGCCACTACAAAGACCGGCCCATATTTGAACAGTGTTTCCAAACGATGGCTGCCAGATATCGCAAGCTGTTATTGGTTGATTAAAGGTATGTGAGTTAGATTTAATGACTTGTTTGACATAAAAGTATAAGTATAAATAAAAGTAAAACATACCACAAAATACACCATCTAGCATTAATTTGGCAAACGAGATCTTGGCCATGTGTATCTTCTGGTTATGTTGGGCTAATTCGTCTTGGCTGACTTGTTTGGACTGCATTTTGGCCAATGATTTAAGGCCTGATCTGGTGTCTGATAAGATTGCAGCAAACCAACAGTAGTAGGCTATGATTTCTGCTCTTTTGCCGATCTTTGAAGGCACAATACCCAGCTTGAACAGACAATAGAGATCGTCGGCTAGTTCTTGAACAATACCGTTCACAAGTTCGATGGTCTTCAGGGGGTTCTTTTTGGCATTTGTGGCCAAGAATTCTCTAATAGGACCAATTACATGACCCAGGCGGAGGATCTTTCGGGTGGTTGAGAATTGACTGGTGAGCGGGGACCAGCGCTTGGATTGCAGAAAATGATAATGAACGAGCATCTTTAGAAAATATTGAATGATTTTTATTGTCTTGTCACGTCCGTCGAGATCCTGAAGGATTGTCTGAACAACTGCTCCCAGGGGTTTTTCTTTTGTTGGCTTGTTTTCTGGCGCAGACAGGGCCATAAAAGACGGCGATCTTAAAGATAGGAGTGGCTGTGGTGGTGGTGAAGATGTTGGTGTAGGCAAGGCATCGATAGGATTGAATGTGTTTAGTTTGGTACTGGTACTGGTACTGGCAGGCATCTTTTATGTATAGATTTTCTTGTGAATATATAGAAAATAATAAAAAGGAAGAGAAAGAGAAAGATAAAGAGGATTTTTTGTGATAAAACGATAGTTGGTTGGTTTATTTATTATTATTTTTATATGTATATGTGTTTAATGATTATTTTTATTTTTATAATAAAAAAGGTTATCTTCCTTGTTTAATACCGCGGAACACCTCTTGTAGTTCCGCGGGGGATATTTAAAGACACATTTCTAATCAACCTACGCAAGGCACAAACATTAGCCAATCAGAATAACCGATGCAACACATCTTTCTATATTTATATAAATTTTCTCTCTTTCTGACCTTGACTGCTGAATAAATCCTTCGGACCATCACACACGCACTAAGGAACCCGAGTGCACCACTAGATACACCAACCAGAATACAGCCTAACAACATATGAACAGCATACACTAGTCCACCAACCACACTTGGATTACTAGTTAAGGTCAAGTAGTGCACAAGTCCATATCTACCAATAAAATATTAATATCCTCTTATTTTTCTTCACATATCATATATCAATAACACTATAGATCTTTTACCCTGCCATCCATAGTGAAGGTGCTGCACCAGAAGCAAAAGACATCCACCACCAATTGTAGTCCTAGAAACAAACAAACAAACAAACAGGCAAACGAATGATTAATTGATTAATTAAGGAACACGATTATCTCTTTATCTCTCTTTATCCCCTGCATTATTGTGCATCATATAATAGTATTTACTTCTGTGCATAGTTGGAAGAACACCAGAACAACAGTGATCTCAGTTACTGTGGTTGCATAGAGAGAAAATGTCCAGAAGGCTTCGTTCATTGAAAAGACGACATTCCCACTCCAAATAGAATTCAACCATTCATGATAGGTCATTGAGAGTACAACAAATGGCAATACTCCAGCCAATACAATACTACAAATTCAATAAAATAGAATAATATAATATAATAAGCATCTGTACAAATCCTACACACGCACACACATTTATGTATATCGGTATTTACCTGGCCATTGGTCGTTGATACCATTGTTTATGTGGTATGATGCGTGCAATTGATGAAGGTCTGACAGGGTGTTCAATTACTTTGGATCGGTGACCCACATATGCTCCCATTAGAGTCATTGGGGTCATAACCCCCCACCAAACCATGATCAGTATCACCCACCCACGCAACGGAATCGCAATTGATGAGAGTTGGGTCCATCCCATCATAGTCTGAAGCACAAGGCATACAACCACAAATCCAGGCACAATAAATGCTGTCTACATAATATTTGATTTTATTTGATTTTATTGAAATGAATTGAAATGAATTGAAATGAATTGAATTAGGTTTTTATATAATATATATGTACTTAATTAATTAAAGAAAATCACACTTACCAAACACCCATTCAATACCCAAGGCTTTCCTTTAAACATTCTATATATCTTTCCAGTAACAAAGCCAGCCAAAAGACTATCATTTTGTCTTAAAAAAACATTTCCCTTGATATTTACATTTTCTTTTATTTCTCACCATCCAGGCATTTGTCCAATCATAAATCGAAGAAGAAGTGCACCAGGTTGAGCAGGATGACAGGTACCCAACATAACACATCCTACAAAACATGTTCAATTTTTTTTTCGATATACACATACATTTTATATCCAAATCAACCAATCATAAAAATAATACTTACCGGCAGTAACAAAGGACGCGGTGATCAATTGGATACCTGAACCAACCAAGGGAGCCAACAGCCCAGCATAGATTGGCCGTCTGAATACATCTCTGTGGATCAGACGCCATCCAACATTGTCTTCAAAGTCTTCATGAAGCTGACAAATACAATACAGTACATATATTTGTTTATTAATATGTATATATATATATATATATACATTGATATATAGTCACAAACCTTGTATTCAACATCGTCAAAACTATCTTTGCTGGCTGTTTTTAATAGAATGACAGCAATGACACCCAATAATAATAAGGCCACGACTACACTATTGACTGTTGCAACAAGATTCTTTTTTGGAGGTGTTTCCAAAACATACTTGTCCCATCTTGATTGATCAGTCAAGGTAGTCTTGCGAGTAATTTAAAACAACCAAATGAATCAAGTAAGCGACTTTGTCAATAATAATAGTAATTGTATGCTTACCTGTTTCCATGTTACTGAATAGGTGTATCTAATTGATGATTTACGTTCGAGTACTTGTTGTTTTGGGTAGTCTACTGCTGGATGATTACAATCACCGTTTTGTACCCTATGTACCATACATATGTTTATTTAATATCCAGAATATTTATATAAATTAATAATTAAAAAAAAATTGAAACATACGAATCTGGGTAGACTTCAAAGCCTATGATCGATATACGACTATTATTAGCATAATCATCGTCGTTGTCTTTGTCTGTAACTTCGTTGTCATGGTTATCATTATCGTCTGTTGTGTATAAAACGTGGATTGCAACGTGGTTATTGATATATGTTTGGCCGTTCTATAAATAAAATAAGCAGAATTATTATAATTATTATAATTTACATGATATATTTATTTATATATTAAACTGCGTGCATTTGTACAACCATTTCTATTTGAGTCTCTTTTCGTTTGCTTCTTTATTTTTACTTTACTATAATTATAACATTTACCAGAACTTGTCCTAATGGAAATCCGACGCGATATGAACGCGTGCTGACCTTGTTGGTATAAGAAACCGTTGCTCCCGGTAAACCATCTAACCACCTTTAATTAACCACAGAATGAATGAAAGAAAAAAGATTAAAATAAGAACAAGGCTTTGATTCGCATTGAATCAAATTATACTTCTTGTTAGCATTTACCATTCGACTTGATAATCATTCTCGATAAATTGCTTTGCATTCATGGCGTCTTCTACTGACCATCCTTTGGAACAAACGGTCTGACACTGCATGTCTTGTCCAACTACAATCTAAACAAAGAAATAAATAAATTATCAATAATTACACTTTTCTTATAAAATAATAATAATAATAATAGTAATAATAAATGCGATCAAATATTTCTTAAATGACATACACACACACACACACATATATGTATAAAATAGATAACATAAATTCTGCAAATTCTAATTTTGACATTAAATCTGTAACTATCTTGTCTATCTATGGATTTTGCTTTGTTTTACATTTAGGTCACTTTGTACAGGGCGATCGCCTCGGAGATCTCTTTCCATGGCTAGCCAGGTAGAATCAAATAGAGCATTTCGACTGGGTATTGGGGGACAAAGGAATGAAGGGGATGAATAGGCGATGGGTAGATGAGTTCCGTAGGTGAAAAGTTTGTTGTAATATAGAGCAATGGGCTGGTCTTTTTGGTAAGTTGATGCACCTACAAATGAGATGAGGAAAAGGAGTGGAAAGAGACGAATTGCCATGGCAAAACGCAAATGATATTGATGCTGGAGAGAATGCAAAGAAGGAAGAAAGAAAGAAAGAAAGAGAGAAAGAAAGAAAGGTAAAGAATATCTATATCTATATCTATATCTATATCTATATATATATATATATCAATGTATCATCAATGTATCAATGTGTATATAAAAAAAACAGAACCAAAAGAAAATATTAAAATTCCTAAAAGCGGGTCTTTTTTTTTTTTTTTTTTGCTCAACTCGGATCGGGGTTTTAATATTCAATGTATGTGTGTGATTTTTATATATATACAATGCGGCTGGTAAATATTGTCCATTTTGAAAAAATAGGAAAGGGGATGAGCATGCCAGATTAGCTGGTCAGAGAGTAGAGTTAAGAAAAATTAAAATTAAAGATTATTGGGTGAGAAAAGTATCTAAAGTCTTCGTTACGAGATTCTGTAACATGACACTCGAAGCTCTCGCTGCTATCATACCGGCTAGGAAGGCACATTCTTTGGAAACAAAGTTCCAGTGAGCGCGCCAAATTGCATGCACAGTGACAACGACCAGTACAACTAGCAGATCAGACGTATCTGAACGCTTCAGAAAAATTGCGAAGGAGAATGCCGCTTGCCGATTGTACATTTCGTCCGGGTACATGTCAAGCCAGCATGATACTCCAAACTCAGGGTCTGGAAGGGCAAGAGAAGAAGAAGTGTGCAGGATCTTTTATTGAAGCAGAGCACAACAGGTAAGCAGTGGTGTGGGATGGTATGGCGCCACAACCTCGTACAACGAGAAACACTCAGGCTTAGTGTATTCACAAAAGGGGTCCTATACCGCCGAAATTATTGTTGTATCAAGGATGGAGTAATCACCCAGCTTAAGGATAAGTCGCCTCATTAATGAAGCAAAGAAAGTCAAACAGGCTTTCTTTCTGAGAGACTTAACAGACATTAAGTTTCATACTGATACCTGCAAATCCCTGAAATTCATTATTGAGGTACCAAGTGCACATGTTCCTCTTAGAAAAAGTGATGTTGGACTTGGATTTGGATGATTATATCCGGTTGTCATATCTACAGAGAAACCACTGTATTTTCATCTGAAAATCCAATTGCCAAAAAAGAAGAGTACCCTGTTATTAAGACGGACTTGTTTAAAGGTCTTATTTTTCAAGAGGTAAGAAAAAATGAAAAGAAAAGAAAACTATTCATCTTGTGGTGTAACATTTAGTGCCAATTTTTGCAGTGTTAATACGACAATCATCTCATAACAAACGGACGTTTATTTTTCTTTAAAACGGACAAAGTTTACCAGCCGCACTGTATATAAATTGTAATATTGAACAATTAAATATATATATGTGTGTATGTATGTATGTGGGCTAATAAATTCTTGGGGTTTATTAATCTTATCCAAGAAGTTGTAACATAAAGAAGCCCAAAAGAGAGAAAGAGTACAATAAAAACGGTGATGTCAGCCAGATTATTATTGGGTACTTTGAAGTTATACACAGGCACATAGGCACACAGGCACACACACACGCATATATATGTATATATATGTACTGTAAGCCTCCAAAAAAGAAGAAGAAGATGATGATGAAGAAGAAGAAGAAAATTAATAAATATATTATTTTATTTTATTTTATTTTTTGAATGGCTGATGGAATAAGGGTAGAATCTTGGCTTGGCTCTTTTCTTTTATTTTAAATCAACCAGCCCAGAAATTTTTTGTACTCACTTTGAGGCTGAGAAAGCAAGTACAATGAAGGCAATAAGACAATAGGCAATGGGCAATGGGCAATGGGCAATTGACTAGGTATTTTATTCACCAGTCAATTTAAGAATAGTCCTTAATATAAATAAATTAACAATAATAAATTAAAAAAAAATTGGGCTAAAGTTAGCCCTGTTACTCAAGACAGGCCATTCCAAGACCGTATTTTTGTTACCCATTTAATATTTTAGACGGACCTTTCTTTTTTTTTTTTGCTTTCTTTCTTATTTTCTTTCTTTTTTTGGATTGTTATTATTTTCACCTCTTCTTCTTCTTCTTCTTCCTACTCTATCTATTTCTATTTCTCGTTTTGCAAACCAACCAAAGACCATATAGCCTATTCTTGTTTAACTTACTATGGGACGTGTTGTACAAATCGATGTCCCCTTGTCCGTACCTGATAGTATGCCTCACTTGGCAACAGTACAAATAAGCCTTCACGCTGCTCAAGTCTTATTGTCTCTCTTGGCAGTCTGTATGATTGGTCCTGTCATAGGAATCCTTAACAAATTCAACGCAAGTTATTCTTCACAATACTTTACTCTTCTATTCACTATTCCAGCCCAAATAAGCATTATTAACCTATATATGAAAACCAACAGGGTGGAAGCGATCCAGCGCCCAACTGGTCCTTGTTCGTCTTCTTTGCCACCTTTGGAACTCCTATTTTTATCGTATTCTTCCCATGGGCCTATGAACGCAAGACAAAGTTCAAGAAATTGGCAAAGTTCTTTCTTAAACCACGCACAAACATCGTATTCGGCATCTTTGACACCGTTCTCTGGGCAACTGCAGGTATTGCCATGACCGTCTATTCAAACAAGGATTCGACCTGCAGCTTTGATTCCGAAAAAGAAGAATCTTTTGGAAGCTCATACACTGGCTCCTGGGCCACTCAGGTAAAAATAAAGAAATAGTTTCTGGTGATGATGATAGCAGTAGTTAGTATGGAAGGTATTATTCGAAATATATTCTAGATTAAACTAATATGTATCTTTATATTTAAAAATAAATAAATAAATAAATAAATAGTGTAATCTTGCTAAGGCAGGTGCTGCTTTCTCTTGGATGACATGTATCCTGTGGGCCATGTCGCTTGTGTGCTCGCTCATCGATTCTTTCCGAGAGAAGCAGGCAATGAGAAATAATAAAAAGGAACAGTCATTAAACAGACAATCGGCTGCTTTCCAGACAGACTACGAGGAGGACCACGTTGGAAGAAACTACAGACCAGTACAATCATTTGGAGGGGACCATTTTGACGGACAAGTCGTAAATACACAGCGGTCGCCCTTTGAGTCGCCCTATGATCCTCCGGCTGAGCAGAAACAAGAAGTCCCACAACCTCATCATGACTCGTACTACCGATCTTCTCCTATGGCTGCACAAGAACAACACGAATATTCCTATCAGGACTATCGTCATGAAGGAACAGGAGGAGGAGGAGGAGCACCAGCACAAAGACATATACCAGAAGCCACTGCTCCCTATTCCGACTACGAAGCTCAGCCTGGCCAATACCAGTCTCCAGCACCTCTTACTTTTAGTCCAATGCCCATGCCAGAATCTACTTTCCACACACCACGACAGTAATAAAAAAAATACTTAAGAATTATAATAATTCCCTTACTCCTCCTCTTGTAAATTTTCCCCTCTTCCTTCTTTCTTCTACCCTTTCAGTCTTATTTCCATATTATTTTCTTATAATATACAAATAAATATATCAAAATATACTAATTTTTATCCTTAAATTTGATAATAAAAAAAAGGAACTGTTGACATAAATATAAATACATTTATACTTATACTTGTATACTCACGCCATTTCCGGAAAGAAATTATACAGGCACATCAATTATTTGCACCCACGCACAAAGAATATATAACAAAATAAAGGATTTAAGCAAGATTTGGATTCTTTATTTTATTGTGTATTGTATATTGTATAGTATTTAGTAGCTATTTTAGCTATCTACGTTGTATAGTTGGCTTTTATTAACATTGTGGAAAATTTTGTGTCACTACAAATGTCTTGGCCACTACTACAACCACAACAATAACCACATTGAAAAGAGATAGTTGATAATCTCAGACAAAAGCCCAGTGGGTTCGCCAAAAAAGAAGAAGATGATTGGATTGTTGATACCACAACTGTAGCCTACTGTGGCTTTGATATATAGTGCTATTTTCTTTTTGTGAGTACTGTATGTATATATATTGAAGCATTGCCAGAAATTCTAGCCTGACATCTACTTGTACAATAAATTATTGAAATTAATCAGCAATGTACCTGTCGTTGTCACAAATCGGTCAAGTATCATCATCAATAAGGACTTATCATGTCAGGAACATGAATGAGCGGACGGGAAGTCGGCCCCAAAATGGGAATTTGATCTTTTTATTTAATTTTTTTTTACGAGAATTGGATTTATAAATTTTAATATTTTATTACCTTTTCTTTCTCTTTCTTTCTATCAAACTCTTTCATTATTATATATTTTCTAAGCACGATAGGATCTGACCTGTGCTCTGACAATGTCAAAGATATCCCGTCATTCGTAAGAAGAAGAAACAATATCTAATTACGGCTTATAGGATAAATTGGTAATAAATTAGTAAAGCCACAAATTTTGTCTACGCTACAAGCAAAATATATTAATTTACCCAGAATCTTGAGTCTGTTCTTCAAAAGAATATATATATAGCTCATTAGTAGCACCAGTAAATTCTTTTTCCACACAGTTATTTATTGAAGTATCTTTGCTTACAAAATGGCTTGTGCGTTAATAGCTAGAATATATATATATATATATATGTATGTGTGTAAGCAATTACCTTGTAGTGATTGTGCAACTTAATTTGGGTGTGTCTTCCAAGAACTGTTGTGTAATCTATTTCTGTAGATGGTGTAAATATGTATGATATAAATGGACATTTGTTGCTCTCATCTAATAGTAGTATTTAATTGAGGTATATTTGGTGTGGACATACTAAAAGTTCAAAAAAAGGGTAAAACAACTTCATCCTGAACTTAGTCAATCAGACTAATTTATGACTGTCCACACCTTTTTTTTAAAAAAAAGTCCAAAATTAGTTCAAAATACATATTAGATAAAATTGTGCATATAATCCCGTCTCTGTCATTAAGTGAGAACCTTTTATTGCGAGTTTTTCTAGACCTCTCATTATATGGCACATCCTCTCCATAAAAAAATGCTTCTCTTCTCAATCCTAGTGGCAATGAAAGAAAACTAGCTAATTAGAGTCGATTAAAAATTTTGCCCTTTTTTTGCCCTGTTTTTGCCCTTTTAGTCTGTCCACATTAACTGTATCACAATTTCGGTCCAATAATATCATTGTCTGAGTTTACAAATTGTTCGGACAACTGGACTGAGTACCCCCTATATTCAGCTTTTTTTTAACTCGTCTCTACGAAAAAAAACGGTTTTTTTGGCTGTTTTTTTTTTCTGTTTTCTGGCGGTTTGACAAGGCGGCTTTATAGCTGGTTTTTGCCTAATATCTACTTTGCCTATAACATTGATCTTTTCAAATATTCAGCTTATCTTTTTTGGATGATACCAAAATAAAATTAGTTGTATGTGAACAGGGGTTAATGTTCAGATTTCTTACTTGTAATCATCTAAACAATCTCTTTGTAGAAGCCAAAAAAAACTTTGTAAGTATGGAACTCCATAGAGAATAAAATGATGTGTCAGAATAACCTACTGTACCTATGTCTTTTTTTCTGTTTGCTTGGAGCCGTATTATTCTCTGTAACTGATACTACCGTGTAAACAATGTTTAAAATAGTCGGACAAAAGGAGTCTTCAAGTGATGCATATAATATCCTAAATACATAGTTCAACCTCAAAAAACAGCATAAGAAGAGGTAGACATAGCAATAGAAGCCGGCCAGTAGAAATAATATATCATCAGCAAGCACCTGTTAATAAAGGGCAATCATACGAGGTACTTACATTTGCCTTTGGGTTAATAATTAAAAAGTTTCAAGACCATGCGTATCATAGTAAAGATACCACAGTCAAGTGAGCATACGATTACGCTATATATATATACCAGTGAGCCGCAAATACTGTGAAGGTTTATTCTTGAGGCTATACAAAAATGAGGCTGCAAGTCTTTTGAAGTTTCATGGTTTTTCACTTACCTTAATTTCTCATATTTATTTATACCGGTTAGCCTGACAGCCACCAAAACGCCTAATAAATAAACAGAGAAAGAATATAGACAAAATAGATTTTACACTATCTAATTTACTAAAGCTATGGGAAATAAATCAATAATCGAGTTTTTAAGTTTACATATTTACATGTTTAAAATTCCTGATTATTAAAATACATATCATATGCACCCAAGAGCTAAGCCAAGGGTGGCTATTAGCTATTCTTATATACAAAAGAAACTCTTTTATCAATGGCTTGGAGAGAGAGCAAGAAATAAACAAACAAACAAAAGAAGACGAAGAAGAAGAAGAAAAATAATAACAGTAATATCCTCACTGCGGTGGAAACAAGTATATATACAGTATATCCTACTTGTTTAATTTATCTTCATTATTCTTCTCTACTTGTATTATCTTTAAAAGAAATGATGCTTTCTATTGTATTCGGTCTGGTTTTGTTTCTCATTTCTCTGGTATCTGCTGCTCCACCATCTTCAACCGTTCCTTCGGACAAACACGAAGCTAAAGAAGCAAATAAATGCCTGGAGCTTACCTACCCTTCCAATGGAACCGTTTGGGATACCTACGGCACTTATGATGTTACTTGGACTGTCACAGGAGAATGTCAAGATATAAATTACGTTTACCTTCTTCCAGTATCTCAAGACGAAGACGGAGAAGTTGTTTTTGGAGAGCTTTACCATATGGAGGAAGCACTTGACATTGACTCGGGTCACTTTCCTTTAAATCTTGACTCTCGCGAAGTCGAAGGAAACTACGTATTTGCCGTTGGTCCTAAAGTAGATGATTGGTCTGACTATTCAGATTTTGCTGTTATTAGTATCGCTTGAAAAGATTATGATTAGATATTTGAAATAAAATTTCTTGGGATTTTTTTTTACAAAAAGATAACGACTTGGTTGAAAAGATACTACTTTATTTTTGTACAAATTATCAGCATATTTACTAAAATCGCAAGCTACTTAAAGATAATTTAGACACTATTGATTTGCAATTTCAAATAAAAAATACAGTAATATTAGAAAAGTATAAAATCCAGAAAATCGGTCGAGTTATATCTCTGGATATCCAACCTAAAGTGGCCAAAACAAACTCAATTTTTATCCAATGAACATCAAGTAATATGCATTGGAACGCCTCCAACAAGAGCTTAGCACACACGCAGTTTATAGTATCACCGAAAATTGTAGATATTTATGATAGAAAATCTGATACTTATATGTCAAGAGGACAAATAAAAAATGTTGTGGATGCCTATTTTATAAAGTACTTTGCTTCTCAAGAGAACTTATCGTCTAAACGAGTTCTACGTCATTCTATATGATTGGCGCGGAGAGTCAACTATATGTACGCTTTCAAGTTAAAGAGAGTAATGGCATTTTGGCTTGAGTGTCTTACCTCATTCAAAAGGCTTCATTTTAAGATGAGGTTGAAATTAACACATCTCGGGCGTATAGTAGGAATAACAGTTTCCTTAGCCTCCTGTCTTACTTTAATTAAGACAGTTGAGGCTGTAAAAAAAGAAGATTTTAAGACATGCTCCCAATCCGGATTCTGTCGCCGTAACAGAGCATATGCAGACGACGCGCTTGCTCAACCTTCCTTCAAGTCACCATATATTATTCTCAAGGATTCTGTAAAACTCGGAGATAGCAAAGTCTATGCAGAGGTTAAGAACACCGAAACGGATGTCCTATTGACACTAGATCTATTTATCCTGCAAGACAACACAGCGCGTATACGCATCAATGAAAAGAATCCGATTAAGCCGCGCTACGATGACCATGCCCAATTCACAATTGCCAACCAACTTATTGATTCTTCTGTACATAAAACGTCTAGAGCAAAGGACGGCGTAATTACCATTCTGCTTGACAATACCAATAAACGCAAGGTGATCATCACCTCTGAACCTTTGCGTATTGAATTTATTGTGGATGAAAAGCCTATCGTATCTCTCAACGACCGAGGATTCTTTAATTTTGAGCACCTTCGAACAAAAGAAAGCCACAAGCCTAAGATGGTAGAGAAAACTAATGATGAAGGTGCTATTGAATTAGTGGAGGCTGAATCAGAAAAAGATCTTTGGGAAGAGAGTTTCAAGACTTGGACCGATCCAAAGCCAAATGGTAAAAAAAAGGGGAAATTAAAGCAGCTTTAAATATCCAAAGTATAGCTTAATTAATGCCGGAGTATTTGGATGTAGGTCCTGAGTCATTTGGTCTTGATGTGTCATTCCATGGATTCTCTCATGTATATGGTATTCCAGTAAGTGGGTTTTGGAAATAATAAGGCATTATAAAGCAAAACATAGTAGCAAATATTTACATATTTATATATATATAAACGCACAAAAATTACAGGAACATTCCTCTAGCCTTTCTCTCAAGGAAACGAAGTAAGAGTCAATTGCTTATCTATGCATCTTCTTTTCTTTTCTTTTTTACTTACCTATAAACAATATTTCTTTAGAGGTGGTGAAGGTTCTTATGATGAGCCTTATCGTCTTTACAATACCGATGTATTTGAATATGCCGCCGATACTCCAATGTCTCTTTATGGAGCTGTTCCTTTCATGGTAGCTCATCAGAAAGATATGTCTGCAGGTGTTTTCTTTATGAATCCCGCTGAGACCTGGATCGACATTGTCAAAACCAAACCCGAGCAAAAAGTAACTTTTAATAACTGCACGAATTTATTTATAATTGTGTACTCAACAGATTTAATAATACTTTAGAATACTGCTCAAAAGGCTTTTAGTTTCGGAAAAAAGGTCGAAGATACAAAATCAACTCAAACGCACTGGATGACAGAGGCCGGTGTACTTGATCTGTTTGTATTTCTTGGTCCTTCTACTAAAGATATTCTTCGTCAATATCACGCTATCACTGGTACGCCTAGTATGCCGCAAATGTTTGCTATTGGATACCACCAGTCTCGCTGGAATTATATCAACCAGAGAGATGTATTGGAGGTCGATAGTCAATTCGATAAGCATGATATCCCGTATGATGTGATCTGGTTAGATATTGAATATACTGATGAGAAGAAGTACTTTACTTGGGACATCCCGAAATTCCCTGATGCGATCAAGATGGAAGAAGAGCTTGAACACAAGGGCCGAAAGGTAAATTATCGGGTTTTGCATCAAGATTAATATAGCTAGCATCGATTCTAATGTGAGCGATTAAATAGTTAGTTACAATCATCGATCCCCACATTAAGCGTGACGATAATTATCACATCTGTCAAACAGCAAAAGACAACGGCTACTTCGTTCAACAGCCTTCGGGTGGTGACTACGAGGCTTGGTGCTGGCCCGGACAATCTTCATGGGTCGACTTTTCGAGCCCTGCTGCTCGTGAATGGTGGAAAAGCGAATTTGGCTTTGATAAGTTCAAAGGAACTCGTGAAAATGTTCACATTTGGAATGATATGAATGAGCCTTCTGTATTTAATGGACCTGAGATTACTATGCAAAAGGAAATGATTCATTACGGAAAATGGGAGCACCGTGTACTCCACAACCTGTATTCTGTGCTTACTGTAAATATCTATTGCTATTTATAATGGCTTATTATTGTGTACTCATTTGTACAAAATATCATTTTAGCATTATTCCACTGCTGAAGGTATTAAGGAAAGAACCAAGGTTGCACAACGACCATTTGTCCTTTCTCGTGGATTCTACGCTGGTACTCAGCGTTATGGACCTATCTGGACTGGCGACAATATGGTAGACTGGGAATCTCTTTACTACACAAATCCTATGATTTTGTCCAACAGTATTGCAGGAATTTCCTTTTCGGGTGCTGATGTACCAGGATTCTTTGGCAATCCTTCACCTGAATTGCTTGTTCGTTGGTATCAGGCAGCAGTATTCCAGCCTTTCTTCCGTGGACACGCTCACATCGACACAAAGCGTCGTGAACCTTATCTTTTGGATGAGCCATATCGCTCTATTACTCGCGCTTCTCTGCGTGAGCGTTATGCTTTACTGCCGTACTGGTACACATTGTTTTTTGAGGCCCACAAGACTGGTGTACCAATGATGCGACCTATGTTCATGGAATTCCCAGAGGACGAAGCGCTATTTACCACCGAAGATCAGTTTATGCTAGGTAGTGGCATGCTGGTAAAGCCTGTTACATCTGAGGGAACCTTTGCTGCCGAGATCTATTTCCCTGGTGATCAGGTAAGTTCTGATGATGCGATATTGGTATAATATGGGCTCTTATTGACAAAACGTGTCTTTTTTTCTCAAAAATAAATAAATAAAAATAATTAGCCATGGTATGATACCCAAACATTTGAAAAGATTCAGCATAATGGGTACAAAACTGTAGAAGCTCCTATTGAAAAAGTTCCTGCATACTACCGAGGTGGTCATATCATTCCTAGACGTGAGCGTGCTCGCCGTAGCACATCTGGAATGAAGCTTGATCCATTTACTCTTGTTATCGCTCTTGACAACAAGGTAAAACAAACAACCACATTTTAAGCTCACATAATCTAAACGCACACACACACACAATATTATGTATCAATAGGGCCAGGCGCACGGTGAGCTGTATCTTGATGATGGAGAAACCTATGACTTTGAGTCTGGTGCATATGTCCGTACACAGTTTATTTACAATAACGGTGTATTGACTAGCAAGAACCTCCATGAGGATCCATCTAGCGATGCGGCCACAAAATATGCTGCCTCCATTAAAGATGTGCGCATTGAACGTATTCGCTTGCTTGGTGTAGAACAGCCCGAACACATCCATGTTGTCCACCCAGACGCTACACGTACTCCGGTATCTTTTGAATATAGTGTCGCCACTGGATATCTCACCATTAAGGATCCAAAGACTCTTGTTTCTCAAGGCGGATGGAGAATTGAAATTCAATAACGAATTCTTTTGACCAAATTAATATATTGTGATTTGACTCTCGATCCACCTTGGCTGACTTGGTCCTTCGACGATTTCCAAACATACTTTTTATATAAATGTCATATATAAGTTTTTTTTTGGTATAGTTTATTGGGAGCAAAGAGATATGGTATATACATAAGTAACTCGAGTGCCCTGAAAAACTTCCATCCTTAATCTCCATGCTTAGGGATTAAGTAAATATACCACATTATTTTACAAAATTAATGAGTGCGAAATCAGTATAAGTCTAGGGAATTCAGAAAGTTTTGTGCTAATCTTGATCTTAGACTGATTCTATATATATATTTTTTGGTTTTTATCATATCATAAATGATATGAAGTACAAGGACTAAAATGTGAGATTCCCCACTTTTCTTTTTTGTTTTTCAAGACCCTCTAAATCTTAATTTTTCATGTCAATCTTTAATTGATTGATTGATAAAATTAGAGATGTATCAATCTTGGTGGGACCACGTTCCTTGAATTGTAATAAATCTGAGCCTTGGTTTTGGTTTTGGTTTTGGTTTTTTTTTAACTTGTACACTCCCACCAGAGAGATCACTGTCAAATTTCTTGGTTTTGGATCACAAATAAACTAGTCTTCAACTTCTTTATGCTATATCCTGCAAAAACCTCAGCTGTAGAAGATAAACCCTTTGTCCTCTTATAGTCAATACATATATTATGAGAAATAAGGTCTAATATACGGTGTAGCTACTTCGAGCTTTACTCACAGCTTTGACTCTATCCGGAATACTAACTACAAAAGTATGGAGAATTCCTGAATTTCATATCAGTTTTTCCACCACGTCGTACGCAGATTCATCATGGTAGCTAGCACCATCTTGGGATTTAAAAAATATGGTATTCATAATTTGATTTTGCATACTGGAGGATTATGCAAGAAGAAATGATAACGAAATAAGGTGTGGTCAAAAGAAAGCAAGAAATAAAGAAATAAAGATGTATTTCTGGGAAAATTGTCGAAGGACCGAGCTAGCAAAGGTGAATTGAGATATTTAGAAATACGTTCCTTAAATTCTTGCCTAAAGAACCTTTGTAATTGTTTTAATATTTTGTCAAACTATTTTTTTTATTATTTTTCCAAAGTGAATGATATTTTTAAATATGTAATATATTGAGAGCGGGAAGTACAGTATTTTATTTAAAGAAGGAGACCCCAAAATGCCTATCCTGAAATATGTAAAGAGGTGTTCGATTGTTTTAATTACGAGAACATTAATAATATTAATAATAAAGGTTATTTCTGTGTGAGTTTCCGCGTATAAAGAAATGCGAATAGAATAGTTTGAATTATGGACATTAATGGATGAGCGATATGTTTGTGATTATTATAAGTTATATGGTAAAATTGAATAGGAGCATCTACTTTTTTGCATGGGCAAGTGTAATCGAACTTTGGAGATTATGCATTTGATGCTTCCCGGATGATAATAATGCCTTTATTTTGTCCTATAGTCCAGATCAATTAGAATTTATTTATTAATCACTAAATAGACCTACTAAATCCGTTTCATGGCGAGCACGCTCAAAGTCGGATCGAGCCCATGCTCTAAGTTCTTGTGCATCATGCTTGTCAAGACCTTTTATTTATTTATTTATTTATTAAAAAAATAAATAGAGAACCAACAGCAGTAAAATACACAAATGTTATTAGAATCACTTTTATATTATAATTATCCCGTACCATATTTTAATATATTTCCTAACAGTCAGTTAAACAATTAATAGATGTGTACCTTTTGTGCTTCTCAATATCTGACGGTATAGGGATATTACTCGACCTCGGGTGAGGAACTAAACTAAAGCGTAAGTTATCAAAGACAATGTTGAATTGACTGTCTTTTTATTTATCTATTTAATACATGGTCCAAGGTCAGACTCTCTTTTTTAAAGAATTTTGGGACTGGAGGTGCACGATGAGAAAGGATAAGAGCAGGTCTCATTCTAATTAGTGATGAATAGAATAAATGAAGGCAAGAACCAAGACCATGGTTCTTGAAGGATTGCTCTATATGGGACTGCTGAAGAGGGGTACACAAGTCACAGACACAAAAATCAACAAATCCCTTCAAGGTCCGTAGTCTCTTTACCCTAATACCCCTTATTCAATATGCGACAGAACTTTGTAGGCATGGTTGTGAGCAACGCCATGCAAAAGACGGTGAAGGTGAAGGTGACCCGTCAGAAATTGCATCCCATTGTTCTCAAGGTACGACTTTACACTCGTCATTAAAGAATGAATTGAGGCTGACAGTTCATTCCAGACAATCAAAACCCACAAGAACTATCTTGTGCACGACGAGAACCAGTTGTGCGGATTGGGAGACGTTGTTCGTATCGAGGCCTGCAGACCCCTGAGCAAGACCAAGCATTTTACAGTAGCCGAGATTGTCAGAAGTGCAAAGAGTGCATAAAGCCAGACAAACCACTTCAATTATAGTCAACCAAAGAAATATAATAAAAAAAATGTATATAGACACATTTTACTCTGCCTTTTTAAGAATTAGGATTTTGTGGTTTTATGGTTTTGTGATTTTGTGATTTTCAATTGAAGATTATCTTACAGATATATTGATAAATGATATATGTATACAGTGTATATTTAATGGCTATTAATGTGTCAAATGCATGATTTGGTAGCTGTAATTAAAGCTTCCTTGTTTGACCAATGTAACCATCGTTCTTTTTTTTCATTTTGCAGCCACCCCCCCTCCCTTGTAAGCTGGATGAAATATTTTTAAATTATAGTCCGCAATCATGGCCTATCGTCAACGATGATCTATATAATAACAATAATAATTTGGACATGCTTAAGATATATTTTACAAAAGGTCAAATGTTTATTTAATTTAGGTTGCCGTAGTAACAGATATAGGGTAATTACAAATACAGTTATCTCGGGTCATGTGCCCAAGGCCATGAACAATTCCTGTTCATTAATTGCTGAGTAGAAATACTAAAGCAAAAACCCACAAGAAAAAGTGATTTCTGCACCTCAAATGCTCGAGTCTTCCATGGCTGACTCAGATAATGATCGCTCGCTGGTGGATGACGAACTTGGTTGACGAGCGTGTTCAAACTAATTTCGCCATTTCATCTTGCTGCTATTGGCTGACAACCCATCTCGATATGAGACCTTGTTACCTTTTATGGGAGTATCGTTGGGCCTAAGCTGAACTTCTGGGAGGAGAATATGGGTATATAATGAGACCCTCTTTGTTATCCTTCTTAACATTATAACCTTCAATTTCATAGCCTCAGAAGCATTACTTCTCTTCTAGTGGCCTATTCATAAAAAAATCCAAACAATAATCCAAAGAAAACCAATTATTTATCATGCCTAGCAGTACTCAAATTCGCATCCAATCTGGCTCTGACATTTCTCCAGAGACTCTCAAGTATCTCAATGAGCGTTTGGCCACTCAATCCCCTCGCGAGATCCTCGAATGGGCCATTGACAACCTCCCTAACCTTTACCAGACAACTGCCTTTGGTTTGACTGGTAAGAAACATAATTATATAGTCATCTGTCAAGTTTCATCCACTAACATATCTAATAAATAATAGGTCTTGCCACTGTCGACATCATCAACAAGATCAGCATCGACCGCAACCAGGACCACATTGTTCCCCTTATCTTCTTGGACACTCTCTACCACTTTAAAGAGACCATCGACTTGGCTAAGAAATGCCAGGATAACTACCAGGTTCCTTTAAAAATCTACAAACCCATCGACTGCACAAACACCGCCCAGTTTGAACGCGAACACGGAAACAAACTCTGGGAAACTGATGATGATATGTACGATTACCTCGTCAAGGTCGAGCCCGCACGTCGCGCTTACGATGAGTTAAAGGTCAAGTCTGTAATCACTGGCCGTCGTCGCAGCCAAAAGGGCGATCGCGAAGCAATCCCAATTCTCGAAATAGATGGCACTGGTTTGATCAAGCTCAACCCTCTTGCCTATTGGGATTACCAGCAGGTCTGGACTTACATTCGTGCCAACGAGGTTCCCTATAACGCCTTAGTCGACCAAGGCTATCGCTCTATTGGCGACTGGCACTCTACCAAGGCACCCTCTTCAAATGGTGGCAGTGATGAGCGCTCTGGCCGCTGGGAAGGTACCCAAAAGACAGAGTGCGGCATGCACAAAGATTACTTTAAAATGCGCGCTGCCTTTGTAGCTGCCAAACAAAAGAAGCAGCAGCAACAGAAACAACAAATTAACCCTTCTGTCATCACAGCCTCATCATAGATAATTTTCCCTCATCTCCATCCTATCTATATGTATATATCTCCTTAGTTAACTGCTTTAATTTCACACCTGTTTAATAAATATCTCTTGCAAACATCATTAAGTCCAAATAATTATCACATTTATTTTGTTTTGTTTTGTTATTTGACAAATCACATCTGTGCACATTACAAACTCGCATTTCACACTCCAATACAAAATAAATAATTTGCCTTTCTTTTAATAACGATATCAAAAGTTGGTGCAGAAACTATTCTTGAGTACACCGTTCATTTCGTAGGCTTACATTTTTACACATTAGTAATACAAACACAACCAATTTTCTCTCTCTAAAATAAATAACTTGTACAGATCGGTCAAAAGAAACGTCGAACTCCTTGGGCATCTCTGGGTTAGGAAACGTGACTGTGATATCGACAAATTCTCATAGAGATTTCATCCTCCCTCTCATTCAGCCCTGTAATTAGGTCTGGACAGGTTCATTATGAAGGCAATTGTGCATTCACTACAGGTAATCTAGTGAATCCAGTATTAAATGTTACCTAAATTCTAAATTTGAGACTTAGAAAGCTGCATTGGCAATTCCAATGCGTTCTGGGGTGATTACCCGAACCATGTCTTCTTGTAAGTATGTGTATATTTATAACACATTACGATCAACTAACAAGTACTATTTTTATTTCTTCTTATTTATATAATAATAATAATAATAATAATAAACGAAACCGAAAAGGCCCTGAAAAGAAGCACGATTGGATGTTAAGACCTGTTGAAGCAGATATGATTGGTACTCCTGACCCAGTGTCTAACCTACGACCTGTAAAGTACTATATTCCTCAGAATGAATCTGAACAAGTAAGAAAAAAAACAAAAAAAAAACAATAATAATCTAAATATCAATCGTAATATATTGGAGTAATGCAGGATAAAGAGTGGCGTTTGATCCAGCAAAGTGCAGATGAATTCAATCAGAACTTTTGGACTACAAATAATGCAATGTTTGTTCATGCAAAGGCAGAGTATGAAAGTCAATGTAAGTTTGTTTTTTTTTTATTTAAAAAAAAGGACATATTTTTATTTAGACTACTGCATGTGTATATGTAATTGGACTTTTGATCTGACAAAATGAGATCTCAGTGAATGCAAGAGGCAAAGAGGTCACTCCAGAAGAATTGTCTATATTCTACAAGGATTTTCTCAACAAAGCCTACCAAAGACAAATGGAATACAACCGCCAATGGTGGAAGATTAACATCGGTTTAATTTACCCTGGATTCAAGGCTGCGATCCGGTCTCTCAGCAAGACTAGTTCTCAAAAATCTGTGGAGCGAAAGGGCACTGGATTTTGGGAAAAGAGCTTTGATTGAACTGGCATTACAATCTCTGATCATTTGGTCTTTCAGAAAAATGAAGAAGACAACAAAAAACATGCTGAACAAAAGAAGAATTGCTTACATTCTTAATAGAGTACAAAAATTATCAACTTATTTGCGTGTGTGTGTGTGTACTATTAAGTTGTGTCAATAATCATCTTATTATCAAATATATATATAATAATAATAATTTAATAGACACCCTGATCACTTCATTACTTATACAGATCAATAGATATGTTAGCTTATATGTTACAAAGAAAAGGAAGAATAAATGTAACATTATAATTAGAGGTTTGCACCACCAGAAGCTCTTTGGACAAGTTTGTTGAGCTTGTTGGCTTCCATATACTCTTTCACGAGACCACTGATGGCCTTGAACTTTTCATGTTTAGCATCTTGGACAAGTTGGAACATGACAGACTCCGAGGTTGTGATGGTTGCACCAGCAGCCTTCATACGCTACGCGTCCACACATTCGTGTTTTGAGTCATTGTCTTTGTAGGAAAATATATCTGAGCTAAAGACTTACTCCAATTGCAATGTTGATCTCCGGGGGGTTCTGTGAAGAAATACCATCTGCCAGCACATGTACATCGTAGTTGTTTTCAAGTAAATCTAAGGCAGTCTGGAGTACACAGACATGACTCTAAAAATAATCAAGTATATTTTCAGAAACATTCCCACATTATATAAGCATTTTTATTTTTGGTACCTCGATTCCGACTAAGATAACTGACTTGGTCTGCTTTTGCTTCATAAGCTCGATAACTTCAGGAAGGTACATACTAAATTTGGTCTTGTGAAGTGTAAGAGCAGCATCAGATATATCAAGTTCCTGCACGGTAGGGCCAAATGCTATTGTACAGACATACAAATCAGAATCAAAGACATGCTTTTCGATATTTAAATCAATAAAGAACCATAACGTACCTTTGGGGTACTGCTCAGTAACAACTACTGGAATATCAAGAACCTTGGAGGTCTTGATCTATTCTCAAGTTAGAATGGAGGCGAGATGCATATTTCGTGTTTTTAGTTTACCATCTTGGCAGCGACAGTAATGACACTGGGAAACTGCCAAATTACACCCTTAAAACGCTCTTGAATGTCACATACAAATAGAGCGCTAGTTTGAGGAGAAATTCTTGCAATCTTGTGGAGTGACATTTAAAATAAGAAGAAGAAGATGGTGGGAATATTCTGAAGCTCACTCGGTATTACAACAATGCTTTTACAGTATATGGTCCCTCAGACTTTATAATTTTATTTTTATTGATACCGCCGACGCATACAATGTCCGGTCTTTGAAATATATAATGGGGGTACTCAGCCAGATTGATCGATCAAATTCTTGTGTGAATCTTGGCCAATGGTATCAATTTGTAGTTGAGGACACCAAAAGACAAAAGTACAAAATTCATAGATTTTTATAGCATTTATAGAATAATCTTTGCACATTCTGATTTCTTCTTTGAACCTGTAGGCATCTAGACTCTCGAAGAAATCAAGTGCTCTTTCCCTTTACTCAACATCTGGCAATACATTGTCAACCTTGTGTATGTATTTATTGGCTTTAAGTGTTTGTTTAAGCTCCTTCGCGGCAGTCATCTGCTCCAACTTTATATTAACTTCCTTTTTGATTACTTCTAAAATATCTTTAATAAGTTCGTCTGCACTTGCTGATAAAGACTCTAACAGTGTTTTTTTTCACGATAAATTCCCTGATTTTATGCGATTTCTTCAAGGCATCAATTGCTTGTTGCTTTGTACTATATTTTGGCATGTAAGATGGAGAGAAAGAAGTATTATATGACTTTGTTGACAATAAATTCTATGATTTATTAAGGAGAAAGATAAAAACAGTATCGTATTGCATATAAAAAGTAAGGATTAGGTTAATCAGAGAGCCGTACGTTTTTCGATCAAAATTTGATCGAAATTTGATCTTTCAAAAAGACGATCAAATTTTTATCGTCGCTATTACAATTGTAATCCAATAATATGGCATTCTGAATTCAAAATTTGATCGATCAATCTGGCTGAGTACCCCCAATAAAAAAAGACAAAAACCCTAATTAACTAGGAGCAAGGACATGTACTTGTTTTACGGCAGGCACCACTTTGTCCACAAAAATCTCAAGAAGAAAGAGGGACATCGGAAAACCCACTATCCCATTGAGCACACTAAATTTTATGAGCTGTGATGGACGCAATTGTTGAAGCACCATAGTATACACCCGAAGCTTGCTAAGGCAGTAGAAGATAAATTTTTAAAGCGTTTACCTCAGAATACTATAAAGGACCTCAAGAGACTAGTAAGAAAAGAAGTATAATGAAAGGCGCAATTAACTGTGGGAACCCTTTTCCTGGAAGCTACTTTGGCGGCGGTCTATGCCTCACAAATCACGGTCCTTGTTGTCCAAAATCCTCTGGTAGAATTAGTAAGAGGAAGTGAAGAGGTCTTCACAGTTTACTGGTATAGTCTCAACTTTTTTTTTTTGGTTGTTTTTGCGTCAGACTCTAACTATAATCATATTATTGATCTCTATACCCTAAACCTTTGCTTTTAATATGGACTCAAGATATCCACCAAGAGCTGATCTAACTACTAGAGCAGATTTTGGATATCATAAGGCAGTTAAGATGATTGTTACTACAGCTGTTGGTAAGAAACGCTCGTCTATTTTAATTTATACAAGTACTGATTGTTTGTGTAGGTGCGGAGGCTAGTTATCTCTATTCTCCTAGCTCTACTGAATGGTCAAATGACACCAAATCTGATGTTATTTGAACTGTCTCGCCAACGTCTATCTCTTTCCTACCAATATTAATTGAGATTCAACATAAAACTACTTTAGATTCAACTGGCTGTATTATTAGTTACTCATTCTGTACAAAGAAAGAGTTTAAGGTAAAGTCTATTGTCAGTGTATTTGATACTCACGCGACTCGTAAAGATATCAGCTCAAACCTTGAGGTAACTGGGTAGCATTAAAGGTGTACCAGACTCTAGTCATCACAGACAGTTTTCTCATAAACTATTAGATTCGGTTTGATCTTGTAATATATAAATCTATGCTAAGAGAAATATCCAAATAATTATGAGCATATTTCTCAAGATAAATTGTAAAGACTTTTACAAATCAAAAGACAAGAAGAAAAAATCACTGGCATGGATTTTAAAGGCCGCAGACAAATACCTGAGTTTGACGTGAGTTTGAGAGTGCAGACACTGAGAGGTTATTTTTAATGCCCAGCTCCGAAACGAAACTGACCAACATTTATGCGGAGAGCAGGGTTTTGGTTTATGAGATCCTTTTCAAGTCCCAAAAAGGGATCAGCAAGACAAAAGGGAGATAATCGAATGGACCTTGGCTTAGCAGAAAAAAAAATAACTGTCCTCCTTTCTTGTTAATAGGCCCTAGTATTATTGCACCCCTTTGTGGAGTATCTGGAATTGCTTGATCTTAAAAGGATAATTTCTTTGATAGTTTCCTCTTCCTTCTCAGTTCTTTTCAATTCCCTTCTTGGAGACATTATATCCTCGTTGCATTATGGTACCTGCCCCTACCACAGACAATTATCTTTTGAGCCTTCGGGCCGTACGAGAGAGAGCCTTCAAGGTTCAAGAGGCTGCAGTCAAGAATAAGCTTGGCCACTTTGATGTAGACCATTCAAAGTTCCAGGACATGGTTCAAATTGTTGTATTATTGATAAAACGCGATTATGAACATCCTTCGCAAATACTTCCTCATGGAAGATGGCGCCATTTTGACGTCGGTGGTCGCCCTAGGGTACAGCATCTACTTAATTCATGGGCAAGCCTTGGCCAGCCATTGATGGAACAAACCAGACGGATACTGGATTTATTTGTTGTCGCTGTCTTGCTTGATTTCGAACCAAGTGTCGCATGGACTTATCGTGAAAAGACAACAAGAAGAAATTATAGACGTACGGAGGGCGTTGTTGTTGCTGTTATGGATATGTTTATGGCTGGTACATTCTCGAGTAATGTAAACGACCCTCACAGAGTAGATTGTAAGCACAGATAGTCAATCAAACACAGGATTCCCTTATTCTAATTGATTCTTACCTACACAGCCGAAGGATTGCTGAGCTTGTCTATCGAAACTCTCTATTCTGGTTTTCAGGTTGGCGATCGGAATAGACTTATAGGGCTTGAAGACAGACTCGATCTATTGCATCATCTGGGGAATATTCTCAAGAAGAAAACAGAATTCTTTGGATACAGCTCAGTTCCTCGTCCAGGAAATATGCTTGGTAAGTGTGTATTAGAATCAAACCCACGGATTGCTTATTAGCCCTTCAGAGTATCTCTTGGCACATCCTACGACCATCAAGACAAAGAAAGGACCTCTTATTCGCCTGGAAACCTTGTGGCCAGTTGTACAGGAGATGGGTGAATTGTGGGCTGCAGACAATTCTGACAAAGGCGGAACCCACAATCTCGGAGATGTTTGGCCATGCGAGTCCATAAGAACCTCTAGAAACCCACAGTCAACCGATCACTTTGTGCCCTTTCACAAGCTTTCTCAATGGCTAGTATATTCGCTTATTGAACCACTGGAAAAATTACTGGGTGCGACCATTGAAGGCACAGACATGTTGACACCCCTACCAGATTATAGAAATGGTACATATCATCTTTTGATTGTTATACTTCACCCGATTATGTTAAATTTTATTCTTTTCAAAAATTAACTATTACTATTATTATAACTAACATTATCATTATCATTATGTTTCCCTTTTTATTATTATTATCTTAGGTGGGCTATTGTTAGATACAGGGTTTCTATCACTTAAACCAGTCGACTATGAGCGCGGACTGAGGAACTACCACGCCAATTCACTTTTGCCTGGTCAACCAAAAGTTGAGGTGGCCCCTATGTTTGAGATGGCTGATCCAGTGGTTATTGAATGGCGTGCCCTCACAACAACCTATTTGGATATCGTTGCTGATCATGTCCGGTCCACACTTGGGATACACCGTTCAAAACTATCGCTTTTTCAGCTCATTGAAGGCGGCACCTGGAGTGTAAGCTGATATTCATAAATTGAATTTGTGATTACAACTAAAATCAAAATCACAATTACAATGTATTATTTTGATATTAAATGAATATTAAAAGCAATTTTTGTTTTATTAATTGATAATAAATCATAGGCTGGTCGTGAGCTAGCAGAAATATCAAGACCAAATACACAGGTACCACCAATCATGATAAAGGTAATATTCATATTCTCCCTGAATGTATGATAACTCATTATTTTATATATTAGCTTGATCGATATGTTATTTATTGAGTGCAGCCGCCCTTGCCAGAAGGGTACATTTTACGTTTATTGGACTCCTCACTCATGCAATCCAAAAGAAAAAAAATCATACCCCTTGTTTCTCCTTTCATTTGAAAACCCCCATTTTTTTTAGCTTGGCTTAACCCTTGATCTAATACTCTAAAAAAAAGAATCGCATAATCATATTCTGCTGAAGATGTCACACTGCTTGTTCGATGTACATCTTCTTCATTATACTCTTTCTTGTTTAAAGGTCTAATTCATATTCAAAAATAAATACATAAATAAAGTACTAAGCCAAGGTTTCTGACTTGTACGTAAAAGCTATTTTATCTATACAAATTCGTATATTTATTTATTTATTTAAAATAACAGAAAAAAAAATGATAATAATAGCGTGCAGTGGTTTTTGTTTTATCTAGACGCAAGATGAACTTAGGAAGCATAATATACAGAATGAGGAACGGTAAAGAAAAGAAGAAGAAGAAAACGAAAAGAAATATAAATGATATAATAAAATGTAATTTTTTTGAGAAGGGAGAAGTAGCGGCATGATTTAATTTGGGATGAGATGGAATTTACTTGCAAAACTGTTTGGCACGTGCAATATAGGTATCAACTTCCTTGTCGGTTAGCGGGTAATCACATTCCCTGCAGGACGCTTTTCTCTTGAGCTCATCACAAAGCTTATTTATATCGAATTCAGGGTTTGTGGTCTTGATATCCTCTTGGATATCATATGCAGTACGGTGTTGTCCCCTGGCACGTATCAAAGCATCGACAACTACTGAACTGTGTTTCTCAGTACCCACAGGATTCTCCTGCACTTTTTTGGTGGCTATATCTGAGGGGTAGTCTTCGGTTAGGAAAGGCTGGATATTGGGAATGGAGTAGAGTTCTGATAGTGACATATCATATAAATTGACATCTGTGGACCCGAACAGAGGAGGAAGTGAGTCCCCGTGGATCAGATAATCGTCCGTGGCAGGAACCCGGTAGTCTTGATAACTAAAATCATCCTTGCCATGGAACAGATCGCTGACCTGGTAATCATCCTGATAGAACAGGTTGTTATCTTTGGGGACATTGGTAAGTACCTGAGGATCAAAATGATAGTTTGGATTGGAAAATGATAAAAGAGGGTTGTAGTCTGGTTGAATTGGTGTGGAAGCGTCTTCTTCCTCTCGTGATAATGTATTTGATTGAGGAGATTGCTCTTCACTGCAGCTACTGCTCAGTATCTCATCGCTGTAAGGAGTATTGTAGTTGACTGCAGGACTTGTGCTGTAGAAACCAGTCTTGGTGTTGTATTGTGTATTGGCTTTTCCTTGACTTTGTTCGAGGTTGAGTGTGAGTTCTTCTGACAGTCGGTGAGGGTGAGGGTGAGGGTGGTGGTTCTCAATTATTGGAGGATGTTCAAGTTCCGTCACCGGGAATTCGAATACAAACGGAGTTTCTTTCAGGGTGCTGTTCTCCTCCTTCAGCTGCTTAAGCTGCTCCTTCAGCTGCGCATTCTCTTGGAGGAGAATCTCGTTGCTTTCGATCTTCTCTCGCTCGAGTGCATCAATTTTCTCCTGCAATTCACTGACAAATTTTTCTTTTCGCTCTCTAAAAGCGCGCTGAGCAGCCCGGTTCTGGGCCTTGCGTTTTAACTTTGGATCATTTGGTAATAACTACGATGACAAGAGATGAGAGTTCCACAACAAATATGATAGAATTAGAAAATTTCCCATAAAAAGACAAATGTACGCGCAAGCATATCCCGTTTCAAACGAGAAACCTTATCTAATGACGCTTTACTTACCGAAGATGGAACCTTATCCAATGGCTTACGCCCTGGACGTTTCGATTTTGTTGAGGACGGATCTATTAATTGGCCAATGGTTAGATGTGTTTAATATTGGCATGGCAATCCCGGCCAAAAGTTTTACCTTGATCCGTATTTTCATTTCCTCTCTTCCCCAGAGCTACAGAAGGTGCTAATGGCATTCAAGAGAAGAATTGAGAATCCGAGAATCTTGAACAGCACTATATTCTTTTTTTTTGTTTTGTTTTTTATTTGGCGTACATTGTTTCAATATAGCTTTTCTATTTGAGGTCCGGGTGCCTGTTGTCTTGGTGGAAGTCGAGCGCTTAGGTGTTGGTGGTAAGAGATCTTGGTAAGAATCTGTTGATTCAAGACTGAATGAGTCGTCATCCTGTGAGTCATTGAGAGTTTCGTAAGATGTCATTATGAAATGGTTGGCTGGTTTGCTTGTTGGTTGGCTAATTGAAAGAAAGAAACAGAAAGGCTGCCTTTATGTTTGTATCTGTGACGTTCAACGGTCGGCTGGGAATAGGCGGCTGACAAATAGAAAGAAATGGGTTTTGGTGCCCAAAAACCATAGTCACCCAGAACCTTCTCTAACCTTGTGCCACCTGTCTGTGCTCCCCCCAATCTGGTTTACCTTTTTACTCTTATACTTTATTTTCTCTCCCCCAAGAAAACAAATAAATAAATTGGTCTCTTATGGTTTTACCAAGCCCGAATTTTTATTTTATTATTATATTTAATAAGAAATAAATCTAGTATGGCTTAGATTCGTCCCATTTACCCGAGCATGCTTCTTTTACGACCTCTCAGTCTCACTATAAAATCAATTGAGTTTAATTCGGTGAATGGATATGTTTCAGGCACAAAATCTCGTCAACATACCATCTTCAAGTTTGTTCATGACTGCTTTTGAGTTCTTGTACGCATTGAGATAATGGGACAAAATACTTTCAAACTAAAAAAAAAATAGGAACACAAACAATGAGAATACATGTATATAGGTTTTTTTGTATAAAAAAAAAAGAAGAAAGTCATCGTATTCGACTTCATACCAATTCTTCTGTGTTTGGATGAGTGCTTGCAAACGCACGCTCAAGAACATACAGATCTACAGCCTTATCTTCGGCAAGATTTGAGATATAACTCAATCCAAAATCAATAATAACAACAGATTCAATAGTCTCGCGTATCATCAAATTCGATGTGGTGAGATCTCCATGAATCACATCAAGACTGTGCATCTTGGCTAGAGATTCACCAATGTACTTTGATAAACTCGCTATCGTATGCAGATTAATTAGCAAACCAAAAAAGCAGAACAATATATATGCACTCACCAAAATCAACTCCACTGTACTGTGTGGCCTGGTAATCTAACAGGCGCTGCTTGACAGTAATACCAGAAATCTTCTCCATAAATATTGTGGCAGTATTCATATCCACAAAATACAGTGTAGGTGTATCCATTCCAGCTTTTTTGCACTTGTACAAGCTACGCGCTTCCTGAACAACCCGTTTGTTTGTCAGCTGGCGATCGAGATCGGGATGTCTATATGTCTTCTTGAATCTCTCTTTGGCAATGCATCCTTGTGGAAGACTCAAAAACGTCGGAAGATCAAAAACTCGCTATGGTAGAGTAGATTGTAGAGCAACAATGCACGAATGAGTTTATTTAATTCCTAGTAGAATGTAATTTTCTTACAGCTTCTGCTCCTTGTTTAATACAAGCTACTCCGGAAGGTACTGCCATGGTCATTGTCATTATTCATTCGAAACACATTGCTCTCACAGCTTTGTGCATCGTGACTGTCTTTGTAAGTTGCCTTTTTTTTTGGCCGCCACCTTATCCCCGACATCTGAAATTTTTTTTACTCGTTCTCTTTAAACTATTTTTTTTTGACAAGATGGCCTCACTTCAATCATTCAAGGCACCATCTTTGGTTAGCAAGTCTACTCAAAAGGCAGAACAGAAACTCGCTACAAATGGTGAAGATGTTGTCATTGATGCCTCCACATTGTCCACTCGTAACACCACAGACGTCAATGAAGACGAAGACATGGAGGTCGAATCTACCATCGCCAAACCAACCTTTGCCCCAACACAGCAGAACAAGAGTGTATGTCATTGAAAAAAAAAACGCCCATGGATTGTTGAAAACTGCAAGATTTATTAACGATTCTGCTAATCTATCTTAGGGTGTTACCAAAGGACAACGTAGAATCCCCATTCCTCACCATCGTCTCTCTCCTCTTAAGAGACAGTGGCTTGAGATCTACTCTCCTTTGGTTGAACACATGAAACTACAGGTTCGCATGAATGTCCAGACAAGATCGGTTGAACTCAGAGTAAATATCTCATACTTTAAATGAATATGCTATATAAATAGTGTCATTCAACTGACAATCTAACTATTATTTTGATTTATATAGACCTCAGATTCGACCGTTGAGAGCAGCGCATTACAAAAAGGGGCTGAGTTTGTCAAGGCTTATGCTCTTGGATTTGAGATTGAGGATGCTATGGCTCTTTTGAGATTGGATGATATTTTTTTGGATACTTTCGAAATTAAGGATGTAAAGACACTTCATGGTGACCATTTGGCCCGTGCTATTGGTCGTATTGCAGGAAAGGACGGAAAGACCAAGTTCACCATTGAGAACGCAAGTAAGACAAGAATTGTCCTGGCAGATACGTAAGTAGAGAAGAGCTGGATTTGTGCCAAAAGAAGAAATTTGTAATGTTCTAACTGGTCTTATAGCAAAATCCATGTGCTCGGCTCATTCCAGAATATTAAGATTGCTCGTGATGCAGTTGTCAGTCTTATTCTCGGCAGTCCTCCTGGAAAGGTTTACGCAACTCTCCGTACTATCTCTGCTCGCATGAAAGAGCGCTTCTAAAAAAATCAGTATGGCGTAGGCCTATCTTATTTTAAAAAGTCTTCTGAACGTTCGACAGAATTCGTAATTGTATTTTTCTCTTTTTCTTACCGCCTTTCATCTCTTTCTCCTTTATGTTACATTCATTAAAACATGCTAAAAATTACCGTACGCATTTCTCATAAGAAAAACTAAATATATCAAATCATTGAATGTCGGGAGCATATTAGCTAATATAGTACGTATATTCGAAAGCTTTTTCTTGTAACGAAGTACTGGATCCAGGGCTTTCTTTAATCTAGCTACAAATTATCTGCGGACTTTACTGATAACTGAGTTTTATATTGCCATGGAATCTTGAACGCAGAGCCAATCTTAGATGGTTGTCGTATGTTCAAATGCATAAAGATGAGAAGTATTACTAGTCTTTTGTAATCATTGCATATTGTCAATAGAGAAAGTGACAGGTCCTCCAGAAGTTTTGATATATACTTTGTATTCAGAAAAAATAAACACCGGATTCGAGCTACAACTATTTTACTTTACAAGGAACCAAGCGTCGAGTAATTTTTTTCTAAAGAGTGTGGGTCCCGAAGTCTTGCATAGAACTATCTTTACTATCTCTTTCATCATTTTGATTGTTATTTCCATCGCTGGAATCTTCATCTTCACCTTCGTCCATTATTTGACCTTCTTCCTCAGTATCTTCATTGACTTCATCTTCTTGACTTTGTCCTTGTTTTTCCCATTCTTCATATCCCTGTTCATCTCGTTCTTCGTATTCTCGAGAATCATGTGTCTGGAGTTCATGTATATTTTCCTCTTGAAGGCTTTGAGTCTTTTGTATATACTCTTGCTTTTGTGATTCCTCTTTTTCTTGTTCTGGTAAGCATAGTTCTTCCTGGACTTGTGAATTTAGGTCTTCATATTCTTGAGATTTAAACTCATCTTTAGTCTGAATCTCTTGTACTATCAACACCTGATCTGAATCATCTGGTGTATTTTGAGTTTCAGAGTCCTCTTGACATTTGTTGTCTCCAATAGCCTCGAAGCCTTTGTTAACTTCTTGATCTTCTAAGATTTCAGTAACTTCAATTACTTCATTGTCACCAATGACTTCATCGACAGTATTTTCAATATCTCTATCTTCAGGATCTTCGCTTAGTTCATTATTTAGAGCTTGAATGATAACATTTTCTTCATTAATGCTATTATCTTCTTGGTCATCATTCTTTTGCTCATCTCCTTCAGAATTTTTCTGCTCAGCATAATAGCCATTATCTTCATGCTCATGTTCATAATCATCGCGTTCCTGATCCTCGTCTACATATTCCTCGTGCTCATGTTCTTTGTGTTCATACCCCTCGTTATCTTCGTCTTCGTTATATTTGTCTCCATTTTTGTCTTCTTCCTTATTTTCGCCTTCGTATTCGTCTTCATTTTCATCGTCTTCATCTTCGTATTTTTCTTCGTCCTCATCATAATCCTGTTCTTCGCTGTTATTCTCGTCAGATTCTTCTCTTCTATACTCTGTCATATCTTCGTCGTTTTGATACTGGGATGTCTGTTGCATCTCATATTGGTGTCCCATTTGTTGTATTTTCATGGCCATGTCCTCACTTTGTTGCCCCTCACTTTGTTGTTCATACTCTTCATTATCAGAGTCTAAATTTATAATTTCAGTAGAACCTTCCTGTGTGCGAGGGAATGTCGAATCTTCTTCGTTGTATTCGTCTCGATACATGTGGTGAAAGTGGTCATTGGTATCGTCTTCGGTTTCTTCGTCAGAATTCATTTCTTCATCTTCGTATTCATCTTCATCTTCATATTCATCTTCTTCATTTTGTTCCAGCTCACCATATTCTATGTTACTGTATTTGGAAGGGCAGGTGCCAGAAATAGCATTGCATTTTTAGTTATGTATCAAAAACTAGCATAATTCATCTTACTTGGATATGAGCTCCAAGGTTACTGCACTAAAGAAACCTGGCGTGTGTTTCTTTTGGAGCATGTAACTCTCATATACTGGCTGAAGCAACTTCATATAATCGTCCCTTTCAGAACCAACTATGTACAATTGTTCCTCGTCACCTTTTGATTCCATAATAAAGGCAAGTTTCGAGCCATCAACTTCAACCGACTCTAGCAAAACTTGGCCTTTTCTGAATTCGATATTGTATCCCAATAAGGTTTTTACAACATTACTGTGATATAAAACTTTGGCTTCGAATACCTAAATTGAGAGTTTTTTTTTAAAAAAAATGAATAAATAAATTAAATATTAAAACAATAAAAAAAAAGGTTTTATTTGATTTACCTGATTTAGTCGCAAGATACGTTTGTCCTTAATGGCAATCTCTTGTTGAAGATTACTTATATCTGCATTCAAATTATCGAGAGATATTTTTGGAATATTCACAAACAAATTGTGGTCTTCTATAGCTTCTTCGTCACCAACTTTTCTCTTTTTCATAGTGTGTTCAAAGTCAAAGTCTCCTTCGGTGCTCTCAAGCTGTTTTCTCAATGCCAAAACTTCTTCTCTGAGAGAAACAAGCTCTTTCTGTCGAGCTGCCTGACATAATGCTGTAGGATTTTCTTTGATCTCCATAATTTGATAGTCAGAAAAGTGTTCTGAAGCGGTATTATTATGGGAAATATTTTGAGTTTCTTTTGGATTGTCCAATGAATCTACTTCTACACTTCCATCACGCGAATGATTCTCGGGTGCTAAATCGACATCTTCTTGATTTTCACTTGATGGCTCTGGTAGATCATCTGAAGAATCTTTGCCAATCACAATCTGAATACTTTCTCCTCGATCTAGGCCTTTTCGTTGCACAACCTTTGCCAGCATCTCTACTTGTTCTTTCAAGACAGATATGTCTTTCTGAAGGACACATTTTTCAATCGATGTTTCCGTAAGTTCTATAAGATTTATAACGTTAGATGATTCAGAAGCATTGAGTAGCAAAACAATATAGCTTTAGGTTGTATTTACCTTGTTGAAGCTTTATAGTATCATCGATAAACGAGCCAATATAGTCAGACAAAGTTTTGCCAGACACCAGCCCACAATAAGGTCCAGGGGTGGGGGTTGAGGAAGCAGATTGTATTTGACCGAGTGTGGTTTTTAATTGTATCAATTCATGCGTTTGTTGATCGATAGTATTTTGATATTCTGTCACAAGATTTTGCAGCTGAGCCATTCTCTGGATCTTTAATTCATCATACGTGGTTGATTCTGCCGATTCATACATGCTCTGTAATTTATCAAACCTTAGCTCACACGTAGATATCAGAATATGATTGATCCTTTCGTACCAGGTGCTGCTCTAACAGACGAACTTGTCTCTGAACAGCTTCTCTGCTCTTCTCCAGCATAGACATCGCAATCTTGTCATCATCGTGCCTCCGGTCTTTCTCGATAATAGCGTTTTTAACATCATTTGCCTGATAATAGAGATATGATAAACTTCTTTTGTCCTAATCGAGTTCGCTATAGTACCTACATAGCTCTCTAACTGTGACACGATATCATTCTTCTTCTTCAAGGTAGCTTCAAGATAATGTACTTGAGCTTTAGTCTCACGAACAGAAATTCGTTCTTTTGCAATAATCTGTGTGATTTCTTTAGGTGATTGGTATTCTGGACTATCCTGAGATTCCAAGTAACCAACCCTACATTTCAATATTATTATGCATACTGCTTTGACTCTAATACATCTATAGCTATTGTGTGCCTTACCATTCCATTCTTTCTTGGTTGAATCGTGCATTTTCAATTTCCAAGCGTATATTTGTTTCCTCAATCTGCGCAATATTCGATACTTGTCTTTCCAAACTCTTCTTTTCTTCTTGAAGACTTGCATTTGATGTGTAAATTCGTTTATAATGATCACGCTCGTTTTTTAGTCTCTCGTTTTCATCTGCGAGCTCAGAGGATTGTGTGGTGTAATCTAACAAAAAATTCCGTAAAATACATCATCGTAAGGTTCTCTCTTTTCCTCATTTTTGCATCTATCTGACTTACATTGAAGTTCTTCTCGCAGGAGTGTTTCTGTATTTGAATTTTTAATTGAATCCATTTCATAATTTTGAGCTTTGTTTAGTTTTGATAATAAATCTTGCTCTCTTTTGGACCCTTCGCTTATGGTTTGTTCCTGAGAATGTACCTAAAAAGAATATCGAATTATTAAAGACAAAAGAGACAGATTTCTTTGAAAAGTTTATAATAGTACTAGTAATGATAATAATTTATCATGATCCATACTCGTTCTGTTAAAGCTCTGACTGTATTCTCGAGCACATTTGCCTTTGTCAGTGTTGCGTCAACTTGAGCGCTAAGCATTCTTTCTATGCTGCTTTGGTTATAGTGGGTATCGCGAAGTTGATTTTTTAAAGAGTCTCGTTCAGCTTGTATTACATTGACTTGTTCATGTAGCGTGTCCTAATCGCGTTTTTTTTAAAAAAAATTAATTAAGAAAAACATCTAGTTGTGGACGTGGTTAAGGAATCATTTTTAGATTCCTTACTATCTTGTGATTGTATTCGCTCTTAATTGTCTCCAAGATTTTTATTGAATTTTGGCTCTGCTGCTTGTGATGAATGGCTCGCTTTTGCGCTTCCTGATTAAAGCAATAAAGTTTAAATAGTTGATCATTGACAAGGATTAATGTAGTGATTGATCCCTTGAGTTGATTACCGTTTTTTCAGTAATAAGCGATTCGATCGTCTTTGCTGATTGTTCTCTTTCCCGCTCTAATTCGGCTTGGGTCATCGCTACCCTTGATTCCGTTAATTTGATTGTGTATTCCAACTCATTAATCTTCTCCTTGATTATCTTCAGTTGTTCTACACATGAGATTGTTTTGCTTTAATTAAGATATTTATTATATTCTTGAATGGATTTGTGATTGCTTTATTTTCGCCTTTTTGTTTGTTTGCTTTAGAGTGAAATGTATATTGAAGTTTACCTTCATTAATCATGATGTGATGATTTAAAGAGACTCAAGAAAAGTTACTTTTTAATTTCAATTAATTAATTTTTTGGATTATTTCCTGCTGGTTTAAAAAGCTTACGAGTGACATCAGTCAATATTTCTTTTTTATTAATGAACAATATAATAATGAAACCGGTTTGCAAAATTAAGTTTATTGTATATGCTAAGAAATGGTATATCTTTCTTCTAATTAATTATTTGGGTTTGCGGTTTGCTTTACTGATAGATAGCCTTTACTTGACACTTTAAGATAAAATAGAACCAAAGGAGTGGTTCGTGCATGAATAAAAGTAAACAAAGATAAGTAAAGAATACGAATTATTCGGGCAGTGTAGAGTTGTATCATCAAGCAGTTGCTTTTAATTGTAAGTTTAATTAATGTCATTTTTACTGGACACTATACAAGAACACAAGAGATTGATTTGTATGGGTGTATTCAAAACTTGTCAGTTTCACCAGTGAATCATCAATATTTTATCTTTTAATAATAGTTGATACACAAATACTGGCAAATGTTTATGATATAACACTAGAGAAAAAAAAAGGTAAATAATATTCTGGGACTCAGCCCCATAATATATCTCTAAATAAACATTCTAAAGTGAGAGAATGTTTATTGATTAACTTTATCTACGCATAGCCACGGGTGCCTTACTTATAATTACTCCATAACTGTAAAAACAAATGTAGCTGCTGCATCATTTCTTAATTATTTAGATGGCATGATTTACTCTGTCATAATATTTCTTTGTACAGCTACTAGGTCTATATATTTTATTGCTGGAAGAAGATAGAATACATTGATCCAGTAATAGGGCTTAGAGTAACACACTTTCTATGCTCAAAACAAACATCTTGAGCAACTAACCGGAAACAATTATACTCATCAGCCATATCTATTCACCAACCCATTCCAAATATATGTATATATAATGCGAAAAAAAAATACCTGAACTTCTTTTTATAGCTATCAATCGATAACACCAATTCATTGTTAACATCTATATCATGCGCTCTCCTGCCATTCAAGCCCTCTCTACTATTTGCTTTCTTGGACTCTTGGTGAGCTTGGTGCAGGCAGCTCCGTATTTCAATCCCGATCCAAATTCAAAGTATTATATCCCTCCTCAAAAGGCCGCACCTACCGCAAAATGCATATGGTATTCAGCCGGACATATATGTGCCTAAATAACTTGATACATATAAATTTACTCATTTTGGATAGTAAAAGAAAGTCAATGTAATAAAAAATCTATATTGTAAAATAGAACAGAATAAAGTATTTGGGTTTTAATAAATTAATAACCATTTTCTCTTTTTATACATGTATGCAATGTTAAGTGTGTATTCTATTTACCATGTGTATTTTTTTTGGACATACTTAATTCTCTTACTTTGCTTATTATTATTATTTAAAAAGAAGAAGGAATTAAATTACTGAAATTCCTACAAGAATGTATAATCATACATTTAATGATTGTTGACTATAAAAACCCATCTTTAAAACAAAGCCTTAGTTAAATGCGCTTCTACCATAGTATTAATTGTACATTATTATTTTAGAGGGGAAATATTGCTTTAAATTATTATTATGAAAATAAACTTATCAAAGTCTATATAATTTCATGTGTAAAATAAATTGGCCTATTCCCTATCCTATTTTATAACTTATGATTCTCTTTCTCTCTGGAAAATGATAAATGAAGTGAATTAATATTACACCTGGAGTATTGTATTAGTAGGGTGTGTAAATACCATTCATTTTCTTTAAAAGGCTTTACTATAGCACTAATATTAAATGCTCTTATTCGGCTTTGGAGCTACTTATTCTAACTACTGCTCTCTACAAGCAATAAAGGACTCTTGTAAAGATGTGATCTCTGGGATAAAATAAACCAATGAGACTGTGTATTGGAATATACCATCTACCAAACACACCAATTAGCATTCAAAATAGGTAACTATTTTTGTAATTGCATAAAATTTTGCTCATGCTATATACTCTTGGTTTGTATTCACAAATTTCCAAACGACCAAGACATTAATACAATTTTCCATATATATATTTTAATTGCATGTAACTAGAATGGAGGTGTATTGATAATGAGAGGAAATAAAAAGAAATAGCTCTCTTATCGAGCTTAAAGTATCACATAATATGATAAGCATCGTCTATCTTAGGCTGCAGTAAGTAAGTGCTCCAAATACCCAGCTTATTCAAGTAAGAGAAGAAGAAGAAAACATTTAAACCGAAATTTCTCATATCTTTATACTTTCGATTCCTTGAAGCGAATATCAAGGTACACTACACAGGAATTATCATTTGCTAAGAAAAAGTGCTTATATAACAATACTATTAGATATTGAACACAAGGTACTCTTCGTATTCCACATATACTACGCAATATGAATCGGATAAATTTGACTTTTGATATAGTCTTATAAGTTAGAATCATTATTTTTTACCAAGAAATATCTACTGACGCAAAATGGTTTTATACTATTTATTCACCCTAAGTAGATTTTCAATGCGTCCGAGATCAAAGAAATATATATATTCAATATATTTTATTTCCTGCAAGAAAATACAGCCTTAACATATACACCACGTTATTTCTCTTGCCAAACTGTCCTTCCCCACATTTTATTTTCTAAGATAAATTTATGCGCTAAACTTCACTCAGTGTGACTGGCCAATAATACTCTTGGGTTTTCTTTTTTAACAATTGAACGTGCAAACCCATTGTCAATTCTCTAACTATGGCATCTTATGAGTGTAGTCTTCAGGGTCTAGTAGTTGGTCAAGAACAAAAAGATGCTTTGCTTGAACGTCTTGTAGGAATCTGTGGCAATGATGCGATGATTGAATTATTTGAACACGAAATCATCTTTACACCTACTGGTACAAACCACTTTGATATCCCATTAACTATGTTTTTTTTTAACGCTTTATAATGTTCTCATGTTAAATTGCTATTATTATTATTGCTATTATTATTACTGTCGTTATTATTATTACCATTGCCATAATTGCTTTATTACTATTATATGTGCTGTCAAAATAGTACAGACACCAATTGGACCAGCACGTAATGACGATGTTGTACTTCGATTGCAATCACGCATTCAAACAGAACAAGAAAGAAGTTTGAAACATCGTCAATGGTAATAATAATGATAATAAAAATAATAAACATACCATTATTCAATCTATAAATGTTTATTTTATTTTTCTGTTATGGAAAAGCAATATTATATATTTATTTGTAATTATTTCTTGCTATTATCTTAATTAAAAACCTATTCGTAAAGGTATCTTGCTATGCAAGGACATCCAGAACCACAGCGTGGAAGAGCAGTAACAGTGCGCCCAAACACAAGAGTTCAGCTGAGAGGTGATGCATTTCGATTTATGAAATCATTGGGGTACAGGTAAGAATATAAAATCCAAGTAATATACAAACAAGAACTATATTTTCGATATTCAATAAATGAATTAAGCAATATATACTTAAATACATATATAGTTATTCGTTTGAGATTGTAAGGAAAGGACATTTGCTGTCTTATGAGAAGATTCTTAAAATCATGGTAACCCAATTATTCAAGGTATTGGCTTTGTTTTGTTTTGTTTTGTTTTGTTTTATTTTATTTTAAATAAAAATAAAGGTGGATTTTCAATACACGGATTATAAATCTCTCTTTTTTCCTTAGCCAAAGATAAAAGTTGATATTTCAACTGCTATTTCCATTCAAGATTCATCTTTGTGGCTTGTCGAGGTTGTGTCTATTCCAGTAACTCAAGAACAAGTCAGTCAAATGGCGGAACAGTTGACTAAATTCAAGACACTATTAAACGGGTAAAAGAACATGATTACAATATATATATATAAATATAAATATATATTCATAGTTTAAAAAGAAAGAAAGAAACTGATATATATTATAATCATTTTATTGCATTTTCTTAGAAGCGTAGAATTGGAATATGTGGACACAAGAGCTGTTCAGAATAAGGTCCACTACACCTGAAAGACCAATACCAATCATTTCGTTTTAGGTTATTTCATTTAATAAAAGGATAAAATAAACATCAAACAACCTTTATCAAGTAATAATATATATATAAAGAAATTGTGATACTTCCAAAGATATAAAAAAACATTATTACTATGAATCTTCCCCCCCCCCCCAACCCCCCCNTTTTTTTTTTAGTTGCTAAGAACAGCAGTAGGCTGTTTCATATCAGTCAAATTTCCACGAATGTTCTGTTCAATCTCAAGACTCTCAAAGAGACTTTTAAAGTTTCCAGCGCCAAAACCATTATGATTGTTACGCTGAATGATCTCAACAAACACAGTCGGACGGTCTTCCAATGGGCGAGTAAAGATCTGTAGAAGATAGCCATTCTCATCGTAATCGACCATGATGTTTAGCTTCTGAAGTATATCCAGATTCTCAGCAACGGGTCTCAAAGCAGTCTTGTTGTGCTTCGAAAGGGCGGCCCGAAGTGCAATATAGTACGTGTCCGGAATGGTCAGGAACGCACAGCCTCGTTGGCGCATATTGGTTACAGATGTGATGATATCATTTGTGTTGATAGCAATGTGTTGTACACCTGCACCTCCGTAAAAGTCGACAAACTCCTGAATCTGAAACTTTTTCTTCCCTAGTGCTGGCTCATTGATAGGAACCTTGATTCTTTCAGCTGGGTCGGCCATGACTACTGAACGAAGAGCACTATATTCAGTATAGACATCTTTGTCATCCACAGACCAGAAACGGTGGAAATCAAATGCTTTCTCGTAAAAATCAGCGACGGGGTCCATCAT